AAAAAGACGAAAAAACCGGAAATATATAAAAGAAGCAAAAAAAGAAGATTTATAAGGCGGGAGAGAGGTTATATATTAAAACGGGCGTGTATTGGTAAATGGGCGAAACATTTATTTAAGAATTAAGTCACCTTAAATTTGTATACAGGAAAAAACGCAGGTAGTCAAATTATATAAATTTATCTCATAGAAAAATAATAGATAAAAATTCACAAAGATTTAGTATATAAAGCCAAGGTAAAAAATTTTTTTTATATTAAAAAGTTAAAAAATGAAGGGAAGGATTAAAAACCAAAAGATAATAAATAATTTAATAAGCCAGTTTATTTACTTATATAACTAAAGACCAAAAGACTAATAATAAGACCAAAAATAATAACCAAAATTAAATTTTAATAAAAAAAGAATCCTAGAAAATTTTTTTTTTAAAACCGCTTAAACAAAATATTAAAAAAACACGCTACAAATATATCAAAGACATCTTTTAACCATAAAAAAAAGTTTAGACAAGCTTTAAGTATCAAGTAGAAAACAATAAAGACCAATTAACCATTGGCGCTTAATTACCATACAAAACAGTACTAAAAAACCTGTAGTGGCGGGGCATGTTAGAAATCAGATACAAAGTTTAACCACTGGAGAACGCGGTAAATGGGGTTTGTTGCTAGCAGTTACTAAAGTTATACCTCCTTGGAATCGTTCACAGTGCATTCTCCTACCATAAAACAATTCTATAGTCAACAGACAACCTGCTTAAATAATCTTTAAACGATTTACACTCTTAGAGGAGCGCTATAGGATTGAACGGCTCTCTCTAGTAGGCTAACACTTATCACGTCATTGTAGCAGAGACCTCGAATCTCCACCAGTCAAAAATATAATGTTGCAGCGGCTAGCGGTTGCGTTACCGTCCTATAGTCAGCGTTACAAGAAGCCATGAGGGTATACATTTCGTCAGAGACTTCAGCGTTAGCATAATCAAAGTATAGTCATTGCTTTACAGCTTTTGCTGCGCGAGCAGAGTGTCGGTGAACGTCAAGGTGTCGATAAGTGGCACGTGAGCCGCTCCTTTTTAAGCGTAGACGTAAGGGGTTGGGGCCCCTGCAGCAATACTGCGCTCGGTGAGGCTTCCGTTCAATTTAGTAGGGGGTGGCAACGTCGCGTTAATCGGCTTTGTACAGTTCTTGTCCTAATCGAGCAGTGCTGCGCCTTATTATCCGACATATCTTCTCAAAAAGGGGTNGTTGGTGANTGTAAGGGGCTGGTGTGCAACCCTAAAACACGAAGGCTTAACTGGTTTGTACTGTTGTATTAAGACTTCAACTTAACGAACTATAGGAGATTAGTAGGCAAAGGCTTGCCAGCTAATATATACGTGGCTGGAAGATGCGGTGTAGCGCAAACCTAGTGGGGCGTGGCGCAGCTAAGTGGCTGTGCTAGTCCTGTGCAATGTGTTAAGATAGTTCGTTAAGTCCGCCGCTTAGTAAGCGACTGGTTGCCGAACCAGTGCGTAGGGACGCGTGTGTAGAATACCCTTATAAAAAAAAGACTAAAGACTTAGTCTTTAAGAAATATACTTAGCTTAGTTTATTAGTAAATATTTAAAGGCTAGTATAAAACTATAATGTTTATAGTAAGGTAAAGGGTTAAAAAAAAAGAAAAAAAAGCTTATTAAAGCCTTTACTAGTCCTTAATTAACCTTAAGCTAAATTGTTTATTAACTTTATTACTAAGCTTTTACTCTTTTTCTTCTTTTAAGGCATACTATATAAGAACCTTTTAATAGTTATAAACTACCTTTTAAAGTCTATAGTACTAATTTTAATAAGGAATATTAAAGCTATTAATATAGTAAAAGCCTTAGCTAGATTTATCTCTATATATTATAGCCTTTTAAATTCTATTATCTTTAACTAAAAACTTTGGTTTATCTTTATACTTTAAAAAGAAATCTATAAAAAGCTATATATTATACATAAACTCTTAATAACTTTCTACCTTTAAACTAATAGTACTATAAAAAAGGCTAATTAAGAAGTAAAAGTATTTTTATATATTTATACCTTTTTCTTTTAAAACAATTAAGCTTTCCTTTTACTTAGCGCTATAATAGCTTTAAATTCTTATACTTTCTTAACTACTAAACTATCCTTTTTTTTTCCTTTACACAGCTACTACTTTCTTATCCTTTTACTTTCTTTAAACCTTTTTTATAGCTCCTTTCTCTCCTTAGCTACGTAAGGCTAAGTATAGCTTATAAAATAAAAAGACCTCTTTAACTTTACTTAAGCAGCTAGCTAACGCTTAAAAAACCTAAGAATGCTATACTAATAAATTCTATTAAGCTTTTAAATCTTATTAAGTAGGAGACAAAGTCTTCTTACGCCTATAAAACATAAAGACTACCTACCTCTTAAAAAATCTTAATTAAGTTAGCCTTCTCTTTAAAGTTATTAGCCTAGTTAAGTCTTATACAGTTAAGCTTAATACCTCTTTAAGGATTTATCCTATATTCTACGTTAACTTACTTTACCGCGCCTACTAAAACCTCTTCTTCTTTTAAACTACCCTTAAATTTAGCCCTCTTCTTATCCTACCCTTGAACGCTAACCTAGACTATAGCGCAAAAGAATATCTAGTTAAGCTAATCCTCTAATCTAAAAAGCGCAGCCGCGGCTTAAAGTCCTAGTTAAGTAAATAAGCTACGTAGGCCCTACGTAGAAGCTGCTAACAAACCTTTTTACTACGGCCGCTTATAAGGCATTTAAAAAGGCCCTTCTTACTCCCCTCTATAAAGAAGGAAGGGGGCTATTATAACAGGTTATAGCCTAATATAAGTCCTTAGCTTTGCTCTCGGCCTAGAATAACTAGGTTGGCTAAGCTACGTAACTTACCACGCACCCTGTAAGAAACTATGGTAGGATACCTTAATTAAGCATAAGAACTAAAAGGCACTCTCCTCCTCTCTCTTTAAGCTCCTACCTCTTAACTATAAACCACTCTATACTATGCGCGCCGGTAACTTACTTAGATAGGAAGCAGGAGCTAGATAGAAGGGACCTAGTAGGGTATGAAGGAAGGGAAGAAACTACTTAAGGATAAAGGAGGTAGGCTTGCTTGTGTAAATATCTTTCTTCTTCTCTAGCTTAGTTTTTAACTAGTTTGATTTACTTAATAGTAACTTCTCCTATTAGGCTAGACTCTTACAACTAGGCTAATAGTGCTTTAAAATACCTTATTTTAAGCATACTAGCTAGGCATTACCTAGCTATTCCTGCTACTTTAGGGGCTATTAAAAGATATTTCTCTATTAGCAATAATGTTATTACTAAGCCTAGAAATAAGCTTCTTTCGGATATAGCTAAAAAATATTCTTTTATTAAAAAGTTAGAAGATTAAAGATTTAAATAAGTTTAAGAAGGACTTAGGGTTAAAGAGTAATAAGGATAGTAAATAAGAACTTATTAGTTAGTTAGCTACTTAGTTAGTTATTCTTACTTACTTACTTGCTTATTATTATTTTTTTTTTAATTACTATTACTTACCTTACTATATTATTACTTACTTTCTTAATTTTATTATAAGTTAAAAGCTATTGATACTATTAGTAATAATAGTACACTAGTACTGCTAGTACTAGTTTTAAAGAACTAGTCTAGTACAAGTACTAGTACTAGTGTACTAGTTTCCTAACCCTAACCGCAGCAAAACACGGGGTTTCAGATTGCGACCTTATTCTTGATTTCTGCCTTTCTATTACTCCGTACTCCGTACGGAATATGCTTTAATGCACAACCTTGGCTCGGCGATCAGGCAATGACGACGTCATGTACCTAAGGGCCGTACTTCGGAGGAGAGACCCCGCACCCATCACATGTCGGCAAATTACACGGGGCATCACGGAAAGTCGCAAAGAAAAGAAAGCAAACTCTACCGGAATGCATGCGAAACGGACAAGAGGGTGTGCATCTTCTAGCCGACATAGCCGAGAGGACGGTATTTCAACGCCGTCCGTTGACAACCATTTTCATTTGTACGCTCTCCTTTTCAACCCAACAGTCAGCCATTCACTTCTTTTTATTTCCACCAAGGATCCCCAATCTGCCAATCCAACTCCAAAATCAAACATAGTAGGAGTCCCCAAGAGAAGCAATGGGTCTTTTCGCGTATCTATCTGTAGATCGAGGTAACTATTGAAGAAAGCAGCCGGGTGTTCGACATTTAGTCTTGTGGTCCTGAAGCAGGGTCTGGCTGGCATAGCTGGACAGACCATGTGGACGGCCTCAAAACAGACTGTCGATCTGAGAAATACCGGTGAACTTGATCTGGATAATACCAGCGAAAGGACATGCTTCTTGCTCCCCCTTTTCCCTCCAAGCTGTGTGCCTGTTTAGGCATGGATGGGATGTGTTTTGCTGACTACAAGAAGCTTCTGGTTCGATCTGTCAACATGTCGACTGACAAGATCACTTTTCTTACGAATTGGTATGCGATTGACGGTTGTCTTGGTTTCTCTCCAAAATCCAGTCCCTGACACACACAGGCACGCCACGCCATACCACGCCCCTTTATTCCTAGCCCAGGCCAGGGGTTACTTTGACGATGAAGGCATTAAAGTTGCCATTGTCGAACCTAATGACCCGAGTGTGCGTGTTTCTGAACGAATAGCGGCAGGAAGGTTTGAGATCCGCTAGCTAACTTGCGGGCCATTCAGGACGTGACGGAGATGATCGGCAGTGGCAAAATCGACCTCGGCTTCAAGGCGATGATCCACACGCTTGCAGCAAAGGCACACGGCTTTCCGGTTGTGTCGATCGGCAGTCTTCTCGATGAGCCATTCACGGGCGTGGTCTACTTCAAGTCGTCGGGTATCACGACGGACTTCCGCAGTCTCCGGGGCAAGCGTATCGGCTACGTGGGCGAGTTCGGCAAGATCCAGATCGACGAACTGACGAGCCACTATGGCATGAGCCCGTTGGACTACACGGCCGTGCGCTGTGGTATGAACGTGTCGCGGGCAATCATTGACGGCAGCATCGACGCAGGCATTGGCTTGGAGAACGTACAGATGGTAGAGTTAGAGGAGTGGCTGGCAAGCCAGGGCCGGGATCGGTCCGAGGTTACGATGCTGCGCATCGACGAGCTGGCCGAGCTGGGCTGCTGCTGTTTCTGCTCCATCCTGTACATTGGCCATGAGCGGTTTGTGGCTGAGAATCCGGAAAAGGTGCGCGCCTTCTTGCGTGCCGTCAAGCGGGCCACCGATTTTGTGCTCGCCGAACCCGAGACGGCCTGGAAAGAATACGTGGCCTGCAAGCCACCCATGGACACGGCCCTCAACCGCAAGATCTTTGAGCGCAGCTACGCCTACCTGTCCAATGATCTCAAGAACGTCCAACGCGACTGGGCCAAGGTTACTGCCTACGGCAAGCGTCTTGGCGTGCTCAACGCCGACTTTGCGCCCAACTACACTAATGATTTTCTCGAGTGGACCCTGGCGCCCGAGTCGGCCGACCCAACTGGCGACCAGAAGCGCATTGCTGTCTTGCAGAAGGACGTCGCCGTCCATGGCGGTTTCCATCGTGTGGGCGAGCAGGTGGTGTGAAATTTCGTAGAGGAAGCTCATACGATCAGCTGACAGAAACGGCACACGATTCCACCTACATTACATTCGACAGTCACTCATTTATAGGCTTTTAGCAGAATTGATGTTTATTAAAGTGGGATATACAGTGTTCTATGCTGCAGTGAACTAGACGAGGTCAAAGTGAAGGTTCAGCTGCGGCAGCTCAGTGCTGTTTGCCGGCATGATGAAGGTCAGGTTCCAGAACTCAAAGTTGCTGGCTGGTCAGCAATGTTTGCGAGAGCAGGAGAGCGGCCAAAAAGACTTACTGGATGAGGCTGCAAGTGCCGCCAACAAGACCGCAGAAAGCGACCTCCGGGACCGGGTTGACGGTGCTGCCGCTGAGAATCGAGACAGACACGCCGTCAATGTCAGCCAGGCCGGTCACGTCGCGCTTGGTGCCGAGCGGGTTGCTGGCGACAACAAAGGTGAAGGAGCTGGATGCGTTGCCGGCCGGGTAGGTCAGGTTGAGGGCGCCCGGGCCGACACGGGCTTGCATGCTGGACTGGGAAGGGTGCAGCGAGAAGTATCCAACGCTGGCGGCCTGTTGGGCGGTGGCATTGCGGTGCCAGTGCACAATGGCCGGGCTGAAGGAGTTGGAGTCCTGGCTGGCGCCGCCTACGACGGTCTGGTTATAGGAGTCGGCGCCGATGGTCAGGTCGGCCGACAGCCAGGTGGAGATATTGCGGACATCGAGGTCAAAGGGTGGCGTGTAGGCCTGCCGATGGACCGTGTGCTCGCCCGGAAAGACGGTCAAGCTTTGGATGACGCTGGCCGGCACCAGCGAGCGATGGAAGTCGGACAGGACGGCGATTAGGGGTACGAATTCGCCATCGTCAGCGTGGGTCAGCAGCCAGGGGTCCTCGGACGTGTCCACGCTGCCGAGACCGAAGACGTGCTGGCGGCCAACGAGCGACCAGATGTGCAGCGACATGATGGCGACATACTTGTTCATGTCGTAACCGTACGACCGGTCCCACGGGCCGGCCAGGTTCTGCAGCTGGGCGTTGTAGAAGTCACCAAAGGCCGTCCAGATGTCGGCCACCATGCGGGGACCGTTCTGGGCCATGACGGACGAGGATGGCAGGTATTTGGCCCAGAGCTGGTGGTAATAGCGATTGTCAGCTGTCAGGTCACGTGTCAAACCTCGTATTTCACCCCCTTTCCCTTACCGTCAAGGCTGTCAGACTGACGCCGTAGTACGTCGGCACATTGAACTCGGACAGGGTGTTGTTGAGGTTGAACAGGTCGATGATCTCCTGCGCATAGGCCTCGCCGGCAGCGGTCATGTTGCTGTCGTTGCACATGCGTCCGCTCCAGCCGGTGACCACGGCACGCATCAGAGACGGGTTGCTGTACGACGGGTACAGATTATCGCCGTCGACGCCGCCGACGCGGTAGCTGTCGCCGATGGAGTTGTTGTACAGCGACTCGACGATGAGCTCTTGAACGTCGCGGCCAATAAGGTGGCCGAACTCCTCATAAATGACAATCAGGGCGGTGCCGATGAAGCCGCGCCAGTTGGGGTCCCAAGAGTTGTAGATCACGGGATCGTAGCTCCTGCTGCCTACCGTCGGCTGCTCCGGATAGACGGTGTAGTCGCCATACCACTGGGCCGACACGTTCTTCTCCTGGCCAGCAATGACGTTGTTGATGATCTTGACGGCATTGGTCCGGTCATCGCCGCTGTTGCGCTGCAACAGGCCGACGGCAAACCACACGGACGAGCGAGTCTCATGCGGCCCAGCAGCCAAGGGGTAGTAGAAGTTGTACAGATAGCCGGCCGTCTTGTCATACAGCCGGTCCAGGAAGCGCATCTCGCCATCGAACATGTCCTGCACAATGGGCGAGAGCTTTGCTGCCTGGACGGAAGCGAGCGTCAGGGCGACAAGCCCAAGAGAAAACGGACGCATGACTACGGACGATAGTAGACCGACCAGGGAATGCGTCGGATGAGGATGGATGGAGACAGAGAAGCCTTGCAGAGAGGAGGTCCAACCAAGACGATCAAATATCCCGAGGATCAGCAAGCTTGCAAACGCACGTGGTATCCACAACAGCCCGGCAAATACCGCAGCAGTCTGTGGCCGGTGGCAGCAGCAATTTCCGGAGGCTCGACGGCATCGGGGACTACGCGCAGCGATATCGACTCGGCAGACCAACTGTCCAGATCGGTGGACCGGGGCAGTAGAAAAAGGAAAATGCACATGGGTTGCGGCGAGCGCTGCCCGAATCGGACTGGCCAGCGCCGTGACGGCCAACGAGACAGGGGAAGATCAGGTTAGACGGGACGAAAGACCACGCGACATGCCACGTTCTTATCATCGGCACCTGTGCCGGGGTTTGCCGTGAGGGCGACCGGGGAAATGGCAGGCTGTGATTGGCCGGATGGCCGGTCAACCCCGGCAATACTGGTCCCGCGCTGCTTCCACTTAGGGCAAGCGCGACGCAACGGCGGCTGGTAGTGCAGATGCGGTGGGAAAAAGATGGCTGGAAGCCGTCGACTGCAGCAGAGAAACAGGCGAGCTGTCAACGGGGTTGACACACATATGTATTAAAGAAAGCAGCCGCATCCACACACGATGGGTCGAGGCAGCAGCGGAATCTCAAGATTACACGTCCGCAGCAGCCATGTCTGAAGGCAACATATCCGCCGAAAAAGGCCCAGAAACCATGATGACGGAAAAGGGGCAGCCAATGACGGCGGACGAGCAGCGGCTGGCGCAGATGGGTGAGTGCCGACACGCTGCAGGCAGGTCGGGCAGACGGCGCTGACACTGGCGCAGGCCACCAGCAGGAGCTGAAGCGCCACTTCACGGTGATGTCGCTGATCGGCCTGGCCTCGACCACGACGATCTCGTGGACAGGCCTGGGGCTGTCGATCGTGACGGAGATCGAGGCCGGCGGCCCGGGCGCGATCATCTACGGCTTCATATTGGTGACCATCCTGCAATGCTTCCTGGGCGCGTCACTGGCCGAGTTTGTGTCCAGCTACCCGACCGAGGGCGGCATGTACCACTGGATCGCCGCGATTTCACCGCCTCGACCGCGCAGCTTCCTCAGCTTTATCACCGGCTGGCTGACCGTCTGTGGCTGGATCTTCACCACGGCCTCGACCAACCTGATCTACGCCGAGACCCTGTCAGCCCTTATCGCCATCTTTCACCCCCACCTGAACATCCATGTGTGGCAGACGTTTGTCATCTACCAGGGCCTCAACCTGCTCACCGCGGCCGTCGTGCTCTGGGGAAACCGCGCCATCCCGGCCCTCAACAAGTTCTCGCTCTTCTACCTGCAGATCGGCTGGCTCGTCGTGCTTATCACCGTCGTGGCCTGCGCACCCTCGTATCGCGACTCGGCCTTTGTCTTCCGGACCTGGGTCAACGGCACCGGCTGGAAGAACAATGCGATCTGCTTCATCACCGGCCTCGTCAACCCGCTCTATAGCCTGGGCGGTCTTGATGGCGTCACTCACATCACGGAGGAGATGCCGAACGTGAGTCCCTGCTCCCTGCTCCCTGCTCCCTGCTCCCTGCTCCCTGATACCTGATCCCTGACAAGATAGCCCTCGCGAAATGCCCCCCTGGCTATTGCCATCACCCTGACCATTGCCTTTGTCACCGGCCTGACCTACCTCATCGCCCTTATGTTTTGTGTGCAGGACTACGCCGCCCTGGGCGACACCAACATGGTCCTGCCGCTGTCCGAGCTCTTCTACCAGGCCACCAGCTCACGTGGAGGCGCCTTTGGCCTGACCTTTATCCTCTTCATCGCCCTCGGCCCCTGTGTCATCTCGTCCCAGCTGTCGACCAGCCGGGTCCTCTGGGCCTTTTCCCGCGATCGCGCTATGCCCTACAGCGGCTGGTGGTCCCGCGTGTCTGTCCGTCACGGCGTCCCCTTCAACGCCCAATTGCTCGTCACTGCCGTCAATGCCGCTCTGGGCTGTATCTATCTTGGCTCTTCCACCGCCTTTAACAGCATGCTCGGCTCGGCCGTCACCATCAACAACATCGCCTACCTCATCCCCATCCTCACCAATCTACTCACTGGCCGCCGCAACATGTACCGCGGTGTCTTCTACATGGGCCGCTGGGGCTTCCTCGTCAATGGCATCACTGTTGCCTGGCTCATTTTCGCCATCGTCTTCTTCAGCTTCCCCTACAGCATGCCCGCCACGACCGAGAACATGAACTACACCTGTGTCGTCGTGGGCGGGGTTCCCATCCTCATCCTCGCCTGGTGGGTTTTCGGCAGCAAGCAGTACAAAGCCAAGATTGCCGTCGTTGCCGAACAATAGACGGAGTCGGGCGAACCTGTCTTCTCGACACGTTACATGGTAAGTTACGTGAATATGCAAGGAAACCAGCATATGCAGCTCTAGGGACAACCAGAAAAAAAGCCAAGGAGCTACGTCGTAGGGACATAGAAGGGCTATGGTTGGAGTGGGTCCGATTATAATGAAACTGTGGTAGTATCTTAATGAAAGAAGCTGTGTGATTTACGAAGTACGGAGTACCTTGTTTTTATATCCGTCTTGGCGCATTGTGGCTTGGCCAATCTCTCCTTCTGTGCTCCGTGCACCTGCTCCGATTTCCCATACTTGATTGGGTCTTCTCGAATCTGCGTATTTCATAAGATTACCTGTCAAACCCTTGATTTCAGAAAACCAGGGACAATGTGACTTACTCCAGCACAAATCCGAATTGAGATAGGCATAATTCTTCCAGCTGAAATGGTACAGCCTGTGGCGATCTTGGGTCCGTGCCTCGGGGCAGAAATAGGAATTTCCAGCATCTCCACCCGACAGCCGCGGATCACGGCCGAGGATAGAAAGGGGAAAGAAAAAAGGAGAAGAAGAAACCCAAAAAAAGGAAAAAAAAGGAAAAAAAAGGACAACCGGCAATTTCCGCGAGCACCGTGCGCTGCAGCTTGGCGACTGAAGACTGAGGCGCAAGAAAAGGCCAGATGTCGCCTTTTTCTTATCGGTGTCCTCCGTTTGGCCCATTGATGCACCTTTTGGCCCTTTGCATTCGCAGCTTTCTGAACCGGTCTAGTCTCAGCTTCTACTCCGTATGTAACGCATGTCTCAGGCATCGGGCTCTGTGCGTATCCATCGGGCCGCAAGGCATACCAGTATGGATGAGCATGTATGATACTAGTAATACCATAGCCGCTATGTTCACCTCACATTCGGCGATCTCCAATCTACTGCATGCAGATCCCGCTACCCGGTGGATCTTAGCGGCGGTTTTTTACTTGGCATAAAGGATGACTTCCTTAAACAGTCTTCCGCAGGGTCCAGCCAAGAGTGCCGACCTGCCGTCCTCATTTTCTTATCACCATCGGCCCTCCTACAATGCCCGGATCCAATACAAAGCCAAGCACGGACGGAACTCATCCGTGGAAACATGGCCCATGGTTCATGCTATCGCAACGGGCAGCCTCATTCTCTGAAACGGTAATTCCATCATCGTCCTCGCAACTGCATTCCAAATGACGCGAAATCGATACCATCACTGCCCAGACATGTGAACGTCTAAGACAGCCCGCCTGGAAATAAGAAAGAAGATAACCGGCTCCCTGGTGAAATCTTCACTTCCTCTTGCGAGGACATGCTGCAACGTCACACTGCCCCATAAATGAGCAAATCGGATCAGCCATGATTCTTGGTGAGCCAAGGCGTTTCACGTACGAGGCAAAAGAATGTATCCACCTGCTTGTTCATGCTATGTTCTCACTGTCCCTGTTCCTTGTTTTTGGCGGGTATCTTATATCCGTTTACTTTATAGCGGAAATGCAGCATACGCCATGTCGAGATTGAGAAACTACTTAAGAGTGACCCTAGACGGACTTGAAACTCTATTTTCTTCCTGAAGTCTGCGGACACAACTCAGAAACTTACTCCATATGCCGAACTCGATCAAAACTCCTAACACATTTCGCGAAACCCGTCTGCTGCTCTCTTAAGCTTCCACAAAGCTATCTTCAGGATGGCCCATGACCAGGATGCCATCTCCCGGCTACCCAACAAGGACAGCCTTGTTGTTCAAATTATAAACAGTGTGGAGCCAGGTAGTTTCCACGAAGATGTGCCGGACACTCTTCGTATCTACGAGGCCGATGAAAACAAAGACGGCCATGGCCCTCTAAGAAGTCCTTCCGTAGAGATACGAGATATTACTGCAGGTGTATTGCAAGACTCCAAGGATAGCTCGAGTATCACGGATTCGGAAAGCGAGCAGTCCCAGTACAAGTGCGATGCGGAACAGCCATACCATTTATTTTCGTTGAAGCAGAAGTGGTCAGTGGTCATCATCATTGGCCTTGCCGGCTTATTCTCGGGCTTGTCTTCAAACATATACTTTCCATCGCTGAATCAAATTTCGCAAGTGAGTACGTCCGCGTCCGTTAACTTGCCCCCGTCGCTAATACAGGAATGACAGGAACTGCACGTTAGCTCCAATTCTGTGTCCTTGACCATCACGTCCTATCTTGTTGTCCAGGGAATATCGCCCGTCATATGGGGTGCATTCTCCGACGCACTTGGTCGGCGACCGATCTACATTGCCTCTTTCTCTGTCTACATCGTTGCCAACATTGCGCTGTCATTCTCACCAAGCTTTGCCATCCTTTTGATTTTCAGAGGCTTGCAGGCCGCTGGCAGCGCTTCTACTGTCAGCATCGGTAAGTCTTTGCATCTGGATATATCTCGGCTCTACCAGACTAACATAGTCATCAGGGAATGGCGTTATTCAGGACATTTCGCCGCCTGCTGAAAGGGGAGCCTTCATCGGTTTTTACCAAGCCAGTAAGCTTTTCTGCTTCGACCGCTCTTCCGTGACATACTGACAACTTTGAACAGTTCGGAACTTCAGCATCGCTGTTGGACCTGTTCTAGGTGGTGTTCTCGGAAACTATCTTGGGTTCAGGTCAATCTTCATATTTTTGCTGATTTTGTCATCACTTGTCCTCGTTACCATTGTCGGCTTCCTTCCGGAAACCATGCGAAGACTAGCAGGTGATGGCCACTTGCGGCAGAAGGGGATCTATCAACCTCTGATGTACAAATTCGTGAAGGAGCCGAGCTATATTAGCGATCCCGAAGAGGAGGCTGCCAGTGCAAAGAAGAGTATTTCACTTGCGACCTTTGTTGAACCGTTGAGGCTCCTGACGCAAAAAGAAATCATCCTCAACTTGATATATGGTGGCGTGATCTATGCCATCTGGAGCATGGTCACATCAAGCACGACAAGCTTGTTCCAGTCGAACTTCGGCTTGGATGAAACCCTTATTGGCCTCGCATATTTGCCCAATGGTATGATTTTAGCGACTGCATATTGAGCAGTATCCTTACTCTTCTACGGCATCGTATTAACCTTCTCCTCAGGCTTAGGAACGATTATCGGCTCCGCAATCGTTGGACGGCAGATGACGCAAGACTACAAAGCAGCCGAGGCCGCATATATAGTGGAAAAACAACTCCCAGCCGAGTATAAAGTACCAGCAAAAGACTTACCTTTAGACTTTCCTGTCGAGAAAGCACGCCAACGCAGCTTGCCGCTGTTCACGGTGTTGTTTGTTATTTCCACCGGGTTGTATGGATTTTCGGTGTCATCGCACAGACTCTCGGCCAGGCCTGGCTGGATTGCCGTGCCGCTTCTGCTACAGTTTTTGATCGCTGCCTCTAGCAATGCCGTCTTCGCGATGAACCAGACTCTAATCTCGGATCTGTGTCCCGGCAAAGGTGCAGGAGGAACGGCTGTGAACAACTTGGTGCGATGCGGTCTGGGTGCTATTGGAGTATCGTTTGTTGAGAGGATGATTGGGGCCATGGGCCCTGGCCCGGCATTCCTGACGCTGGCACTGATCACTGTTGCGTGCATACCTCTCGCCGTTGTGACCTGGGTCTGGGGGATGGAATGGAGAGCAGCCAGAGCACAGCGGAGAGCGAAGCAGATTGAGAAGGTGTGAGACGGGATGGTTGATATTCGTCCGTGACCTATCAAAGGCAGGTGGGGTTTCTTGGTGGGATGGTGGGATGGTGGGTTCTGGATGGGTTCTGGATGGGTTCTGGATGGGATTCTGGATGAATTCTCTGGAGGGAGTTCATGGTTGGATCTTGGCTGGATTCCTAGAGGGACTTCTGGTAGGGGGCTCGGTATGTTTCTCGGATGGGAGATTCACAAGCGACATAGATTGCCTTCGGGTTGTGAACTCTTTGGTTTTTTCTACTACATTTATAGATAGATTATAGACGGCCTGATGAATTATAGACCATAGACATGAAAACTATGTAAGTCGGAATTCAAGTGTTCTGGTATATTTGAGAAGGCTTCTTTGTTCAAACGTGGACAAGCATGATAAGTTCACCAATAGTGTCAAAGAACTGTTTTGGTTTTGGACCTCACTTTTTAGATAAGACTCATTCACAACTCGGAAATACGGAGTAATACGTAGGGCGTAATTACGAATTGTGGTGCCTTGGCACAGACAAAGCAAGGTTCATTTTCTGAAAATGATTACTGGCGCTAGACAGGGGCCCGTCTTTTAATGGAAAAAGGCTGTCTTAGATAAGATACCGACGAGCATCTGCAACTCACGCGTACTCCGTATAGGTTGCTTGTCCAAATCGGGCGAGAGAAGTATAGTAACCAAATCGCCAAGAAGGTGGCTATTTTAGGCTCATGTCTCTCCGAACGGATGGTGAGAAATCACTCCGTCGGGATTCCGAAAAACAGCTAACCTATTATCGTTATGCTCCGTTCTTCTACTCCGTACATCTTACCTTCCAATTCGGGAGTCCACCGACAATTTGCCCGAACCACTCCACTCCTATCTCCACTGCCTCGTTCATTTTACGGGCTGGAAGAACCGAGGACAATTCTTATCTACTCGTATCTTACATCGCCATTGACACTTAGGCAGATGCCAAAACTAGAAGGAGAACTACGACGTAGATCCAGCACGCGCAAACATATGGAGGGTGTGAAGGGCGCTTTCCTTGGCGGGCGTCTGCGGTGTCTTCCACCTTTGCCTCCAATGTCGTGCCGTCTTCTTCGTGGTCCCAGGCCGGGGTTAATGTCGCTGAATACTATCGCTCATGGGTGGCGACATTCTTCAGGAATGCGCTTTTTTATGGCGCGGTGGGACGATCTCGATAGATGCATACACTTTTACACTCGCATAAACGCATGTATAGCAGATGTAACAAAACAGCTTACGTGGGCTGACCCAAATCCAGACCGGACTACACCCGGCATAGTTCGGCCAGTCGCTCCGGTTGCTGACTGGCGCACTGGCTAGAGCAATTTTAGGATAAGGACTCGCTGTGCCTCAAGTCATGTTATCATCTGCCTGCACCTGAGAAGCTGTTACTGTCCAAGCCGTTGCTATTCTTGCTGCTGCTGCTACCACTGCTTCTCCCGCTTCTATCGTTCTTCTGTTGCGTCTGCGGCTATCCATGCTCCACTGTCAGCCTTCCAGCTCCACCATTGACCTCCACCATGCGTCTTGTAGTTCGACCTGACTCTGAGGCTGCCTCGCAGTATGTGGCCGAGTACATCATCAGTGGGTCATCTCTCCGTCTTTTGGCCGTCTTAGCCCTGCTTCTGCAAGCTGACCTCCAGACCGCATCACGGCTTTTGCGCCGTCAGCCGAACGACCGTTTGTGCTCGGCCTACCGACCGGCTCCAGTCCGCTGATTGTGTACCGGCTGCTCGTGGCAGCCTTCAAGGCCGGCCAGCTGTCGTTTCAGCATGTCGTGACCTTTAACATGGACGAGTATGTTGGTCTGCCGCGCGAGCATCCCGAGTCGTACCACAGCTTCATGTTTGCCAATCTCTTCCGCCACGTCGACATCCCGGCTGCCAACGTGCACATCCTGGACGGCAACCCGGCCGACGGCGATTTTGCGGCCGAATGCAGCCGCTACGAGGCGCAGATCCGTGCTGCCGGCGGCATCGAGCTCTTCCTCGGCGGTGTTGGCAGCGACGGCCACATCGCCTTCAACGAGCCCGGATCGTCGCTGGCGTCGCGCACTCGCGTCAAGTCGCTGGCTTTTGAAACACAAGTGGCCAATGCGCGCTTCTTTGGCGGTGACGTCTCTGCTGTGCCGCGCATGGCCTTGACGGTCGGTGTCGCCACAATTCTCGACGCCCGTGAGGTCGTCATCATCGCCACTGGCCACAGCAAGGCTGCGGCTATCCAACAGGCCGTCGAGGGCGCCGTCAGCCACATGTGCACGCTCAGCTGCCTACAGATGCATGCCCGCAGCATGGTAGTCGTTGATGATGCCGCCACTGTCGATTGCAAAGTCAAGACTGTGAATGTGAGTGTGTCGTAGTGGTGTGTTGAGGTATCACAATCTTGGCTGTTGTTCTGACCCCCGCAGTACTTCAAAGGCGTCGAGGACACGATCCGGCAAAAAAACGTATTCGAGATCCCTCGGCGGAAGAAGCTGCACGCTCTCGACACCAACGTGCCGCCCCGGAATGTCCCCGACGCCGAGGATGGTGAGCTGACGCCTGACAGCATGTCGTCGCGCATCCCCGGGATGAGCCCCAAGATTCTCAGCGTGCGTTCGGCCACCATCACTTTTGCCAGCACTTCTGGTCAGCAGTGAGGCTTCTGGTCACGGCCGACCTGCCCATTCTGCCCGGAAGGAGATCTGCTGCAGGCTGGCCTGGTCAAAGATCTGCCATGCGCTGTAGTCCATGCTGCCGGGGCTGGGCCCTGTCGTCGTGTCGTCCGGTCCTAGGAAAGACGGCTGTGGCTGTGGCTGCATGGCCAAGACCGTCATGTCGGGTGTGTTGACGCCCCGAAGGCTCTCCTCCAAACGGCCGATCAGCCGGTCGCAGAGCTTCGACTTGGGCACGTTCATCTGGTTGAGCATCTCTAGGTGGACGCGGATGTTCCGAAGATCTAACAGTCAGTGTTGATATATAATCTCCTCTTGCAGACGACCATATGCTTGCTTACCATCTGCTTCTCCCACACCCCCCTCAACGCCTTGCACTACAATCAGGGCTGCCCACGTGATCATGACCAGGTCCCAATTGCTCCAGATGCTGTCGTCGTGCAAGTGCAGCTTCAGCGTGGCCCGCGCACTCAATAGCAGCTCGCGCTGCTCCTGGGGTGTGATGCCGTTGCTCCAGAGGTCGCAGCCGCGTGCCGGGTGGTAGATGCTCAGCACCACTAGTCGGTGCAGCACATACTGCCGAAACACCACCTGTCGGTCCAGGGCAGTCGATGCTGAGTCATCAGACATGCTGCTGAACTCGACAAGCCAGCCGTCGAGCTGGTGGGCCCAGTCGCGGATGACGGCCGCGTCGACCGCAGTGAAGGCAGGGGTTGCTGTGCTGATGATGCCATTGCCGCTGCCGTTTCCGTTACTGCTATTGCCCGTGAACACGGACCAGATGGTCGGCAGTCCGCGGCCGGTGAAGTGTGTCAGACCCGTGTGCATCATGCGGCTCAGACGGTACAGCTGGTCACGGACACCGACACTGAGCGCTGGGAGAGGACACTCGATCGGAATCACGGGACAGCTGAGATGCAGGGATGCGTGTTCTAGATCGACAATCTGCACACCGCTGAACAGCTTGCGCCACTCGCGAGCACCGCCGCCGCCGTCGTTGTTGGCTGCCAGCAGAGCCTGATCGGCTGGACAGTGCTCGAGGATCAGCCGGTAAGCCACCGAGATCCACAGGCCTGTCACCGTCACGCTGGCCTCGGCCAGCAGGCCTGCCAGCACGATGCCGAGCACTGTCTGGAAGGCCCACTCCTCGTAGGCATCCGTTGTGGCTGTGCTGCTCCCGCCACGCGGATACGGCCGGCCCATGCTGCTCTCCGGAACGCTCAATTGTGCGATGGCGTTGCAAAGCACAGTAAAGTAGTGTGGGGCCAGGTCGGCGGCCATGTCGGGCGGTCCCCGGATGCTCGAGCAGTAGAGGATCGATGCTACCAGCAGAGGCTGGGGCACCGAAAATGTCTGCTTGCGTGGCATGAAGTGCAGTCCCGGCATGCGTTCGTGGAAGGCCGACCAAAGCTCGCCCACGGTGGCCTTCTTCCAGATCCGTCGCGGCACCGACGTCGGGGCCGACTCGCACAGCACACTCGTCGCCTCCCACAGCGCACCCAGTGATGCATACGCTGCTGGCACCTCCCCCTCGTCGTCCGAGCCGGTGCCCCCGGTTGCCTGTCCGTCTTCGTCGTTGTCGTCCAACTCGTCGTCCGAGCCTCCCGACTGTCGCCTCCCATTGGCTGTTGAGAAGCCCAGGTACTCTTCAAGAGCCTGTAGTCGCCGCAGAACATCATCTTTGAACGGCCGGTCCACTGATGGCCGCCCAGCTGCCAGGGCCAGAAGTCCTGACGGTAGGGTGGCTGCGTTCGCACGTGGCACAAAGATGCAGGGCACGCCGGACCGTACGCATCGCCGGCAGCCCCGTGGGTCCTGGTTGTCCACGCACTTCATCTTCTGCTTGCGGCAGTTCACTGTAACGGCACGCGTCAGACCCGCCAGCTCTCACGGCCGCTCCGCTTCCACCAACGGTCCACTAACCGCACGCCTTGCCGGCCTTTGGCCGACGGTTGCGACCGTTCTCGGACGGCCGGCCATCACGTGGCAGCTCCATAACGTGTCGCTGTTCGGCACCAATGCCGTCACGATGTCCGAGAGATGCCGGGTCGTGGCCAGGACGCGCGTACTGGGGAGGTCTGTCGAGTGCTGCAAAAGACCGTTGTGTTGTGCAAAGGACAGAGTGCGGGAAACTGCGGCAAATATGGAAAGACCGGATCATATGGGTGACCCCCTGCTAGCCCATTCCAAATCGGGAAACGCCGCCGACTAGTTATGTCGCATTGCGTCGGCAAATGGCGTCGCGGCAAACACCGGCACAAATGCACCCATCGTCGGGAAAGAAGAAGCTTCAAGGACCTTTTCGGCGACGCACCCGGTCTGTCTTCCGGCAAAGCACGTGTTCGGGAAGCAGGATCCCCTGACCCTCTCTTGCTTACTGTGCTACTGTTTTGCTCCCTTTAACGGCCTTGCCTTCCGGCCTGTCCTTCACAGCCTCCATCCATGTTCTTCCAAGCTCTGGGCTCTCGCAGTTGTTGGCGCTCGTCGCCAAGCTTGCTCTCCACGGTCTGCCCGCACGTACAATCATGTCTGGCATGGCCGGCCCTGCCGCCGTCGACGACATTATCAGCCAGTTCGACCTGTCCTCGACCGCCCTGCAGACCATCACAGACCATTTCGTCTCGCAGCTGAGTAGGTAGGCCACCGTTCCTTTTCCCACCGATATTTTTGCTCTTGGTGGGACGCCTGCAATCGAGGCTAACTGCGGGTCGTGTCTTGCTGTCTATTTGAATAGAGCTTGGGCTGCTCGACTCTAATTTGCCCTTTCAGCTTCCCGCCTTCGTCACTGCCATCCCAGATGGCACTGAGACGGGGCGTTTTCTCTCCGTCGATCTCGGCGGCACCAACTGCCGCATCTGCATGGTCGATCTCCACGGCCATGGCTCCTTCTCCGTAGTGCAGGAGAAGCACACCGTGCCGCGCTACGTCATGGTCAATTCGCGATACGATCCGCTCTTCTCCTGGCTGGCAGCACAGATCGGCACGTTTGCCCAGGCCCAGAAACTCTTTCCCCAAGCTGGCTCCGATGCCGCTACGAAAGATAGGAAGGTGCCGCTTGGGTTTACCTTCTCCTTCACGTGTGACCAGGTCTCACTCGCATCCGGCACGCTGCTGCACTGGGACAAGGGCTGGGATATCCCATCTGCCCTAGGACGCGACCCCTGCCAGTTGCTCCAGGAAGCTCTCGATTCCGCAAACATCCCTGTCCGTGTGACTGCACTGGCAAACGACAGCGTCGGCACTCTGTTAGCCCAAGCGTACACGTCAGGGGGCCAGCAAGCGACGACGGCCAAGACGTTGGCCGGCATGATTGTCGGCACCGGCACCAATGCTGCGTATGTCGAGCGTCTGCGCCACGTTAAAAGACACGGCGTAGAAGCCGAAAGGGCCAGCCTTGACGATGTTATGATTATCAATACCGAGTGGGGATGCCTGGACGACAGCTTGATTGTACTCCCGCGAACACGCTTCGACGACGAGTTGGATGCCCATTCGACTGACCGAGGCAGCCAGATGCTCGAAAAGCGGGTATCAGGAATGTACCTGGGCGAGCTGTTTCGACTGGCCGTGGAGGAGTTGTACCGGCTTAATAACGTGTTCGATTTCGTCGTTGCGGACAACTCGACATTGCTCCGGATGGCAGGCGTCGACTCCTCGCTTCTCTCGTTGCTAGCGGATAGCTCTTTGGATGACGAGGCAAAAACAAAGTTGGTTGCAACAACTCTCGCTCTCCAGGACACGTCGTCAAAAGATCTTGCAATTCTCCAGCGAATTTCGGCCGCCATCATGACGCGAGCTGCCCGGCTAGTTGGGGCTGCACTGGCAGCCATCGTCATACAGTCTGGCCACCTCGGAGACGGGGTGCATGTGGACGAATCATCGCCGTCTCCGTCTCCTAGCTTTCCAAAGACCGTTGCCGACGACAGCAAGTTCTACTTGGGCACTTTGGAGCCTCCAAATTTGGGGCGAAACAAGGAGCGCAGGTGTGGGATTTTCGGCTTCTTGAAACGTCTCCTCTTCTCTTGCTTGAATAGAAACTCGGCTTCGCCAGCAGAAGCCGAATCGTCCATTGTACCACCACCTAAATCGACTCATAATTTGCACCTGTCTGCCGTTCAAGGTGACGGACGGACACAGACACGCGAGGCGGATACAATTGATATCGGGGTTACTGGGTCCGTGATAGAATATTACCCAACATTCGAGGCTGAGATGAGGGCCGCGCTGCAAGAGATTTCCGGCATTGGGCCTCAGGGTGAGAAGAGGATTCGAGCGGGCGTCTGCAAGGATGGCAGTGCTGTCGGCGCAGCACTGATGGCACAGGCAGCCCTGTCGACAAAAGATTAGAATTGCATATGTTTTGCATCTTTCATATGGACAACTTCTGCATTCTTCCTTGGTTGGCCATGTGCCGTACAAATTCACATTGGGTATAACAGCATATAGATGGTTGCAGAGCCGGCATTTTAGAGATTTTCTTCCACTTAGATTTCGATAGAAACCGTGTCTCTGTTTTTCTGTATCTCTTAATCAGGTCGTATCCCGTACTACGATGGTTTGTAGCCGTCACGGTGCTTCCGCTCTGTCTTCCTCTGCTCTCGGGCTGGCGCTAGTGATGAAATCTGTCCATAATGACTCGCCACCTGTGAACGGGTCGGTTTGGTTGTAGTGTTAGTGCCCGCGGCTGTTGACCGCACAGATGTCAATCTCAATGCCGATTTTCCTTGTCTGCTGGTTTATTCACTGGACGGAGTCATGGCCGTTGGCTTTGGCAGCATGGTTTTTGCAGCATACCAGCTCTCTTAGGCGGCCGGATACTTGGTGTGTACTTCGAGACACGAGAGGGTACAGAACTGCCTAGAGTGATCTTTACGCTCACTCATTTCAGCCTGCTTTCCAATGACAGTCAGTAGTCATTAGTGCGCCATAGGCAAGGCTGAGAACGCAGGCATTGCTGGCGTCAGATACGACGACGAGCTCAGGATCCACGTTCAGGTTATCGGGAAGCGACTAAAGCTGTAGTCAAGCAAGGCAGATGTTTTCATACTTGTAGGTAGCATATTTCGTCTGGCCCTTACTTCGGCATCATATACCTCCAAAGAAAGTACGATCCGATCATCGGTTTAAGTCACGACTCTATCAGTATTGTCAGCGCCTATTCGAGCTCTGCTTCGGACATCAGCTATGGCGAGATTAAGCGGCCTAGGCCCACGATGCCGGAGATTTGTCTGCCTGTGCAGCAGGTACAAGGGCAGACCCGGTCTCTCTACGACCTGTCGTCCCTTCTGTGCGGCCTGAGGGGTTGCAAACTGATACATAAATCTATTGGCTCAAAGCCAACAACATACAATCTCACCAACTCGGCTGTTCTTAGCCAAACTTTCCACCGTAGCTTCGTCATCTCCGTTAAAAGTGACACTTAGCCGGCTAAGTGTATGGCAGCGCCATCGCAGCAACTTCTCTATTACATGCTTCTCGTCGATGACTCCGAGCGCTTCGCTCACTAGAACACTACCACCGCCACTTTTCAGGGGCTTGTCGACGATAAAGACGGCGATGAGAATAGTTGCAGTACTTCCGTACATTTCCAAGCTGGACTTGGACAGGGAAGCCGGAATCAAGCAAAGCTTTTAACCGGACTGAAAGAGGTTAGTCAGGATACATCTACAGGCAGCTGTCTGTCTACGATTCCGAAGACTTGCCTCTATCTCCACATGATTAAGTCGAGCTTACGACTCCATACTTCACGTTGGTCTAATCCAACACGCTCTGATCGTCCCCCAGTCTCACTGTCTTGGTTGAGCTAACGGATAGAATCACGTGACCCAAAGATCTTTGCGGAGAGAAAATATGCCGCCAATTACGGCGTGCATGGTACTCCATATTGCGAACCAAAAGGTCTGGCAACGGGAAAACGTGGCGCTGCCAAGATTCAACTAGCCAAGATTCAACTTGCCAGGATCATAAACGCCCCACTAGCCAGAAAACCATTTCAGGTGCCACCTCACAGTCCGGTAATCCATATAGAGTGACTCCATACCCGGACACGAGAAGCAAGGATATCTTATCAAAAACAAGGCAATATTCACTTTGTCACGTGTCGATGCTTCCAACTCCGGCAGGAGCCAGAGCCGAGTCAATACGGAGTACTCCGTACTCCGTCTGGTGACGTAGGTGGCTATCGCCATCATGACCCCTGTCATTCGAGCGCGTATCAATTGCCACGCAATTACTGCGCCGCAAAAGGTGCGCTCTCATCTCCGCTCTGCCGGCACAGTCGGCATCCGCACCTACAGAGTATGTATGTCTTCGACCAGCCCTTCTTGGCAGGCTTGGCACTGATATGAGAAAAGGAGGCGCGTAACATTAGGGACCGAATCCGTCCATTTAGCAGCCGTTGCCCAGAAGTTGCCAAGAACTCCTAGCCACCTGTTAATGCAGCCACCAGAAAAGGTTCAGCCGTCCGGAATTCACTCAATCATCTTGTCCCAGTCCAAGACGCTGACGCGTCGGACAAAGAGAGTTATGAGTTGCATCCGTCACTCTGTTTCCCCCTTGGCTTCCTACCGTCCAGTTGGTGCTGTTTTTCTCCCTTGATCTAACGCATCCGACCATGTGGAATCGCCGCTACATCGTCCTCGCCGTAGTCCTCTGCACCGTCGGCATTGTCTTGCTCCAGCCACGGTCCCAGGGCTTCGAGTACACGGTAAGAAGAGCCCTGGCGCCGGAAATTCGGCCGCGCGTCCCGGAAGCTGATGCGCCCGACAGAAAGGCCTGCTGAGCCAGTACGGCCGGAAACGGACGTCCCAGTTCCACCTGCTCGTCCCGGCCAGCGGCCCAAATCTGCAGCTATGTCGAGCCCTCGTGTCATCTGCCCTACTAGGCTACCCGCCAGCCGTGCTCTCGGGCTGGAACGGCACCGGTGAGCTTGATGCTGCCGTCACCCACCTGGCAAAGGTGCGCAATGTCGTACGCTACTTCGACAGCCTGCCGCCGACCGCCGACGACGACCTCTTCCTCATTATCGACGGCTACGACGTCATCATGCAGCTGCCCCCCGACGTCCTGATCCGCCGCTACTTTGCCGTCACCGCGGCCGCCAACGTCAAGCTAGCCGCTCGCTTCGGCGACGAGCCTGCTGCCGACGACGTCAACTATCCGCACCAGTCCATCCTCTTCGGTGCCGACAAGCTGTGCTGGCCCGTCGACTTCCGGCGCCCCGCCTGCTATGCGGTGCCCGAGACCGGCCTGCCAGACGATGCCTTCGGTCTCGGCGACGACATCACGAACAGCCAGCCTCGCTGGCTCAACTCGGGCACCATCATCGGGCCAGTCTCGACCATGCGCGCCATGTTCGCTGCCACCATTGAGCGCATCGCCGCTACCTACGACCCCGAGTACATTTGCCGAGAGTCCGATCAGATGTACATGAGCGACGTTTGGGGGGAACAGGAGTACGCCCGCTCTGTGCGGGAGCTCCGCCTGAACGCCATAGGCGATATCGACGAGCAGGACCTCGTGCCCGTGGGAATCGACGGCTTCATACCCGAAGGTGCCGATCCCGAGAGGTGGGGACCCCTTATGCTCCCCGGCCAGAAGACGGAGTTCCAGATCGGCCTCGATTACGAGTCGTCCTTGTTTCAGGCCTGGGCCGGTTACGAAGACTTCCTAGCCATGCTTTCTCTAAATAGCACGGACGATACCGCCATCGTCGACCACAACGTCAGCGGGGTCCCCGACTTTGCGCTGCTGGAGGTCCAACTGCCCGATGACTTGGCCTCCCTCACGCGGCTCGTCAGCAGCATCTCCGACGTTCACAATGCTGAACCGAAGGACCTCATTAGCACCTTTTTCTTTGGCACCAACCTGGTCACGAACCACGTGTACTGCATGTTCCACTGCACCGGCGAGAAGGGCTATCTGGAGGAGCTCTGGGTACAGCTGTGGTTCTACCCGTACGCAAAGGCACTCTTGAAGGCGACCGTCAGCTCAGTCAAGGCCGGCATGAGTATCTCCGACACTGCCATCGATGGCCGCATATGGAAAGGCGCAAACACCTACCCGTGTTCACCGGCCGACGAGATAGACGACAGAAAGGCGGAGGATAGCGATACGGGCAATGACGAGGCTGATGCCAACGAGGTTGTCTACGGCGCGTGGGCCGACTTGGCCAACGAGTGGCTCAGCTGGGAAGACTTATGCGCCGAGCACGAGGACGTGCTGTTTGGCATAGAGAATTCTGCATAACAGCTTGCATATAGTTTGTCTTGCATCACAAGCGAGGTTGGGCTTTAATTTGATTAGTACATCTCCCTTTACAAATTGGACCCATTGTCGGCTCTCAGTTTGCGCCGATGTAACAGATATTTCATTCATACGACTAGTAAACAACACTAACTAGATGCCGTAGTGCAAGCCCGTTTCTCGTTCCAGGACTGGCTGCTTGCCGCAATCTCTGGCGAGCTGATAGTGTGTACTCCTTGTCCAGACAGTAGGATCAGAACAAGTGTGTTTAAGGGGGTTGTGTCTTTCTATGTATTGCTACGGCGCCAGTAAGAGCTGGCTCTGGGACACGTGTTTAGGAAACAAAGGGTTTTGAGAGAGTTATGCATCATGCGTAGGTAAAAGATCCAGAAGAGAGACTTGTGAACAGAAGAAGGTTGCACATTGTATTTTATGTTAACCATTCAGTCTCAAAATCGTTTTGACGGCTGTTCGCTGACAACTCGATGGATTTCCAACTTCAATTCAGATCCGGATATTCGACATCACGGACTGCAACAGGTTCTTGTCAAAAGCAGTGTCACCTGACTCTTAGAAAATAGCCTTGATTCATTCTGGTCCCAGAATCAGGTGTTCTTGTGCCTTCACTAACTACATCACTTCTTGTAACCCACACTCAGACACTCCATCAATTCGGCCTTGTCTCGGACCAGCGCCTGCTCGAGCGACGTCAGTGGAATGCCAAAACGAGCCTCTACGGCCTTAGCCTCGGCGACTACCGGCTCCAGGTCCTTAGCTCCGGCCCAGATTTGGAAAGCCTGTCCGAAAACAGTCGTCTTGGCAGCCTCAACCTGCTCAGGTGTGCGGCGACGCAGACCAATTGCACGACCGCTGACACGAGTAAGGATGTTGCGGATGTCATCAACGCTGAGATTCTCGTGGCCGAGTTCGATCTCCTGGCCGTTGAACGTGGTCGGGTCCTGTAAAGCAGCAGCAGCATAGCGCCCGAGGTCGTTGCCGTCGGTGTGGGGGATGTGAGTGCCGTCATCGCAGGCGTGGACAATCTCGCCAGCGGAAGGAAGCTCTGGAAAGTTTCCGTAGACGTTGGGCAGGAGGTAGTCAAAGTGGATGTAGGACGGCCTGAGGACCGTGTAGGCCCGGAAGCTGCAGTTAGATGCTGCCACGGCTTCACGCACGAGATCCTCGACAGCTGCCTTGTCGGAAAAGTAGTCATAGAGGTCACACTCTTTGGTAAATTCGTCATTCCACATGGCACGGTTGCTGACACAGAGTGCCGTTGTGACCACAATGGACTCGACACCAGCCCGCCGACAGCCTTCCAGAATGCCTTGGGCCTGCTTCATCGGCAGTCCAGGAATCGGGAAGGTGTTTAAAAATACGCCCTTGCACCCCTGGGCAGCCCGGAAGACAGCATCGACGTCCTGACTGTCACCAGTGAAGACAGTCACGCCAGCACGCGTCAGTTGGGCCGGCAGCGGCGCCTTGTTGGGATCGCGCACCAGGGCATGCACCTTGGCACCGGAAGCTAGCAGATGATTGATGGTCCAGAGGGCTTGCTTACCAGTGGCCATCGTGATGAGGTAGGCGGACATTGTGATGTGGGCAAATTCAGGCAGATATTGATGGGGGCAGGTGATGGGAAGGATAATAAGAAGATGGATGTCAGGAGAAATGTGGGAGTAGGAATACAACTTTTATACACTTTATGTCTCGGCAGAAGTTGCATTAGGTGGAGAAGTAAGAGCGTTGGAGGTCTGGCAAAGGCAATTCTGACGAGCAGCTGCAAGGCGGTCACGAGGTTGGAGCCGACATCCAACGTCCTTCTGGGTGTTTGTGGCCCACCTAGAAGCTCGGGAAAAGTTGCTTTTGGTGGGGTAATCTCGATGTTGGAAGCTTTACACTACAGTGTATTTCAATGGGATTTTGTGAGCTACTTCATTATCAAGTCACTAATACCTTTATTCTTATTCTGGCTCTCACTCTGCAGCAAACTGTACACGCAATGCACAGCCCCTACACATACGATGGAAGCGGTCTGTTGGCACTGACGACAGCGTCCATCATACGGAAGTAGTTGAGCACCAGATCGCCATCGGCGTGCAGGTCGACCTGTGCCCAGACCGCCTGCAGGCCGGCTTTGAGTCGCTGCATGCTGCGGGCCTGCGTCATCCGCTCCGTTCGCTCGACCATGGCGAGGACGGTGGCTCGCTGCTCATCCGAGCGAGCCTCGCCACCGATGATAAGCAGCGGGAAGAAGTGGTCACAGCTGGGGTGCATCTGCAGCGGCATGTCATAGATAGTGGCTACTAGAGCGTCTAGGTCGATGGGCGGTGGTGGTGGTGATGGTGATGTTGATGGGAGGACCGACAGAGACGCCCACGAAGTCCCTGCTCGCACGAGATACACCAACGTGGCGACCCGAAACAGCTCAACAGCCACGACCGTCCGGTCAGCCTCAGACCAAGGCGTCACGGAACTCAAAGCCATCAGCGACGTGGCGGCTGGAAAATTCTGCACGCGAAGCTGAAGCGTCCGCAACCTCTCCCGATATGCCGTCTCGTTGCTGCGCAGATCTCTAGGGTCGATGATGGTGCCGCAAGCCTCGTCGAGGAAGTTGAGCACAGCCAGTGTCGGTTTCCGGCAAGGTTGTGTCTTTTTGTTAGCTGGAAACAGGAAAATGACTACGAAGCGGATAGAAACAATCTCTTACCGGCAAAAAGTACTCTCCCTGGCTGCCATGTCGCCAATGCTGCATCGAGAAGCGAGACAGAGTTGCGTGGTAGTATGCCCACTCGACCAGCATATTCTCATCGTCACCTACGATATCACTGTCTAGCTGTTGCTCCAGTTGGGTCTCCCGAACAAGGCCAATGGCCCCTTGCACATGCCACAGCCACTCGCCCGAACTGGCTGACGGAAGCTCGATTTCGTACGAGCACAAAAGCATCGATGCTGCCACAATAGGTGCCGCGGAGCCCAGTTTTACTCCTCTCCTCTGTTGTTGTTGCTGCTGCTGCTGTTGTCGGACAGCTGTGCGCAGTGCCTCTAGCGCAGCCACCTTGAGTCGGATGGCCTCTGGCTGCACTCCGCTGCGGCGCACAGATGCCACAGCTAGCAGCGAATATAGTAGCGCCCTACCTGACATATCGTGTCCACCGCCATCAGACAAGGCCATTCGCAGAAGCATGTCCCGGATCTGCTGGGCAGTGCCGCTGAAAGTCACCAGCGAGAGGTAGGCAACATTGTGGACTTGGTGCTTAGTCAGCCAATAGCACACCGGAGCCGCCGTTTAATACTCACAATAACCGAGCAGATCAGTGTTCTGCACTGTCGAAGGAGGAGGTTGTCTTAGCAGTGGCACACTATCCATCAGAAGAGCCGGTCGGATCTCACTCTGCTGGGAAAGCTGTCTGTACAGCTCGATATCCCAGCCGGTAGTGTTAACAAACAGACGCCGGCCCTTCCAAGTGGACCCAACATGTTTCTGTGTCCACAACGGCTCCAAAGAATTAATAGCTCGTTTACTGTCATTCTCGCGTGGCCACGACAGTCTCAGCCCATATCCTTGGCACGATTTTTTGGCCCGGACGCAGGTCTGGCACGCCGGCAGGCCTCGGTCGCAGCGCACCTTTCGCTCTGTAGAAACGTAAGAATCAGACTGCCGACGACACCCACCCTTTGCCACTTACCTTTGCACGTCCAACAGCCTTTGCTCTTCATCGTCTGTGTGGTCGACATGGCGTCAGAGTTATCGGATAATGCGATCAAGTCCCGGCCACTCCTTATAGCATTGTATCTGCTTACCTGGCCCACCAACAGCAACTTTTTGCGAGTTTGGATTTGTCATCTCTAAAAGGCAGGATCTGACGGACCCGGAGTTTAGCTAGTAAGGTAGGAAGTGATTGCACTAGAGCATATATAGTCACGTGTCAGTGTGTTAATATCGCAACGCAGAAACGACTTATGCAATGAGCATATTGCATCGGCAATACGGAGTACTTTACGACCTAAGCTCGGCCGATCACCTTTCTGACCGCAAACCGTCCTGATTCGGATGTCTTGCTGACGTTTCTAGGGGCTTCTGGTAGGGCTGACATTACTCGGCACTAAGCGTGCATGCGCCTTACAGCGGGCTGTGTAAAACAACGCACAAGCAGATACTATTTTGCTAAGTTCTTCGTATGTCTAGCTGTTATAGGTACTCCGGTTCCGAACTTCGTAAGTCCAGGTCAAATAAGTCCGTGTTATATACGATCAGCATGCAGCCACTGAACCATGGGCCGGCAGATGGTCAGATGAATTAAGAACACAAACAGCCGCTGGTGTTTCCGGAATTCTTATACCTTTTTTCGTGTCAACTTCCCATACTGTACTCCATACTAATCTCCGTGTTTCTTCTTATCCGCCGCTCTTTCCATACCGCTTCTGTAGGCCCAGTTTAAGCGACAAGAATTATGCCAGAAACATTGGCTTCTGCAGCCGAGGCAGATTCGGGCGCCGATCTCTTAGATGCACTGTCCGAGAGCCACATGCAAGCTGATGTAAGTAGCAGCCTTGTGTTAAAAGGTGCATTTGTTGACAGAGAATCATCGAAGGAAGGATTTGGTGACTCTGCATCCCAAGACTCCTACGTTGATCAAGGGGTCACCTGGGCGAAGATTGTAGCATCAAGAAGCCTTGACACTTCATCTCTCATTTAGACCTGGATTCGTGTCGTCCCTTGAGTCTGGCATCTTCAAGTACAAGTACGCTAAACAAAAATAAAAAATTGATACAACGCCTACTAACCGCACTAACTAGATACGAGGCTGGACCTTCTTCTTTTAGACCAACAGGAGATGATTTGCTCACATATCGCAGGACGCCGCTATCATGCTTTTCATGAAGTTGCTTATCTTGTGATATGGTTCGGTTCCAGTTCATTCTCTGCCCAATGTAGAAGCGTAATAGCTACCTTGTAAACAGCCTAACGACGACGAAGAGGAAAGCCGCATGGACCTCGTGCACCAAATTTACCGCCTGCTTCTCGGTGGCAACCTGCGTTTTGCTCCCCTCGGCAACAACGTCCATAGCGTTCTCGACTTTAGCACCGGTACTGGTATCTGGGTCTTGAGTTTTGCAGAGTACACATGACCAGCTGGACGAACGTATAATAGAGCGGCTAGCAACCTTCAATTTGAATAGGATGCATCCATCTTCGGAGGTTCTAGGCACAGATTTGAGTCCCGGTCGGTCTAGGTGGCATGCAAACAAGCCCTGCTTCAAACAACTGGTAACTTAAAACATCTACTAGGACACCACCCAACTGTGTCTTTGAAGTCGGCGACTTCGAGTCGGAGTGGACATACGGCCAAATTTTGACTTCATCATCGGCCGTGAGCTTGAGGGCCGCATTGCCGACGAAACCTATCTCTAACAGCAGGCATTCAAGCACTTAAACTCTGGCGGCTATATCGAGATGCAGGCTGCATTCCCACAGTTTTCCTCGGACGACAACACCGCCAAGGAGGCCGTCAATGCCCACAAATGGATGCGCCTCATGTGTGAGAGTGCGGCCAGCTATGGTAATCCCTGGGACCTGTCCGGCCGCTGGAAGGAGAAAATGGCTGCCTCCGTCTTTGTCGGCGTGCAGCAGACCATCCTCAAGGCCAGTTCATGCAGCCCCTTCCTGTGCGTACCTTAGGCAGAGCTGACAAGAACTACCACAGCTGCCCATTGGTGGTTGGTCCAAGGACCCTAAGCACAAGGAAATTGGCAAGTGCCAATTGTTCCAGGAGCTCCAAGCCCTCGATGCTTACTCGCCATATCTTCTTTCCCGCGTTCTTGGCTGGACCCAGACTGAGATACAAGCCTTCCTTGTTAAAGTTCGTACCGATATCACAGGTCCGGCCATTCATTTATACCTCCCAGTTTATTTTGTCTGGGGTCGGAAGCCTTAAGCTGTCCTAGGATCACGAGCCATTTAAAAAATACTGTTTGCTTATTACTACACAAAGCCAGTAAACATGTTAAATCCAGAGGCAAGTGGAATACAGAAGGCTGAGTTGTGTTCACTGTAATCAGCCCCACAGTTGCCGTCTTCATGACAAGGGGTTATTACATGTTTCTGTTCTCTTTACGGCCGACATCAAACAAAATCGAGCCCGGCCACATACGCGACTAGCTGCGTATGAAGGGTCTAATATACACTGTCATCAGAATTCTTAACTGGCGTTCAAGGCGATGGCGGACTGTCTTGTTTCTGGTCGGACGTTTGCGACGCCCGCAAACCGGCGTCAACACATTCTGAGCAAGCACCCAAGAACATACTGTCTGTGATGTGAGCGGCCTTTCGCGTGCCGTGCTGATTTGCGCCGACACGTTTTGGATTCGCCATATCACCACGCCTGTAAGCGTTGCAAACACAATCCGGATTTTGAAACGGCAGCACAGTTGCAAGATCACAATGACAAGATGCACTTTTGCTGCGATCTATGTCAGAAGTTTTTCGACCATGCACACAGCCTCATACAACATAATATTGCTGTGCATAGCTTCTATCAGGAACCCGAGGGCTTTTGTACTTCTCCCGCAAGTTTTTAGATGGTAAGTATCGCAAGACCCCGACACATTTCCATCTGCAGAGGCCTGACGTAATGAGTAGGTGAATTGAAGGTATGACGTTCTGTGATTATTCAGTTCTCCTGGCGTCCGTAGCTGCTTATCTCAGGCAAATCCTTTAAGGTAACCTGACATTCTGTCGCCTTACAGAGCACGGTTGCTTCTGAAAATAATTTACAGGATGAAGCCGCAGAATAGCTTATATTTGTCTATGCAAGGATTAGAAGTTTTTATTTCTCAATGCCACTATGCTGCTGCTTAAAGCTCGTCTGTCTTCCAGAAAATGACCCATTTCCAGGATTCAACTATCCCCCCTTTTAACGCCGCAGAAGAGGCTGTCTAAAGTCAACATGTGCAGCCCGGGCGAGAGGACGGGGTTGTTCGTTGGTGCCGTTAGGGTCTTGGCCGATAAAGTTGTGGGGAAAGCCAAAATCAAACGGTTTGACGCTCTCCAGAAAGGCAAGCTGCTTGTCGGTGAGGCTGATCGAGAGCGACTGTATATTGTCATGCAGGTGTTCGATCTTACGGCCGCCAATAATAGGGAAGACGCGTGGGGCCTTAGTCATAACGTAGGCGAGTGCCACAGCAGTGACGGATGCGATGCCATGTTCAGAAGCAACCTGCTCGAGTGCAGCGCTAATACTCTCCTCTTCGACGCTCTGTGCCCCAGCACTACCTCCAGGCACCATGCTTATACGAAGAGTCTCGCCCTGGGCGTGACGGGCGGCGATGGCAGCTCTAGACTGGAACTTTCCGCTGCCAAGAGCATCCCAAGGCGCGATGGCCATGCCAAAGTGGCGACACAGGGGCAGGATCTCGCGTTCCATATCGCGCACAAGCACGTTCCAGCGACCCTGGTAAATGCTAAAGGGGGTGCGGCCGTGGTCTTGGGCATACGTGTTGGCAGCTGCAACAATCCAGGCCGGCGTGTCCGATACACCGAGGTAAAGCACCTTGCCCTCCTGTACGAGTGCGTGCAGCGTGTCCATGACCTCGGGAATCGACGTCGTGTAGTCCCAGAAGTGCAGGTAAAGCACGTCGACAAAGTCCGTCTGCAGTTTCTCCAGCGATGCTGCTAGGCTGGTACGGATGCTGCGCCGGCTGTTACCTCCGCTGTTGGCCGCGTTTCCCTTGCCGGCCGTCACGTACTGAAAGTCGTTGCTGAATTTAGTTGCCAGCACAATCCGGTGGCGGTTCTGACGCGCCGCCATCCACTCGCCGATCCACATCTCAGACTGTCCGTCTTGGTAGACGTTAGCAGTGTCAATCATATTTCCGCCCGCTTCGACAAAGGCGTCCAGAAGGGCAAATGAGGCCTTTTTATCCATGACGCCCAGGAAGTCCTTCCAGGCCTCGCCAATCGACATGGCGCCCAGCTGCAGAGGAGAGACGCGGATGCCTGCCGTTGTCGACAGGATTCGCAGCCTGCCTAATGGCGTTGTTGGAGGTGGCGGTGCTTGGTTAAAAAGTGACATGATGATGCGGTTAGTCGAATGTGAGAAAGAAGAAATCGGGGTGAGCTCGGTTTGCGCAGACCAAAACGTCATTCCACTGATATCAGAAAATCGAGTCGGGGAATAACGGGTTTAACCGTAAGACGTAGGGCTACTCCCATTCAAGTGTAGAGTAGATGTAAAAGCAGATGTACGTGGCACCACAGAGTACGGGGTACTCACTACCAACACAGAGTGACTCGTGTAGATCTATCACGCGGCAGCTTGGGCCGAAACATCTGCCTATGAGGTGGTCTGTGTTCCACTGCGCAACAGTTTACATTCCGATAAACTAAGCCCCTCTGATTGGACGTTGGTCATTGAAAGTATCAACTATGCGTACATAATTATTCGGCCTCTCATTCAAATATGCCATGCACTCATTGGGCATAGATAAGGATCGCAATGGCTGCCTCGGAGACTGGCTATATTAAGGAGGCCTTTCTTCTCTTTTGTACAAATGGCACACGGGTTTCCACCAGCACATGTGCTTACTCGATTTCTCCAATATTTTGCGAAACATAGTTGTCTTGCACTTCAACTTTTTTTAATATCAACATACCATTCTACTCAAGCACACTTCTGGACTGTTGTTCAACTTGTATAACCGGTCTTTTTTCTCTCCAAATGAAAGTCACATTCACTCTCGCCACAATAACTGCTGTCTCTACAGTTGTCATGGCTGGACCTGTGGCATACGCCACTTGCCAGTCTGCGTGTGCCACAAGTCTTGCGGTCGGGCCTGTTGGTGTCGCTATATACGCGGCATGCCAGTCGTCCTGCGCGGCTCTACTGCTATTTCCGTGCCCCTAGGCATCTAGTACGATCTGGTACTAATGGTTTGAGGGATTCTAGAGAGATTAGTTGAAGTTGGCATGCAGTGGCTAAGGTCACTTCTGTTATAGCAAATTGGGAAATGGTGATAGTTTCAGGTTATTAGGATGGCACCAGATGAAATAAATACAATTCAATTGCTTATTCGGCCATTCTGTACAAATTATTTGAAGTACGGAAACTTGAAACTCATGGCAATTATCTTTACGATAGTTCTGGGAACAAGATGGGAGGCCTTGAAGACTTGCAGGAGCATACTGAAACACCAGATGTCTTCCCGTGATGGAGCAGTGCGTGTACAGTGCCATCACTGTGTCAGATACCGTAACTGTCAGCCACGCTAAGCCACAATATTACTCGACGAACAGGCAGACATGTGCTTTACCCGTCTCACCAAGCCGTCAACTGAGCAGAGAAGGGCCCGGCGCCAGTACCACCTCAAAGAAATCATTCCAGCGTAGATGGAAAGACGTGGACGGCCCAGCGCATGCTCGGAAGTCGTTTAAAAGTATCGCGTGAGAGCACAGGTACACAAACTCTTGGCACGAGCAGCAAACAGGGGTGCGAAGCTAGAAGCACCGGCATGGACCAGCGGGCGGCTAAGGTGGGACATCGAAAGTCACGCAAGGGGTGCAGCAAGTGTAAGATACGGAGAGTGAAGGTGAGTGGATGAGTGAACGTGCAACGTTGTGTTTTGAATTTTAACGGGACAGTGCGATGAGGTGCGACCAGTGTGCAGCAATTGTTCACGACTGAAGTTGGCCTGCTCGTGGCCGGTGCTGGAGCGAGGGCAGACGGGAGAGCATGGAGAGAAAGGAGAGGCAGGGCTGAGAGGGAAAAGAGAGACATTGCATCCTTCGCATCCACCACATCCATCAAATCCAGCACATAAAAACACCAGATCGCCAACCGGCTTCTCGGCCGCGTCCACAGACGTCGAGGGTGCGTCTTCGAGAGAGTCGGCACCACTCTCAGCGCTGCTGCGGATGTGGACGCCGCAAGAGGGGGACGCAGACGTGTTTTTAGTGCCGGAGTCGGTGGCGGACGAGTTCTCGCTACCAGAATCGCGGGCGCGGCGGCTGATGGAGCACCGGCTGATGCAGAACTACATCCTGCACCTGTCGGAGCCACTTCCAATGTCGCCGAGCGCAGAGTGGAACGCGCTGTGGCAGAAGCAGCTACCTCCGCTGGCGCTGCAGCACGACAACCTGCTCTATGCGCTGCTAGCGATGTCAGCGACGAGTCTATTGGGGGCTGGGGAGGATGAGAGCAGGAAGGGGGACGAGCATGGAAGTGGTGACTCGAGCGGAAGCTCTAGTGAGACTTCCAGCGGTAACTCTGGTTCCGGCAGCAATGTCGAGCGGAAGGAGCTCTTCACAGTCCGGCAGGCGTACTTGATCGCGGCCATGGGCGAGCAGCGACGCATGGTGCAGTCGCTGACGCTGGCGAGTGCAGACGCGGTCTGTCTCTCGTCGCTGCTGATGCTGATCAACGCGTTTGCGATGCTGGGCGAGCGCGTGGTCCAGCCGTACACGCCGCCGACCGAGTGGCTGCAGCTGGGTCGTGGCTCAGGTGCCGTTGTCTGGCTCAGCGTCGAGGCCATCCAGCAGTCGGGCGAGGCCGATCGGTCGGTCATGTGCACGATTGCAAACGCGCCTCCGCAGTTTGGCCTGGACGAGTCGTACTTTGACGCCAGCAACCGGGAGCAATTCGGGGCTCTTTTGGCGACGGAGGCGACGACAGCCTCGGCTTCAGAACCGTCCGATCCTGACGACGAGACCACACGCCTGGCCTACGAACAGACGCTCGCATATGTCGGGTCCATCTACAAGGCCATCCGGCGCCGTGAACCCGTCTATGTGATATCCCGTCGCGTCCAGGGCTTCACCATGGTGGTTCCGCCGCGATTTGTCGACCTCGTCGCTGCTAGCCGCCCCCGCGCCCTCGTCGTGCTTGCCTATTTCTTCGCCGCCGTCGTGCAGCTGTCGGGTGTCTGGTGGCTTGGTGAGGGTGCTGGTGCTGGCCGCAACTGCATCGCCAGACGCGAGCTGCGCGGCATCCGCTCTGTCCTGCCCGACGAGTGGACGGGCCTCATGGTCTGGCCGCTGGACATTGCCGGCCTGATGTGATGTGGACATACTGGGGCTAGGCTTGGTGTCACCGGTGGGTGGCTGTGGAGAATGGCGTATCTATTGGCGAAGAACTAGCTGGGGTTGCAAATAGACGTATAAAGGGCAATTTTGGTTGGATGCAGGACAGCCATTCTGAAATTCAGAGATCCATATTCGGGGCCATTTGCTGGGTTTCGATATAGGGATTTCGATTTTGATCAGTCGCGCTTTGCCGTAATCAGCTTGGCATCGTTGTTCGTTCGTACATTGAACCGTTGTAATATTATATAACAAAAACTACGGAGTACGTGCAGTCAATGCTGTCGAATAAACCAGGCCAGAATGGGTTGGAATTGAGACTTGTGGCGCAGGATGTAAAGATATACGTACCCTGTGGCCTTGAAGATGCCCAGATTGAGATGAAGATCAATCACCATACACATTATCCATGTGAGATGTACCTGTAGTTTATTCGCTTAACCTGGATGCTTACAGGAAATCATGTCGTATGTAATTTATTATTCAATATGCTTCGCGCATATTATCCACTACATCTCCAGCAGCCCGCCCTCTGCTGCAAACACGCTCCAGTCCAGCCGCTGGACAAGTTGCTGCACGGCCTTGCGGGCCACTGGCAAAATGACGTCGTCGACCGTCGGTCTGGTCGAGTCGAGAGCGCCCTTGACATCGAACAGCGTGCCGCAAATATCTGCCGTGACGGCCGCGAAGCTAGCTCGCACCAGCTGGTCAGCCTGCGTGACCACTGGCCTAATCTGGAGGTAGAAGTCGGTGCAGTGCTGGCGGGCGACACGGTCACGTCGCTGTCTGTCCGGCTCAGCGTAGTTCTCGTAGACGCTGAGCAGGAAGCGAGCACCAGCTGCCAGCTCGTCGGCCGAAGCCGTTGCATTGGCCATGACTGCCAGCCGTGGCGCGTAGCGCCGGACGATCAGATCGGCCACGTCGCGCCAGTGCGCCGCTGCCTGTGGCATCGAGCCGCGACGGGTCCCGATCGTCGCCGCAAGGTAGTCCCGCATGGCTGCCCGCTGTGTGGCGCTAGTGTTGACCAGCCGCGGAAGCCGAGAGCCCTCGGCTGCGTCCGGCACGTCTGGGTTCGTCAGGTCGACCGGGAAGAAAAAGGCCGACACCATGGCCGAAAAGTCCAGCAACGTCCGTCCTCCGACATCCCGGAAGCTCTCCTCGGGGCTTGATGGCGTCATTCGCCACCCTGGACCTCCAGGGCCTCCACCAGGACCGCCACCGGGACCACCACCACCAGGCCGACCTCCAGGACCATCCCCTGGACCTCCTCCGGGACCACCAGGTCCACTCATCCCACCATCCAATCGTCGTACCGATTGCACTTCTTCCAGGCCGTCAAAGAAGTCGCACTTGATGATCTCGATGCCCGGGCTCTCGGTGCGGATCACTCCTTGCAGCCCCCACTCCGCACACAGCGCACATAGGTCGAGGGCCCGCTGGTTCTCGCCGGGAGGACCAGGCCGCCGTGTCGTCTCCGGGACTGCCTCCCTCGTCGTCTCGGTGGCACCCGCGAGCCGCAATATCAGGTCCTGCGTGTCAATCACACCCGTGTCGTCCTTGTTCCCGCTCATGCCGTCAATGTACAGGAACTGCAGCGGCCGCGTAGTGCGGTACGTGTGCAGCCAGCCGTAAGACTTCTTCCTGTCGTCACCACCTAGAGCTGCCTGCAGCCTGTTCTCAGCCCAGTCATCTCGAGGTGGCTCACCAGGGGGGCCCCTGCCCGGTCCTCCCATCTTGCTCCGGGCAAACATCTCGGCGTGCTCGATCTCGTACGCCATCCAGTCGAGGCTCGTCGGCGTCGCATTGCGGTCGTTGCCGTGGTGGAAGAGGATGCCCTCGGGCACAGTGGCCAGGAAGAACGACATGCCGTTAGGATGCACCGTCTGCCCCCATTTGCGCAGCGAGTCAAAGATCGAATTGAAGATCTGGTGTCCGCGCTCGTCCGCTACCTCGACGCTGGGACCAAACTCGGCCGTCGCGAGTGCCGTTGGCGACAACGCAAGCACCAAGGCCCCGGAGGCCACCAGAGTCCTGAGAACCATCGTGTTTGGTCAGACGTGAACAGAGCACAGACGTAGGAACAAATGCAGGCACAGGGGCCATATTATATACGCCGCAGCGCCACCGGCGAGCACTGTCCACAATGTGTCGGGAAATGAATGGACGCGCGGCGGCGTTGCGCAAGCAGATTTTGGCAAGAGATTATATTGATAAATAGCTCGGATACGTGCACATGCTTTTTGCTGCATACTGCCCCCGCCTCAAACTGCGGGGCATTGACGTCGACAAGAACTTTTAGTTTGTGTCAAACTATCAAATACTTACTCAGACCCTCTCAACGTGTAGTGTACCCGCCATTAGCAAAGATTGTCTGGCCCGTGACCCAGCCTCCTTCGGTGACGAGGAAGCGCACGATGGGAGCAATGTCCTTAGTGTCGGTGAGACGGCCACCGAGCGCCTGGCTCTTGTGGTAAGCAACGGCCTCAGGACCCTGGCCGTAGAAGAAGGCTACAAGAGTGGATGTGAGCATAGGAAATTAAAAAGAAAGAAAATGAACTCACGAGTGTCCATCGGTCCCGGGGCGATGGCGTTGACGCTGCGGTCCGTTAGATCGATGAGAAGAACAGGAAATAGGCTACGAAAGAAAACACACCTGACTCCGCGCGGCTGCAGCTCCTTGGACACACCGCGGGTGAAGTGTTCCACAGGCGCCTTGGAGCCGGCGTAGGACGTGTAGTAGCCAGTATAAGCAGCTAGCAGGGCAGTGACAACGGTGACGATCTTGCCGCCATCCCTGACGTGCTTTGCCCCCTCCTTGAGAATGAAAAAGGCCGACTTCGAGTTGACACTAGTCGGCGGTGGCGGTTAGCTGGTAAGAAGAGGAGAGGAACCCAAGCTCTGAGAATGGACTCACGCAAACATGCTGTCATATTCCTCTTCGGAGATCTCAGTGATGGGCTTCTTCAGCACCTTGCCGACCGTGTTAACGACGATGTCGATGCCGCCGAAATCCTTCCCGACCGAGGCGAACAGCTTCTCGACCGCGGTGGCCGTCGTCAGGTCGCCCTGGTAGAAGCGCACCTTGACATTGGGGAAAGCCTTTTTAAGCGCCGCCTCGGTCTTGGTCGCGTCCGCCTTGGTCTTGTCCGAGTTGTAGTGCAGCGCCAGGCTGGCCCCGACCGACGCCAGCTCGTGGGCGATATCAGCCCCGAGGTTCTTGGCTCCGCCAGTGACGAGAGCAACCTTTCCGTTAAGAGCCATAGCTGCTTTTAGTAGAATAAATGTTCAGCTGTGTTATCTGATTGTTGTGTCTGGAGAACGTTGCAGTGCTGATGGACACAAAAGACCGGTCTGGAAGATGCAGAGGGCCAGACCTTGATATACTTTTTCAGCTATCGCAGATCGCCGGGTCAAGCTGCCGATCCTTGCCAGGCGAGCTGCATGTCTTTGCAGGCCAACTGCAGCCAGTCCTCAGCCCTGCTAGTTCTGCCAATATGACTGGCGGTGCTGACAGCAGTGTTGGCTTGCCGTCTCCACACTAACGCACTTTAAGGATTTAAAGACCATTAGGCATCGGGTTTAGACCGTTGTCTGCAACGGAAGCCGAAGGAAGAGCTTCTGGCCAAAACCGACAGCTTGTCTACGTACTAGTAACGGCTGTCATTGGCCAGGAAGAGGCGAACAGAGACCAATATATGAGAAAAAGCAAACATACTGCAGATCTCGTAGGATGACATCACCAAGATGAGCTAGGCTAGCCTGCAAGAATCTTAGCAGCGCCGGGTGTGCGGTCGTAGACACAAAGCATTACCGAAAAGAAGATCGATATGATTGCTTAGTAAGCCAATATATACAAATCATCCGGCACACAAATACGCCATGTCGCATCCGAACCTCTTTTTTTGTCCAACCACATTCAAAAATTCAGCTAAGTAAAAACGTAAAGCCCAAGACGTGATTGACCGGCTCAAAAACCCTAGTCCGTATCCGACCTCTATGTCTATATGAAACCGTGGGTATCCATCAATTGTCGTAGTCGTCGTCTGTCGTTCTACAGCTTGCCAAACACGGTCGGCACGACCCCGCTCATCTCGATGAGGGTACTCTTGTTGCGCAGCCAGGCCTCAAGGCCGCGGTGGCCGTTCTCAACGCCGACACCGCTCTGCTTCCAACCGCCGACTGCCATCTCGGCGGGCGACTCGCCCCAAGTGTTGACCCAGGTGATGCCAGCCTGGAGGGCGTTGACGACCTGGTGACAATGGTTGATATCGCGACCGAAGACGCCGGCAGCAAGGCCGAGATCGGTGTTGTTGGCACGGCGAACAGCCTCCTCGACGGTGGTGTAGGGCAGAATGCACATGACGGGACCAAAGATCTCCTCACGCACAATGGCCATGTCGTCGGTGCAGTCGGTGAAGACGGTGGGGGCAAGCCAAAAGCCGGTGCTGAGGGCAGGCGGGATACCGGGCGGGACGACAGTGTCGCCACCGGCGAGCAGGCGGGCACGGTCAACATCGCGGCCAGTGCGCATGTGGCTGAGGACCTTGTCGCGGTGGAGGGCACTGCTGACGGGGCCGTAGTTGGTGGCAGGGTCGAAGAGGTCGCCAGCGCGCACGTACTGCAGCTTCTGCAGCAACAGGCGCTCGAATTCGGGCAGCATGGCGGCCGGAACGAAGACGCGGGTGCCGTTGGTGCAGACCTGGCCGGAGCTATAGAAATTGGCCATCATGGCGCCGTCGACGGCCTGGCCGACGGGATCGGCGTCGGGCAACACGATCAGCGGGCTCTTGCCGCCGAGCTCCATGGTGACATACTTGAGCTGGCCGGCAGCGGCGCCGGCAACGCGACGACCCGTGCTGACCTGGCCGGTGAAGCTGACCTTAGCCACAGCCTTATGGTCGACGAGACGAGCGCCAACATCGCCGGCACCGTAGACGACGTTGAAAACGCCTTCGGGCAGGCCGGCATCACGGTAAACGTCGGCCAGCAGCTGGGCGTGCAGTGGGGTGAATTCGCTGGGCTTGTAGACGAGCGTGTTGCCGGCAGCCAAACACGGAGCCGACTTCCAGAGCGCGATCTGCAGCGGGTAGTTCCAGGCCCCAATGGCGGCACACACGCCCAGAGGTTCCTTGGCCGTGTGCACCGTTGCTCCGCCCCAGCCCGGTCGTAGCGCAAAGTACTCGCCGTTAAGACCGCCCGAGGCAATCAAGCCGGCGTAGTATTCCAGGACATCAGCGCCCGTCACCACGTCGACCACGGACGTCTCGCTGAACGGCTTGCCCGAGTCCAGCGTCTCGATCCGTGCCAGCGCGTCGTTGCGCTCCCGCAGCAGCTCGCTCGCCCGCCGTAAGATCCGTGACCGCTGCACCGGCAGCGTGTTGGCCCAGCCGGAAAACGCTGCCTGGGCGCTCTCTACGGCCGCATCGACTGCCGCGGCCGATGATGTGAAGATACGGGCGAGCGGCTCGGCCGTTGCCGGGTTGATCGTGAAGAAGGACTTGTCGGACGATGCCGCCGGCTGCGGCTTGCCGCCATAGTACGTGTGTCGATCCAGTTCGGCCATGGATGTGGGGGGTGGGGGGGGAGGAGGGACGGGGGGGGGGGGGGAGGAAGGAGGAAAGCGAGAGAGAAAAGATAGGCCGGGGGTTATCTCGCAAGCGAGTACTGGTCAGGACAGGGCCGATGGGGCGAGGGAACAGGTATTTTGAGACTGAAAAGAGAGATGGGACACGAGAAGTCGCAGAAGAAAGAAGAAGTGGCGTGAGCGGATAAGGCGAGGGAATCGGTCGGGGAAGTAGTAAAGCGGTGAACGGGGCAGGAGAAGTGAAGCTTCGTGCAGACGTCACGAAAGCAGCAATACGAGCCGATGGGCTGTGGAGCCGATATACTGCTCAAGAGCTATCTCGACGAACTTGTAGTGCGCCGGCTGCCGTAGTGGGTATGGGGTCAGGGATGTGAAAATTTGCACAAAAGCGCATTGGTGCGGAAGAGGCCCCCCTCTAAAACCGGATTTGCACTGATAGCCCCTGATAAAAATCTGCACTTACGTAAGGCCAGCTCCGCTTCTGTGCAGCGACGTCATTGGGGGGGGACCTGCGTAGGGCGACACCCAGGCGGAGGCCGGCACCAAGTGGCGCCAGGTGGTTCGATGGGGCGGGGCCGCCATCCGCCGGCAGCCAATGACAGAGCCGCCTTCGGGCCCGCCTGCTTATCGTCAGCATCCGCGCGCCCCCCCCGGCGCGGCCTTGGCGAAATAAGTCCAGGTCGATCGGAGCGAACGGCGAACAAAGGCAGGCCTGCAAGGGGAAACCGTCGGCAGAATTTGCTGCAAACGGCGAACTCTCACGGCCGGGACGCGCTGCAGCAGTGGGCGGGTGGCTGGACAAAAGCCTGCGTGTTTTGTACGTCGTATCTCATAAAGCATTCATCCAACAGGGTTAGGGTTGTTTGCTTATCTCGGCAGCTGTCCCAGTCATCGCCTTGCCTTTCTCCGTCTTCTCTTCTCTTTTCTCCAGTCTATCCATCCTTCTTCTGCCCAATTGGCCGTCAATTGCACGCGACATTCTCGATCGTCCATACACACGATAGACGACACACGACACACGACATCCACCATGACGACTACTTTCCTTCCACACTCCGACGTCGACTCGTTTGACTATGTCATTGTCGGCGGCGGCACCGCTGGCTGTGTCATTGCGTCGCGCCTGGCCGAGTACCTGCCGTCCAAGAAGATCCTGATGATCGAGGCCGGCCCTAGCGACTTTATGGACAACCGCGTGCTCGACCTGCGTCAGTGGCTCTCGCTGCTGGGCGGAGAACTGGACTATGATTACGGCACCACAGAGCAGCCAAATGGTGAGTGCGATGGACACGAGGGCGTGAGAGCCGACAAGCGGAGAGTTGTGTGCTGTCTGCGCAACGAACAGAACTCTGCGATCTGGCGATGATCTGGGATGACTAAGCGGGCATCTTTCTCCCCTCTATCTGCAGGCTTCCCTCTCTAATCTTGCTCCCAGGCAACTCTAACATCCGCCACTCCCGCGCAAAGGTCCTCGGTGGCTGCTCCTCGCACAACACGCTGATCAGCTTCCGGCCCTTCGACTTCGACCTCAAGGTTTGGCAGTCCATGGGCGCCAAGGGCTGGACTTTCCCCGTTTTCATGCGTTCGCTGGACAAGCTGCGCAACACGGTGCAGCCGGTGCACGCGCGCCACCGCAACCAGCTGACGCGTGACTGGGTCAGCTCGTGCAGCAGCGCGCTCGACATCCCAGTCATCCACGACTTCAATCACGAGATCGAGTCGACCGGCCGCCTGCACGAAGGCGTTGGCTTCTTCTCCATCAGCTACAACCCGGACAACGGCCACCGCAGCAGCGCCTCGGTCGCCTACATCCACCCTTGGCTGCGCGGCGAGGAGGCCCGGCCGAACCTGACCGTGCTGACCGAGGCCTGGGTCTCGCACGTGAACGTGTCGGCCAGCGGCGACGAGGTCACCGGCGTCGACCTGCGGCTCAAGGACGGAACCCTGCGCACCGTGCGGCCGCGCATCGAGACCATTCTGACGGCCGGCGCCGTCGACACGCCGCGCCTGCTGCTGCTGTCCGGCATCGGCCCACGCGAGCAGCTGCAGCCGCTGGGCATCCCGGTAGTCAAGCATGTCCCCGGTGTGGGCGAGAACCTGCTGGATCATCCCGAGACCATCATCATGTTTGAGCTCAGCCGACCGGTGCCGCCCAACCAGACGACCATGGACTCGGACGCTGGCATCTTCCTGCGCCGCGAACCGGCCAACGCCGACACCGGCCGCCGCACCCCCGCCAACCCGGCCGGCCTGCCCGACGGCGACATCGCGGACGTCATGATGCACTGCTACCAGATTCCCTTCACGCTCAACACTGAGCGCCTCGGCTACGACGTCCCCGCCGACGGCTACGCCTTCTGCATGACCCCCAACATTCCCCGTCCCCGCTCGCGAGGCCGGCTCTTCCTCACCAGCGCCGACCCCAACGTTAAGCCGGCTTTGGACTTCCGCTACTTCACCGACCCCGAGGGCTACGATGCCGCCACCTTTGTGTACGGTATCAAGCAGGCCCGTCGCATCGCCCAGCAGGAGCCGTTCCGCAGCTGGATCAAGCGCGAGGTCGCCCCCGGTCCCAATGTCAAGACCGACGAGGAGATCAGCGAGTACGCCCGCCGTGCCGCCCACACCGTCTACCACCCTGCCGGTACCACGCGCATGGGCGATGACGCCCTCGCCGTCGTCGACGAGCGCCTGCGCTTCCGCGGTCTGCGCCGCCTCCGCATCGCCGATGCCGGTGTCTTCCCCAGCATGACCACCATCAACCCCATGCTGACCGTGCTGGGCGTGGCTGAGCGCTGCGCCGAGATGATTGTCGAGGACCTGGGCCGCGCCGAGGCCCGGCTGTAGAGCATTGGTGCGCTACAGCGGCGAAAGACAGACAGCAGAAGCTGGTCAGACTGCTGGAAATCGGGCACGGCTTTGTACGCTACTAGAAGAGGATGGTCGCTCGAAGAAAATGGCTTGGACTTGGGTACTCGCTCGGAGGCGTTTGATGAACAAAACTTGGACAAAGATTCAAGGATGTGATGATTAGAGACTGGAATTATACTGTCTTTCCGTCTTGAGCAGATTGATTTGCAGTGCTTTCATAGCAGTCAGGAATAGCAAGCAAAATAAGTGGCGCGCTGGATTGAATCCGTACAATGTCGAACTGGCCGAATTGGACATTGGGAACACAGTGTGATGGCAATTATATGTACTGTGTGTTGCAGGGCGTTCGGGCCCCCTGCGGGATCCGGAGTACGGTGGCGATACTCGTAGATGCACTGATTTTACTGTGCACTGCATCGTTATGGGAAGGTGCGACGGCGCGCTTGTAATTTGCATATCGGGTCCTGAATTCATCTAAATCATTGTTCTTAGCTTTCTATACCTCCCATCCTCCATACTTCGTACTCTTGCAACCGTTCGACCTTATGACCCTATGCTACAACCCTTTGGATACGCTGTACGGCATCAGTCGCAGCTCCGACCCCCGCGTCTACATTTAGCCGAAACTCGGGGTTCTGCTCGCTCTCCGTTATGATGTTCTCGCTACGGACAATGTTGAGCGTCTCGGTGATACTCCCCAGGTGTGCCATGGCCATTTCACTAGCGTCCCTTTGCAGACCATCTGCCAAGTCGTTGAAACACTTCTTAAAGTCCCTTAGCAGCTTGTCAAACGTGGACTGCTGTGTTATGGTGCCGTTGATGATATCGACTCGCACACGATGGCTTCCTCTTCCTATTTTTATCGTCAGTTGTAACTGCTATTGGATGTCGAAAAAGGCATCTTACCAGAGGTATTTGCGGAAGCCCGATAAACCTCCTCCATGGCTTTCCCAATCAGTGACGACCGGATGCCAGTAAGAGCGTCTGTCTCGAGCGATCTGGTGAGTCACGCCTGTTAGTTTGGTCAAGCACGGTCTGGACAGCTGCACTTACGAGAGGTCATCCTCAAACTCCTCGCAGCGGCCCTCAATTTCTGCAAGAAAAATGTTCTCTCGATACAGCAGAGTTTGGACGAGGGTGGCTGGAGACTGTGGAAGATCTTCAAACCTATTTTCTGATTCCGTAGCCAACGGGCATCAGCAAGATACACTCTCAATCGGGACCTATACTACTCCATACTTACCGAGATGTTCGACTTCTTGTCCCAGGGTGTCCTTTAAATGGGCTGAGATATGCTTTTGTTGTCTGACGACAGAATCGAGACGCAGTGCTGCCCACCGCGGACGCAAATCAATGGTCATGCCTTCAATAGCTTCCTGATTCCAATTATGCGTGCCAGCCACCGGAGTGCTATGGTTGCCGTAATTGCGACAGAATGCAGAATAGGAAGCTTCAGCGGTTAGAACGCGTACACGGCCCACAGGATGCTACTACGGCACTTACAAGAATGCCACTGTGAACGAGAAACAGATATGTGTCAGCTATCTTGGACCCGAGCCAGGTTAAATTGGAATGGAAGTCTCACAGAAGTCCAATTAGAAGCCGCTCTTGTTGCTTCTCGGCTCCATGCACCAGTGCTATGACCTAAAAAGTCAGCTGGTACGAGACTAGAAGATGCATAGGAGAAAGGCGAGCCCACCGCTGTACACCTGCGTCTGGAACTCGTTTTTCAATTCTTTGGCTAGGTTCGAGATTGGGGAGTTACGTCCTGTTAGTCCCTGAAGCCGTCAGTGGTGTGCTCCTCGAGTGTTGGTGGTCTTTCCCAAATCTCACCGTCTTCAGCCGACGCTCGAGCGCGTCTAGGGCATCGCGGATGGCCGTTTTCTGCTCGGCGACCAGACAGCCGGCACCGGACTGGACCCAGAGGCCGATGTCACCGAGGAGGGCTGGGATGTCGTCACGGACAAATTTGGCGGCTATGCGGAGGTTGCTATCGGCAACCATGGCCAAACAGTGCTTTCGAACGGCCGGGATTCCGCTCACGTTCAGCAGGCGCACGACAACATCAGTCTTTGGCTGCGCGCGAATCTCCCAGTAGTCCTTGCTGCTGACACAGAACACTTGCAGCCGATGACCGCCGGGCACAAAGCGGCTGTAGAGGCCCCAAAGCTTCGTGTCGATGCCAGCCGTCAGCGTGTTGACCAGATGTATCTTGAGCCTAGAGATGCGATGTCAGCCGAGATAGCCGGTAAGCAGTGGGGCAGTCTCTTTGCCAACTCACTCTATCTTTTGGCTCTCCAGCACCGTTCTGTCACAATGTCAGACTCGTTCCGATGTACAAACCGACTCCGACTCAGTGCTCACCTGATATTTCTAGACCGCCGCAACAAATCCGCCAGCTCTTTTTCCTCTTCCGGAAGCAGGTCATCTTCTCTCTGTAGCTGCTCTAGCTCACGGATGTCATACTCAATGGCGTTGGCATTTTTCTGGCTGCCTTCGACCGCTCTCTGGAGTTGCTGGGTCGTCCTGTCGGTGGCTTCTGCCGCTTCGACCTCCTGGAAGACACAGTCAGCCGCTGATATGCGACGAAGAGCAGCACATTACTATCGACATCGCTCACATCAGACTTAGTACAGATAATGCCAATATTTGACAGTCCGGCCTTCTGTCCGAGCTCAAACACGTCCTTAACCCCGGCATCAGCTGCTGCTCGGTTAGTGCAGGTGACTGCAAAGATATCGTCACACTCCCGGAGGTAGAGCTCGGTGATGACCTGTCGGGCCAGGTTGACGTCGCGCAAACCTGCACATTGTTAGGAAGGCATATCTTTGTCGCCTTTCAGCGGTCGGAGCGACCACGTACCTGGGAGGTCGACAAGCACAAGTCCTTTGCTCAGGATATGGGCGTTCAGGAATACTCTGCAATTGTCGGTTGTCAGATGTCAAACTTTGTCCCTGCCTTGGACTATCTTAGGCCACATACTTGATCTTTCGTATATACGGCCATACCGCCGGCTGCGGCTCTGCATTCGTCTCAGACGTCAATTGCATCAGAACCCTGGAACATGCTGCCAGGCTGTCCAGCGTCTGTCTCCCACCAATATGTCTTGGCATCAAGTCGTCCGTCCAGGCACACAAAGTTGCCAGTATGCTTTCTTCAGACCCGTCCAAGAGGTACTGCTCGTCTTCCATCCGGCTGCGAAACATGGCCTGGAAGGTGTCGGAGGCAATCTTGGCCCTGCTCTCAATGTCTTCCTGCTCGTCCTTGTCGGTAAATTTATAGTGGGTACGGAGACAATTGTGATACTGCCGGAGAGACTTCAGCAAGTCTCCTATCTGCTCGACGACCTCATCCATGGCGAACATCTCCACGTCAAGGACAAAGTCATTCCGGTCATGGTAATGGTATTCGGTGACGACAGAAGTGCAGGCGTCACCATTACCATTTGCCCTAGCCAGTCCTCGCGTGTCCAGGAGGGCGTTGAGGAGGCTGCTCTTTCCGACTCCCGAGGCACCGACAAAGCCGACGGTGCGGCTGGACAGACACTCGAAGCAGGCCAGTGCCTCGGTCCGTTTGTGAAGCCGTCCGATGGTGGAGTCCGAGTCCAAGTGCAGACTATCGCTCGCTAGAACGTCACGCAGGTTCTCCATGGCCGTCTTCGCATCGCTCAGAGCGCCCTGCACGGCTGCATTGTGGAAGCGGTGGGGCGGCGGCTCATCCTCTCGGACATTGTATGTCTGCAGTCCTGCTCCAGAAAGCCACCCCGCGATCTCCTGGCAGAGCGTGGACGAGCCGCAGGACTGTGCTCGATGGATGGCTCAGGCTCGAGCAGGGAGGGTGATCTTCTGTCGGGCTCGGACTCGCGGGCTACATTTGCAATGGCGGCCGAGACATCGGCCATGTCCAGGATCCGACATGCCAGAGAGCTCGCGGAGCTGAGAGAAGTCATCGAAGATGCAGCAGGCGTAGTCAACCGTGATGACTCGCTGTCGGAGACATCGTCGTATGGGGGGTTGACAATCAAAGGTGTATCAGGCGAAGGAGCAGCAGAAAGACTGATTGAAATGCTGCTTCTTGGAGTCGAGGGCCGAGAGGACGCGGCTGTAGATGCGGACTCTACAAGCGTATTGTCTGAAGGCCCGACAATGAACTGCTCGACGTCAGATGGCACGACGAAGAATTGAGTCGAGACATACTTACTTTAGTCATGTTGAAGTTGGTCTGGATAAATACTGAAAGCAGACGACGTCAATGTACCAGTGTAACGGGAAGTCACTCGTGTACATATATCTTCCTATTGAGCATTTACGGAGTAGACGGCCAGACACAGGTCTTTAATAGGTGTGGCAGCTGGGTCAATCTGTCAGGCTGTGACCAATGGGCTCGACCGTTTAGCGCTTTGGGGTGGCCGCCGCGGCAGTGTGCACGACGACAAGCGCCCTCTCTGCTAAATCAGGATACCACCTTCCCGTGAAGGGAAAGCCATCACTCAAAAGGATTCCGAGTTGAAACGGACAGTGGCTGCTGGTAACTCATTTCGGTATGGCCATCTTTGCCACACAGCCTCACATCCGAGCGCTCGATCTTTTTCTGGTGCTTGTGAATCGTCGATGAGACAGGGGGTACCCACCCTCTAAGCAAGAGTTCCATCGGCCGCAGCACAGGCCTCCCAGACGGGAACAATCCGGACGATGCAAACGGCAACAGTAGGGCTGTGTGGATAGTCACGTGATTCGGAACGGCTTCTACATCTACAGGCAGCTGTGCGCAGATCGAATACTTTGCTTGTCCAGATGCTTATCGATGCTTTGCATGCTATATTGACTGCTCTCTCTGCAGAGGTCTGGCCGTCAGGACTGGCGTCGGGACTGGCTGAGCACGGCTCCGGTTCCGATGGGCAAGCACGCCATCGCATGTCGCAACCGCTTCTCCGCAAGAGCAGGAACGGTGCCCACTATCTCCAGATCCTCTTACGCTAACAGCCGCGGTATATTGTTGCTGCTTCGTTCGTTAGTTTAAGTCCAACCATGATTCTGGCCATTCGCTGTTGGACAGTGGCTGCATGTCGCCATGGGCCTGATGGAAGACGACCTTGGCACATGTGTTTCTAACGAGCACAGCTCATCAAGCCCAAAAAGTGAACTGTGATGCACATATAAGCTGCGCATGACTTCCCCTTCCTATGTAAGAAGCAAAAACACGTGTTTCCAGTCGGCAGCCATGGAAAAGGTAAACGAAAAGGTCACTGAGACTACGCTCGCCCACGATAGCACAGGAGATGCTGGGCTTGCCGAGAGCGGACCAGACAATCGAGAGTCCAAGCGAACGTGGCGAACATATCTGTGGCCCAGTAAGGCGAGACTCGTCCAATCGTGAGAGAGCCTGCCGTTCTGACGTCCCAGGCCTTGATCTTCCACGCGACGAGGCTTATTTTCTCACCAAGCTGGACCTTACCCTCATCTCGGCATCTGCTCTTGGCGTCATGTGTCGTTATCTCGACCAGGTCAACATTACTAATGCCTTCAGTGCGTAGCCCTTCTCTCTCGAAGCAGAGGCTGGCCGAGAATGCATATTGACCGTCCTGTAGACAGCGGCATGAAAGAAGACCTCGGACTCTACGGTAACGAGCTCAACTACGCCAATGCCGTGTGGAGTGCAGCCTACGTCTTCGGCCAGATCCCGTCCAACCTGTTGCTGGCCCGAGTCAACGCCCCGCTCTACATTGCCTTTCTCGAGCTGTCTTGGAGTGTCTTCACCTTTGCCCACGCCGGAATCCACAGCATCCGCCAGCTCTATGTCTTTCGATTCTTGTGAGCTTGTCCAACCGAATCTTTCAACCGAATCTTTTCGCTACTTGAAAAGGTGTCTGACCCTCCCTCCCAGCGTCGGCTTGTTTGAAGCCGGCCACTTCCCTGCTGTCATGTACATCTGCTCCAGCTACTACAAGCCACACGAGCTCGCCCGCCGAAACACCATCATTCAGGTCTTCACCTCTGTCGGCCCGCTCTTCTCTGGCTTATTCATGGCTGCCGTGTACAGCGGCCTCGATGGGACTAACGGTCTGGCTGGCTGGCGATGGATGTACATGTGAGTGCCGCAATGTAATCAAGTAGCATTCTCCCATGTTCGCTGACTTAATAAGCATTTGCGGTTGCATCTCTGTGCTCTGTGCCATATGGACCGCCTTCGCCATGCCCCAGCTTCCCAACCGAGCAAAGGCCAACTGGTACGTTTTCATGGTTGGCCCCAATCCCCTTTTCCCCCGCTGACATTGATGCTCCTAGGATCTTCACCGAGGCTAACATCAGATTGGCTCGTGCCCGCATGCCCTCCGAGGCCAAGATGCTTACCGGCCTCTTCAAATGGAAGGACATCAAACGGTGGCACACAACGTGGCACGTGTATTTATGTAAGCCATCGACAGTCTCGTAATCTGTCAGCCCTGTTAGGTACCAAATCTTACTACTCGTCTACCAGTCCCCCTGCTGTTCACCATTATAACTCAGTTTGGCCAGGCTGGTGGTTCAAGTAAGCAGCCATTTCCGTTTTCGCACTTGCCGTCCTCTCTCTGCTAACCAGCACAGTGATATTCTGGGTCAAGAGCTACAATGTAAAGGGAGAGCCGGTCGTTTTTTCGGTTGCCGATATCAACATAATTCCTCTCGGGGTATGTAAGCATGAAAAACAGTAGCATGTGCGTACCATCTAACCAAGGGACTGACAATCCCACCAGATCAACTTCCTCGCCATCTTCTGCGCCCTCATTAACGCCTGGGTATCCGACAATCTTCCTGGCTCTGCCCGCTGGCCCGGCATACTTTTCTCCTGTATCATGGCTATCATCTTCCCTGTCGCCCTCGCATCCACGCCGGTCCATCCACCGAACAAAGGTACCCGTTGGGCGCTGTACTGTATGTCTCTCTATCTCACTCTGTGTGTTTGCTCTTACTAACCACCGACCCAATATACTCTTCTATCAGACCTGACAGCGCTCATCAGTACTGGTGCAGGAATCACCTGGACGTATGTCAACGGGATCAACAGGCACGATCAGGAAAAGCGGGCATATGTATCAGCGATGGTAAGTCCCCAGGATTTACTCGATATCCGCCACCCATCTCCAAATTTATGTCTGACCACATACCTGCCCATTAAGATGAACGCGTTCGCCTATATATTCACTGCTTGGGTACCTATCTTCACCTTTCCGACTAACAAGCAGCCGTACATTGTCGCCGGAAACTACATCACAGCTGGCTTTGGCGCGGCAGCTGGGCTGGTGGTGCTGGCCATCCGCCACTTTGACCTTCGGGATCGCAGACGACAGCAGAGGCAATAGCTGCAGGTGTCGTCTGAGAAAAACCTCGGTCAAATTGTAGGATGATTTTTGGCGAGTCAGGTCTGGAAGTTGACCAGAGTAGAAGATACTTAAATCACGCATATTTCTGAGTCGGCATCCTCAATCTGAGAGTAGCCGCATAAGCCCCTCTGTGTTTAATACGGGGTTTTAAGACGGGAATTTGCTTCTTCCGTTAAGGAAAACCTGCCGGACATGCAAGATCCTATTATCCGAAAGCACATATGCGCGAGAGATCTGCCGTGGCTGATCGGTGGCTGCGCACACTAGCGGTAGTCTATAAATATCGGGTCACATGACGTGAGGCTGGCACACATCTCGCAACCCCCAACAACGACTACTATACGGAGTACAATCTCTGTTCGGAGACCAGCCGTGAAACTGGGAATACAGAAGCCCTGATTTATTTTCGATATAGTGCGTGCATGCAACTTGCTGCTGTTTCTTTCACGAGTAGCCCGTCTTCTAACTTCTACCCATGTCAACTGCTCGCGCGTCACCTTGCCAACGAACTTATTAAAGCAACGCGGTGGCGTCCTGTTCATGGCAGGCGGTGATAACGACACAGGACTGATCCACACGTCTCTGATTGCGCCTTGTACTCAGTACTTATGTATATGTACGGTGCTCTTAGGACTCCAATTTAGCTTAGCGCTCCATAACCCCTGCCTTCGTTACCAGTTTCTTGGGGGTGCTTCTTTCTTACTGCTTTTATCTGTTCTTCTTCTTTTAAAAAATGCTTGCGCTACGTAGTGGAAAACCTGTAACGTGCCAGACTCGAATAGACGCCGCAATTGGCTTTTTTTCAACGTCAGTTGCACAGTAGCCGATTTTCCGTGTAAGATACAAAGAATATTGCCTCCTCTCCCAACGGCGGAAATTAAGAAAAAATGGAGGAGTCAGCTGTGGGTCGTAATCCCTGTTCAATGTTTTCTCACGCTCGTTGTTTTCACATACTGGTCTTGCGTTAACACACTTTCTTACCAGAGCAATTGAGCTCGTGGTCTCCAAGATTCAACGGAAGAAGCGGTGAGTCCACTACAACGTAGGAAGCAAGGCGAACAGGAGCCGTCATATTTCAGTTTTTAGATAGTGTTAAAATTAATTGTACTTGGTTTTGGTGCTCATTAGCATCACGCGCAATTGCGCTGCTGTGTCAAGATCAAGCCCCCGTTTTGTTGCGTCACGAGTATGAACAAACGCAACCTCAACAGGTTCTTCGCCTCGGTCGGCAGAGCCTCATCCACAGACGCACCCAGGACATGTAAAATACACTTGTTTTAAGAAAGCTAAGCGAGAAACGAGCCCGTCTACCTCCTGATCCGTTCTAAATTCCCAACAACGGCGTGCACTCACTCCCCCAGATCCTGTTTTCTGGTCAGATAACGGCCTCTAGGGTCCACACGAAGGTGTTGCCCGGCATGCCACTATCGTTTGTACGTAGTATGGCAGCAAAGTAAGCAGTGAAAGAAAGTGGCTGTGGTGTCAATCTCTACGCCCTTCTCGTCCATTGTGGGACCAACGTTGGGATGCCACCATGTAAGGCGTGTACAAATTGTCGAGGTCTCGAATTTGGCCGCGACAGGGGAGTAAAGATGGATTGATTGCGCACGGATTTGCAGTACTGTTCAACAAAGATATTCTGCTATCTTGTCCTGAGTGTCTGCCTGGCCGCCCTGTGCCGTGAATACATATATGTCCACCGTCCCAAGATTTAAGCTTCTTCATCTTACAAGAAGCGAGAGACAGAAAAAGAGGCAGCAGCCTTAAACATTTCAGATCTCGCTTATAATTATAATCTGCTGTCTCTGACGTCTGGTCCTGTGTGAAACGTCATCTAGTGATAGATGCTCAAAATGGCACACATGAACCCAGTTTTGTATCGCTGCCATAAGGCCTTTATTGCAAAACAGGTAGCTTTGGCAAGCCCTCTCTCTTTCCGTGTTGAGCCTCTCCAATGAAAGGATTAATCCGCTAACTTTGCGTAGGGCGCCTTTTCCGACCCGAGCGAGACGTTGGATGAGAATGTCTACCTACGCGCGATCATTGTACCAGAGGGCAAGAGACTGACGGATGGAACGTTTTTGTGGAAGTGCGACACGGCGTTCTTTCTCCCGCTGGGAGCGACTCAGTGGAGTCCCATACGGTCTACCGGACAGTGCACGGTGCCGCATGGCAGTGAACTCTTCTGCTGTGGAGGCAACGTCCGAATGATGGTTCTGTTTTGATCTACGGGACTTGCTGCTACATGGTGCACTGTTAGTGCTTAGCTATGGTACTCCGTACTTGTACGGAGTACTGTGCCTTAAACTAATACAAGCTTATCGGCTTTAAAACTGTGTTGTGGATCGGAAATGCTTCTGCAAAAACTAGCTTCTAATGACCTGTAATACAGCTCGTCTCTAGCGCTGAAATACACAGTACGATGCCCAAATTAAACAACCAAAACCTCCTCAATCGCCAGGAAACAACCTGGCCCGGACCTCGAGCATCTGTGCAAATCCCAAGACGATCTTGAGGCGGCCCGGGCTGTCCTCTCGACCGGATATGTCCAAGGAAACCAGATCGGTCGCCTCCAAGCTGCCGTTCTCAATGTCAAGTAGCCGCAATCGGCCCTCACCAAGCTTCTTGCTGATGAAACAGCCCAGATGCGCCCTAATGCTCTCGATGGGGGACAGCTTCAATGTGCCGCAATTCTTGATCTCCATATACGAACCTGCCCCCGACACAGGGACGCTCACAGCCATGGCACTGGTATTGATTTTAGCACCGTACAGCAGAGCGGCGAGAGTCGGGACTGCTTTTGGTACGATGTCGATGGCCATTTCGCAATAGTCCGGAATCGTATTTGAGATCGTCAGCGCTGCCCGTCGGTCTCCTTTGCTGCAGATGTCATCGAGCAATGCAGGCGGGAAGACCTTAGGGAGGTTCTTCTTTAGCGGGAAGGAGGAAAACCCCCGCCGTGTTCCCGGCTCGCCCTCGCACTGCGTGGCTCTGATGCTCTCCGCATTGCCACTCTGTCTGGTACGCTGCTGCGGTGGGTGTGGAGATATGTGAGAGTATAAGGTGGCAGGCTGGCTGTGGTTGGCTGGAGGCTGTGTTCGAGAAGGCCGGGGCTTGTATCTGTACTCATACTCGTGCTCGTACCTTGCTGGAGGCAAGTCGACTCCGATAGACTTCAAGACCCCTGCCAAGATGGGTTAGCCTGTGATTCAGTTGGTTGTGCAGACAGTCTGTACCACTTTTATACAGACTTATACTTGTATTGCCCGAGACACTTTGGCATCCCCAAAAGTTCCATCCACATGCCAGACGTCCCCCGTGATTTCATGCGATGCTACCCAACAGACTTACCAACTCGCCATTCCCAATGGTCCAACACACGGAACAGACGGCTGGCAAACAAGGCCACGGACTCGTCCACTCGGGCCCACGCCTCGATCATGCTTGCCATCGTTGCCAGGCCATACAGCGACAGTCTGGATGCTGCGGCGCGGACCATGTTCCCGGTCCCGGTCTGCGTCGCCATGTGGTACGCCAGCCAAGTACGAAAGCCGTTTTGGAGCAGAACATTCTCGACAGGATTATCGGGTGCCCGAGCGAGCGCGTCGTCGAGCCCAGCCGGAACCACGTCTGGCACCTCCCGCTCCTGTGCCAGGTATGCAAATAGCGCACCTGCCACGATGCTGGCGTCTCTGAACTCTGCAGAGCCTGTGGGGGTATTGTTGATCGGCGCCATGGTCTTTTGCTGGCTCTTGCAGGGGTTGTAGAATATGCGTGCCTTATGGATACGCAAGTATTTTGCCCTAGCAAATTCTATACTTTAAGCGTGGCTTGGCCGGCACTACGCCGTACTTTACGCCCCACATTCCACGGCGTAAGGTGTGCTTATCGCAAGGTATTGTCGACAGGTGTGTACCCACACCCTGGCCAAAATACACTGATACATTTGCCAAGATTTCTGGGAGGCTCGATTCTTTAAGTTTCACTTGCAATTGAATAATATCGGGAAGATATCGGTAGAAAGCCCCCATGTGTATTCAGCATGCACCTTCTGGTTGATTACGGAGTACCTAGCGGACAAATTTCAGTTTAGAGCTAGCGACACCCGCTAAGAATGCTACACAATGGCGCGCGTGCCCTATAGAGCATCTTGCCGTCATATCGTACAGCTTCCGAAGGTTTATACGGAGTACTTCGTATCTTGCATACCTAATCGATTTTACTCTCGATTGGCAACATGTTACCTCTCCGCCTCTAAAACAAGGCTTCTCTCCATACTCCGCATTGACAATAAATGGCCAAGGTGGCTAGTGATTCGCCATACATCAAGGTGGCCCAGATTGAGTCTATCAACAACTCTCACCGACAATTCGCCTCACCTGAACCGACGGAGTACTCCGTAAAAAATCCTACGACGTACGCGGTCTACAATTGGGTAAAGTTACGGTTACTCATTCGCGCGCTATAAGTGGGTCTAAGACCAATCGGATACTAAGCGATGCCCTGCCGGGCGTAATGCACACTTATTTACGGAGTACGAGTATGGAGTACAACTGGCGTAATGTCATTGGCTTACATAGTAAAATGCCTCCAGTGAGGACTCCGCCTTCAAGCCCGGAACCAGGACATTACTACTCCGTATGTAGGATACGATGCGAAGCGGCTGATTTTAAGGCCGAGCACCCTGGCATCTTACTGCAAGCATACATTACTATGTACTCCGTAAATACTATGTAGGAGCAAGATGATCAGTACGGAGTACAGAGTACGTCGGGACATATCCGTCACTACTCCGTAATCTCTGCCTGTGGATAAGGGTACTTGTGTGCAATCCTTCAGGTACTCGTAAGGCAGGCCACTATCCGATTACCCTGGGCAGACACGGTTAGGCTACGGTACGAAATGCGGCTAGAAAATGGTACTCGTACACTCGCCTCACTTTCACTATAACGGCCATCCCAAGTACGGAGTAGTTGTACCCAAGATCTAGCCAATAAGTGCCGTGCAGGATTGTCCACGAACCCTTCATCTCCTCAAACAGGTCACAAGACCCACGGAACCGCCAAACTCTTGACTGGCTGCAGCAACACGGGTGAAAACAGCCCCTCTGAAGCATTGGCTAGCTTGATTCTATTCCAGGGTGTATGTGTTAATCATAGGAAACTCGGTGTCCCAAGTCTTTGTTTGTAGGGTAAGGACAGGTTAGTCGTCCTACTGTCAACGGCAGGGGGAAAGCCTCACTCACCGTTCTGTCAGGCAGATTGGGGATGTCAAAGAGAGTGTCCGGTTGCGAGTCGGCGGCCGTCTCTGGAGACGGCTCGAGGGGTGAGACCACGGTAGTGAATTTCTCCGTCTCCCGGCGAAGCTCTTCGGCAACATCCATGGCACCAGCAAGCTCAAACAATTTTGAGGCCTGATTAAGAGCCACGTAGCTGGACTCATCCATTTGGTCAGGCAGGATGTGCATGACTTTGAGGAGGAAGCGGCTGGCGTGGAAGGTAGTTATGCCGTTGTAGTCCTAGAATGCAAGTGTCAGAGCAACTAGCAGCAAGTAATATTGAATGGGCAATCAACCCACGATCGTGTAGCGGAATGCGCGGCGAAACGAGCGGGACTCCCACTGCGTCTGGAGAAGCAGGCAAGCACTTGCCAATGCTGTCTTGACGAAGCTCAGCCTCACAGGATCCACGTCGCCCTTGATCAGTTCAACGCCGTGAAGGGCCAGACCGTTGACGTAACTTCAGACACGGTCGGTGGTTAGCACGCTTTTAACAAATGCAAAAAAAGAACGGTTAAACTCACAGTTTTACCAGCGCGTAGGGAACCATGAACCTGTTCCGGTCTTGGGTCGCTTCGAACGTCTGGAAGAGCGGATCGATGGTGTTGTTGATCCTGTGAAACCAGGCGTTCACTTGCTGATCATAGGAGGTCAGCAGCTTCGACACAAAGTCTGGCAATGGGGTCGCCTGCAGATGGGCGCTCTGCAAGCGGGCCTTGGCATCGCCTGGTACGTCAGCAGATCATCGCCTAGACATTCCTTTCCGTCCCGGGAGACACGAACCTGTGATTATAAAGCCTTCGATGTATGCGCAAATCCGGTGGTCGACAGGCCGGCAATACGGTGAAGCCAGCAGCTTCTTGGCATGCGGGAGATATTCCTGCATCTTGTTGATGGCGTACGGGCGGTTCAGGTTGATTCTGTGAGACGTGGCAGTCAGCTAAAGGCCCCGCCTTGCCTCTCAGCCATGCCTCGCTCCCACGCACATCAAGTCAAAGCCGCATAGCGTGAACCAGGCGCGAGCGCGTTCCACCACCGATTCTGTGCTCTCCGCTGCTTCGTCCCGGAACTGTAGGGCGGACAGGTGCAGCTGCATGTCATAAGCTAGCGAGGCAGCGTAGCCCCACAGCCGAGCCCGGCCGGTCCAGGCGGTGAGCAGCATGATGGCATAGAAGCCGAGCAGATCCATGTCCACGCCCTGGAACGTCTTGCAGATCAGAGCATCACCCTCGTCGACGAAAGAGCGGTAGCGCCCGGGGATCAGCGACCTTCCTGCAATCACGCAGATGGTAGTGGACAGCAGCGGATGCCGCCGGATGACGGATGCAGGTGGATAAATCTGGTCATCCACGAGGGCGATGACCTCCCTGCACTTTGTTTGATAGCTGCAATCGTTAATTCGGATGACCAGGGAGGGCAGGAAGGCTTGAACGAACAATGAGTACAAATCATTCCATTCAGACTCAGTCACGAGTCCCCGAGCGACAACGTCCTGTTGCAGTAGTAGTGTATCCTCTACAGAGCCGGTTGAGACGTCGCTGGTTGCCGCTGCTTTCTGTTTGGCCTCTGAGTCTGCCTTTGGGTTGGCTGACAGCCTATCAACAGCCTCTTGCAGCTCGCGTATTTCACCCCGTAGCTGGTCTTCCATTGAGCTCAAGCGCTGCTCGAGACGCGTCAGCCGGCTGTCATCCTGAGCCACCGGAGACGCAGCCTTGGCATGAGCAGCTCGGGGTGCCACAAAAACGCATTCTGCCCGGTTTGCGCGACAGCGATCACACGGTACGCGGTCTGGCCCGCCGCACTTAAGCTTTTGTTTGCGGCAGCGCAAACACGCAGATAAGGACCTGTCCTTTTCAGTATCCCTTTTCAGTGTCCGGAAGTGACCGTCGTTGTCAGAGATTTTCTCACCTGTTTGCTTCATTCATCGGACATGCGGGCAAATCTACAGAGCAGAGGGACAGCGTGGGTGAGAATACTATTGTTCGCAAAGATGGCCTCCGGAACCGAGACCTTATCTGGTTGCGGTCACGTGGGTCGTCAAGCTGGGAGGGGCTGTCGGCAAAAACTGACAGATATGCCGCAGCTGCAATGCGACCCATGCGCCTAGACAGTCCCAGGCGGCTTCATGCGTAAAGAAAGGAGCTGTCATTTCGAGCAGCAACTGGACTTTGTTTCTTGTGCTGATGCCTGATCCGGAGCAGTAAACATGGACAGACAAAGGGGTAGACAGGGAGCGCTGCCAATTGCACGCTGTTTATGTGGAGGAAACGGCGAGATGGGAGTGACGGGGGAATTATGCGTACAAATTTTCAACAGTATTCAATGAACTGAAGAAGAGAAAATGAAATAAGCTAGCAGCATGATTGAAAATGCCTGCTAGATATAGAGCAGAATGATACTTTATAAACAAAAAGGAAATTAGTAGAAAGAGCGAACGAGCGCTGGATTAGTAGATGTTTTACAGTATGGGAAGGAGTAACGGCAAACAAGCGGAAAAAAAGGCACATCGCTTCTCTCCCCCTCCCCCTTTTTTTTACAGCCCTCTTCACTTCTCCGGCGTTTCGGCCACAGGCAGCATGACTTCTGTGACAATCACCAGCCTGCCTCCTGAATTATACAACGACCAAATTACCGGCACTGGACCTGCTGTCCCGCATTACCCACATCTTCAACACCTGCTTTCGCTCCCAAACATACCACTTGGGTCTGTTCGAGATGGATGATAACCTGAGCTTGGATCCCAATTCATTTCTGCAGGACGTCTGGCAGGATACCGACAGCATCTACTATATGTAAGTTCTTGATAATGCCGATGCCGGCAGAGATGTCTCCAACGACGACACAAGTGCAGATCCGCAGCAAATCATTGGAAGAAGCAGCGATACATAATCGTTAGGTTTTGATGTCTGTCGGGACCTAAACGAGGTGCTCTGCCGTATGTATCGGCTTCCTGGATCCAAGACTATTGGTCAGACATGGGATTTCCATTCAACTATGCACAAGGAGGCTCACGATCCGGTGTTGTATAACTTGATAAGTCTGTTTGTCTCTCTCTACAAAAGGGGACTCGATTTTGGACGCGTCTGTTGTCGTAGGCTACGCACACACAGAGATGAAAGGCATGGTAGTGAGAGGGACCGCCCATTTTTGCTAGAAGCACACTAAGGAGCCTATATGGAAAGTAAAGACCAAATTATCATCGCCTTTAAGGAAGAGAACCGGCCTATTTATATCCCAGAAATCACATCGCCAGCGACTGGCACAGACGAAATGTCACCTAGGCCGTCCTGGACAAAAGGACTGCTATGGATTCGAAGGAAAAGCCAAGCAGTGCTACTGCTAACACTTCTGACGTTACTAAGGATTATCCTTTGGCCTTCCTTAAAAGTCTATCTTGGGAACTACACAGTTGATCCTGATGCTGAATACGGGCTGCCCTACATTCAACAGGTAATAGTTTCAGTGGCTGATTCATCCTGAGAAATATCACCTCATCATAGGCACGATGAGAGTGTTCTATGGCCAATTCTGCTTTCTTGCTAAGTGCCGCAGGTATGAAACGGCTAGGCGTGAGAGCGAAACCCGGATATACCACAATTCCCGCTGCCACACTATACAAAGGAACATATACAATGAGTTTCGGAGCATGTTACTCAGGGACTGGCCGGTGCTGTATAACGAAGTTCTCGATGGAAAATTGTCAAATCATGCCACCAAGCCGACTTTTTTACGTGCACATATGCGAGAGCGGCTGTCTGCCATGTGGGACTACTTTGTACCGGACGCCAACACAGCGGCATTGATTCCTCCTAGCGAGGGGAACATAGACTTTTTTTTAGGTAATGCCACCTGCACCGTATTCAAAAGTAATTATCACAAATCTTCCATCGTGGTAGGCAAGGCTATATATGACTAATTCATGTCTTTTCAACTGTCCTAATTTGATGATCGTCATTATGTTATCTTCTACCCGAGAGAGCTCATGGGGGAGATCATGAATTTGCGGCTACTCCGGTACTCCCTCTAAACAAAGCTTTCTGCGCAGATGCTGTCAGGTATCGCTGTGGGAGTCATGACACAGCCGGCCAACGGCAGCAGGAACAGTAGCATCTGCAGCAGCTTTGGGGGTATGAACAGAGGCTGTGCCCTGGACAACATGCCGCCTCCACTGTACCTGAAGAGATTTGGAGACCACCTAGATTCGCCTACAACGTCTTGCCGCACGGAAAAGCCGGTTTAAACGTCAAGTCATCTTCAGAAAAAGAGAGATGTACATCTATGGGATGCAACCGCTGTCGCTCCCTTTGTTCTGAGCCATTTGGCAGAACTCATCTAGCCTCTGAAAATTTCCACCCTGCAGCCATGAGATCCTACGTGTATCGGGTGTCCTGATCTGGTAAGCCTTTTTGTGCCTGGCTGTCTGTGCCATAGCATCGGCACGAGCAGCCTTCAAGGTGAGATGCAGTTTGTGGCACCAGAGGCGGGAGACCAATAAGATAGCGAAATTTGACTATATTTTACGGGTGGAGTAAAGGGGTCCCAGCGCCCAACACTTCGGTTAGTATATTCCCCAGTTTCCCACCAGATTATCCCGTCTCTTCTTAATCTATGTAGCCAGCTCGCTTTCTTATTTGCTTGCTGAAATCTGTCGGCGTCTTTATTCTTACTCATTTGCCGCCCCATTTTTTAGTGCGTACTAAGTGTAATATTCGCTTCCAGCCAGTGCTAGCAGGAAAGACAGATCCATCGGCCACGACCAGATTCTGGTAGGATGCATCAGCAAAAAGTCGAGCGAGATTATGTGATTTCGGGATAAGAACTCGCTGGCTGGAGAAGGCGATGAGTACTCCGTATTCCGTATAAGCAATGTAGCGGGGCATTCTTGATTTAGTGCATAATATGCATATATATGGTGCGGGGCAGCCCGCTTTTCTGCAACGGGAGCAAAGTCGACTTCAGCCTTGCGCTAGGCAGCAGCACGTTGACGCACGTGACAGTTTCCGTATATATTAGCTAAACGGAGCAGGCCTTAGTCAAACGGGTGGAGTCAAGTGGTCTAGTTCGAAAAGTCTTACTGGTTTTGACGCGGACGAACGGCCAGCGACTCAGCGACGATGGACAAGCTCAGCGTAGAGATAGTGGAGCATATTGCGTCGTATATGGATGCGGGCTCGGTGATGGCACTGATGGCGACGTGCCGAGCGATGCGCAAGCCGTGCGTATCACGGCTGAGCCCGGAGCGCTACCTGCAAAAGACGTTCCGCCAGGCGTCGTCACTGCTGGCGGCAATGGCAGACCACGGCTGCGTGCTGTCGGGCTCGCGGGCACTGGATTACTTTGTGCCGGGATCGACTGGGGAGGCGAGCAAGTCGGACGAGGGCGAGGAGCTATCGGACTGGGACTTTCTGGTTCCGTGCGTGGAAGGTAGCGTATTGGGGATGATGGAGGCGTTGGCAGCGTGCGGAGTGGACTGGGGCGACCACCGACTGTCGGAGCTGATGGCGCTGCCCACTCGGCGCCTGGGAACGACGGCAGTGGTGTCGGCGACCACGGCGCAGCGGCTGCTGAACCAGCCGTACAGCGAGCAGATGCGGTCGATGGACGAGATCGTGGAGCGACTGCGGCAGTGCGGAACGCTGGGAGAGACGGAAGAGCTGCCGGCCGAGGCAGAGCGGATGCTGCGAGGACTGCACGCGTTTGTGAATGAGATGATTCACGCCGAGTTTGCGGGGGTGACGGTGCAACAGACGCTGGCAGAAACGACGGGCGGCCAGACGCGGTTCCGGTTCGACAAGGTGCAGCGCAAGAGCAGCAACAGCAGCCTGGGCCTTCTCGGCGAGTACGGCGGCTACGACATGAACTCGTACGGGTCCATGTACGGGATGCCGGGGGCCAACGCGAACCAGCCAAACGCGATACACCTGGTCAACTGCAGCATAATGACGAGTCGGACGGGACGACGGGCCAAGGTGCAGCTGTTTCAGTGCCACAACATCGCCTCGGCCTCGACGTCACAGTACAGCAGCAGTCTGCGGCATTTCCGGGCGACGACGCCGCTGACCTACGTGCTGGACGGCTACTATGCATCCCACGTGCAGTGCTTCATCGGCGGCTTCTGTGCCGGCCACTTCTACTACACGCTGGCCCGCGAGCTAACCAGGCGGTTGTGTGGCCCTTTTCCGAGGCGCAGGCGCCGGCCGTCACCAAGGCCGTGGCCAAGTACCGCCAGCGCGGCTTCCACTTCCGCCATAGCGGCCTGCTGGACCTCGAGGTCAACAGCCGCATGTCAACGGCGTTTTCGCCCGAAGCCTCGGACTCGGCTGTCGGTCGTGTCGTCCTCGAGCTCGTCGCCGAGGCCAAGGCCGCCCATCATCTCGGCCAGCCCGGCACGCTGCTCGTGCGCTTCCGCCGTCTCGAAGACCGCCTCGCCCAGCAGGTGCGCGCGCCGCCTGACGTCCTGTCGGCCGGTCGCCTCGTCCATGGCCTCTATCGCCATCTGCGCGATGCGGTTCTTCGCTTCCGCTTCGACTTTATCTCTGGTCGTCCCGTCGCCGCCGAGCCCGTCATGCCGCTGTTCTCCGACAGCTATGGCACCAGCCACATCAGCTCCGCTCACAGCCGCTTCCTCGTCCACAGCGACCCGCCCTTATCACCCTACTCGCCATCAGCCGGTTTCGTCCGCCCCATTAGCGCCTCGCGGCTGCTGCCGGCTCTCGCTGTCGCCGACGCTGTTCCCCCGGCCATCCCGCCCGTCGGCGTGCTCACGCCCGGCGACCCCGACTGGACCCGCTGGAAGTCCATCCTGTCACTCGCCCCCATGTCCTGCCACTTGACTAGCTGCGAGCGCCATCTCAAGCACAAGCCGCCGCAGATTTGACGACGAAAATGGTTCATGAAACTATGCCATATTTTGGGCTTTGCGCCCGCATCTAGCGCCAAACGCTAGCCAGAAAATCCAGCTCGCTTTGCTACATACTCGTACTTTATTTTTACTCCCCGTATCTATTCTTGTCGCTCAGCCAACAACCCCACAACTTTAGCGCCTAAACTGACTATTATCCCACTCCCGAAGCCATCGCGCCTTCTTGTCTTGGCCCGCGTTCCTGCCACAGCCCGCGAGTCCCTCATGCTTGCCGTGCCTGAAATTGGCCGTAGTCCTTCGTATTTCGTATCATCATTCTCACATCATACACATCGATCTTCTTTCTTGACTTCTCTCTCGCATTCTCGCGCTATCCGCCTTTATCTGCCTGTCTGACTTCTTTTTTTGGGCTGCACTGCCTCCCGTCCTACCTGCAACGGCGGCGGCCCAGTCTGCCCAGCCGCACGACAGGGGTCCCTGACTGACTGCCAATCCGTTTCCTGGGGCAACACAACAGAATTGAACAAGATGTGTCTCTTTGTTCGCTCTCGCCTCGACTCCTAACCAATGCTCGAGCCTCTTCGCTGTTTTACTTTTGCATTCCGCGACTTTTTCGCTCCTTTCTCAGTCTCCTGGTCTTTGTCCCCCCTGGTTCAGTGACCAGCCAACACGAGAAGTCCAATACGAGAAGGCCCAGCATTCCCGCTGCTCAGCCTAGTTCCACCATTCCTCCCACTCACTGCATCTGCGACATTCCTCTTTTCTTTTTCCTCTTCGCTAGCCCCTTTCCTCTGCGTCGTACAAATCCTCCCAGCGGTCGACCTGTCAAATCCGCCGCATTTTCTTGGCGTCAACTATTCGTAAGCATCCTTCTCCCCAAATGAAGTTTCGCAGCATCCTGACACGAAGTGCAGCTTGCGATCCAGCCCATCTGCCTCTGCACCGTCACCTGTCTTCGACAAACGTGAGCCGCCACGGAAACCGGTCTTCTTCCCTCCACATCTTTCACAATGCTACACAGATACTCTTTCGAGTCCAACACGGACGAACAGCAGCCTCTCGACATCATCTACAGCTCTCCCCAGCATACCGCTGACCGACGACAACCACCACAGCGCCGCCAGAGCTCATTTTACGACGACGACCCCAATGGATCTTACTACGATCCGCCTTCTCCACCACCACCGGCCCGCGGCCATAACGCAAACTCCGGGCAACAACGCTCATGGCTTCCGGCCGGCGCTGCCATGACTGCGGCTCCACCGCCTCTTACGACGACAATTCAGCACGCAGGCGACGACCAGGTGTACCAGGTGTCGCCCATGTCCCCGCCACGGCCTCCACCGCACCGCCGCTCGACCCGGGACCCGCAGTACTCCTACCCCCCGTCCGCGTCTGCCACCGGTCAGCTGGCGCCGTCTATTGTCACACCGGGCGCTGACAACTTTGGCGACTCTGCCGCCGGCGGCATGGCTGCCATCGCATACACGGTGGCCGAGCAGAACGCCCGCGATAGCGGACTGCAGGCCATGCGGGGCATCTCGCAGCCACAGCAGCAGAGCCCAGCCTATGGGGAGGAGCGCTACGACGATCCGGACTTCCAGTACCAGCAGAGACCAGCGCCCCTGCGACCCCGATCGTTTGCCGCAGCAGGGCAGAGCTCCAACAGGAGCTCGGGGTCAAGCCAGCAAGGACTGGGCACGGCAGCACTGGTCCCTGGAGGTGCGACGTCCAGATCCGGAGCACCGTCACGACGCCCGCCTAGCTACGCCACAGACGTGTACGCAGATGACCCGTACCAAGGCTATTCGGGACATGACCCGAACCTGGGCGTCCTCGACCCGAGCGAGATCGAAGACGATGGGGACGAAGGGCTGGAGTACGGCCGACGCAGAAGCACCCGTATGTCGGTGATGAATCGCGTGGGCCACAGCCGACGGCGCGACGGTCGCAGCAAAGCCGTGCCCGCAGTGGCAGCAGTCGGTGCCGTGGCAGCCGGAGGAGCAGCAGTGGCGGCGGCTGTGGGCAATCGCCTCAGCTCGGGAGTGCACTACAGCGCAGTGCAAACTGAGGGGCACGGTGGTCGAGGCGACAGCGGCAGCGGTGTTATTGGTATTGGTAATGGTGGCGGTGGTGGCAGTGGTACTACCGCTGTTGCCGTCGGCTCTCATGCATATGACGACGGCGGCAGCGCCGAAAAATCAGAGTGGCTGGCAGGCCAGAGCACCAGCTCGAAGCGGTGGCGCTGGGCGGCAGCGATTGGGCTGGGAGTGGCGATCGTGGCGGGCATTGTATGCGGCGTCGTGTTTGGCGTGGTGCTCAAGAACAAAAACAACGGCAGCAGCAGTGGCAGCAGCAGCTCCAGCAGCTCTAGCAGCGAGCTGTCGATTAAGAGCCCGGAGATCCAGAAGCTGCTCAACAATACGAAGCTGCACAAGGTGTTTCCGGGCATCGACTACACGCCTATCAACACGCAGTACCCCGACTGCCTGACACACCGGCCGTCACAGAACAACGTGACGCGCGACGTGGCGGTGCTGTCGCAGCTGACGAACACGATCCGGCTGTACGGGACGGACTGCAACCAGACGGAAATGACAATCGAGGCGATCAACCGGCTGGAGATGCAGGACACAGTCAAGATCTGGATGGGCGTGTGGCAGGATGGCAACGCGACGACGAACGCGCGGCAGCTGGAGCAGATGTGGGACGTGCTGGATGCCAGCGGATCGGAGCCGTTTGTGGGCATCATCGTGGCGAACGAGATCCTGTTCCGCAAGCAGATGACCACGACGGAGCTGAGCAGTCTGCTGTCGGAGGTGCGCAGCAACCTGTCGGCGCACGGGGCCGAGGGGCTGCCGGTGGCGACGTCAGACCTGGGGACGGTATGGGACGCTGCGCTGGCCGAGGCGTCGGACTACGTGATGGCCAACATCCACCCGTTCTTCGGCGGTGTCAACGCGACGGACGCGGCGGCCTGGACATACGACTTTTGGGAGACAGACGTGGGGGCGGCCTTCAAGACGAACACGAGCCGCAACATCATCAGCGAGACCGGCTGGCCGTCTCAGGGCGGCGAGGATTGTGGCACGGGATCGACAGAGACGAGCTGTCCAGATGCGGCGGTGGCCGGCATTGGCGAGCTCAATCGGTTCATGGAGGACTGGGTGTGCCAGGCCTTGGCCAACGGGACGCAGTACTTTTGGTTTGAGGCGTTTGACGAGCCGTGGAAGATCTCGTACGATACAGACGGCGAGGCCTGGGAGGACCATTGGGGCCTGATGGACGTGAACCGGAATCTGAAGACAGGCGTGACGATTCCGGATTGTGGCGGGCTGACAGTGTAGGAGGCGTCATGTGTGTGGGCAGACTGATTTACAGCATTGGCATTTCAGCGATTGCTGACTAGGATGATATCGTAATGGTTGACTTGGAAGAACGCAGTTTCGTTTCTCACGTGAACTAGACACCATGCTATTATATTCGGATACATTGTTGTACAAACGCTGTCCATCACGTGAGTGTCATGTGACGGGAGTATTAGCAGACTTGACCACGAGTTGCCTCTCCTGAGAAGGATAACGAGCGCATTATGCAACTGCGTCACGGCTTCACGGCTTCCCGGGCTCCCGGCTTCCCGGCTTCACAGCTTCACAGCTTCACAGCTTCACCGGCTCGACTTCCACATCCCTGCCACAGCGCACTCACCCACTACCTCGCCGTCAGATGCTGGATGGCTGCCAGCCACTTTTGCTCGTCGGCACTAAATCTGTTAGCGTGCATTTCCTAAATCCAATATATCCAACACATCCAACACACACACGTACCGATCAAAGCGCAGCAGCTTGCCCAGCACCGGCACCAGCTGTGCACGCAGCCGGTTGTCCTTCTGCTCAAGGAACTGCAGCATGATTGTCTTGATGTAGACGGCATCGGGAGCCGCTGGCGTGGCCGCCGAAGAGGACGGCCGGCTGCTGTTGCTGTCGATCGACTTGCGGACGGGTGTTGTCGAAGATGTGTCAGCCGTCGTCGGCCGTCCTCTGCCTGCGCTTCCACCACCACTCGCCCGCGCCTTTTCAAACCGCTGTCGCTGCTCGTCCAGCACCCGCCGCAGGTCCGCCCGCTGTCGCTCGGCATCCCGCACCGCCTGCTCGGCCCCGTCGAGTGCTGCTCGCAGACTGGCCACCGTCGTTGTCAGTGCGGCCGTCTGCTCGGCTGCAGCCGCTGTTTCCGACTCCTGTGCCGATAATTGCTGTGCCAGCTCCGCTGCCCGCGCCTGCAGCCCGTCGCGCTCAGCCACTGCCGCTTCAGCTCGCCGCTCCAGCTCGCGCGCCCGCGTGCGCAGCTCCTCGGCCTCGCGGCTGCGACGTCGTGCTGCCACGCCTGCTTCATCTTCCAGCCGCTCGCGTTCGGCCACGGCCGCGTCTAGCTGTGCCTGCATCGCCCGCACCTTTCCGTCTGCCCGGCCGTCCACGTCGGCCAGCAGTCGTCGCATCGTCTCGGCTTCCCGCGTCCGCTCGCCCAGCAGCCGCCGACACTCGGCCAGCTCCTCGTCCAGTGCCTCGGTCGCTGCCTGTGCCTCTCGCAGCTGCACCCCCACCTCGGCTGTCTGGTCTCGCATGCTTGCCAGCAGCTTCTGCGCGTTCGCGTACTGTGCCGTCTTGCGTACCACCTCTTCGCGCTGTGCCGCCTCCTCGCGTCGCAACCGGCTCGCCTCTTCTTCCAGTTGTGCTGTTCGCCGTCGCTGCTGGCCTGCCTCTTCCTGCTGCCGTGTCGCCTGCTGCTCGGCCTTTTCGGCCCGTACCTGCTGCTCGGCCTTCTCGCCTTCTGCCCGCCGCAGATCGCGTCCCATCGTTCGCTTCTCATCCTCAAGCCGTGCTCGCTGCCCCGTCTCGCCCGTCAGCTTCTCCCGCAGCCCCTTCGCCTCTGCCTCGCGCTCGCTCGCCAGTCGTGTCGCCCGCGCCGCCTCCAGCTTGGCCTCCTTCTCCCGCTTCTCCGCCGCCGTCGCCTCGGCCGTCTTTGCTGCCAGCTCTGACCGCACCGTCTTCAGCTGTGCTGCCTCTTGTCGCAGACTCTTCAGCTCAGGCTGTGCCTTCTGCAGCACCTCCCGCAGCTCTGTCGCGTCCTTAAACCGGCTTGCCGCCAGCTGCTGTGCCGCGCCCACCTCCGACTGCAGTCCAGCGCGCTCCTGCTCCAGTGAGGCCACCGTCTTCGTCAGCGCCTCTCTCTCCTTCTGTAGTGTTGTCACCGTTTGCGTCAGCGTCTCCCGCTCCTGCTCCAGCGAGGCCACCCGTTCTTGCAGCTGTGTCGTCTCTGCCCCCGCCGCCTGCAGCTCCTTGATCCTCTCCTTGGCCTCCACGTGGTCCTGCCCGATGGCCAACAGATTCTCCTGCAGCGTCTCAATCTCCTCCCGCAGGTCCTCCTCTGTTTTCCGCTGGCGTCCTAGTCGCTCGATCTGCGCGTCTTTACTGGCTGCCTCTGCCTGCAGTCGGGTCACCTCCGCCTGCAACTCTGCCTGCAGCTCTGCCATTGCTGCTGCATCGGGAGCTGCCTCGCTCTCGGCCTCCACTTCGCCATCTGCAGCTCCTACCAGCGTCAATTCGGATGCTTCTGACGGCGCCGGTTCCATCGCTGCGGCTGCTGCTGCCGTTGCTGCTGCTGCCGCCACCCCACCACCACCGTTGTTCTTCTTCTTCTTCTTGTTCTTCTTTTTTGCTCCGCCGCTCGTGCCTGTCGGTGTCTGTGTCGTTGTCGTCGGTGCTGCCGCCGCAGCTGCAGGTACCACTGCTGGCCGTGGTGCCGCTGCCGCCTTCAGCAGCTGCTCGATCAAAGTGTCCCGCTCCTTCTTCTCCTTCGCCAGCTTTTCCTTCTCAGTCTTTGTCGCCGCCACTGTCTTGTCGAGCTGCTTAGTCAGTGCCTGAGCCTCGCCCTCCAACTCTCCGTTCTTGGCTGCTGTCGTCGTCAACTGTGCGTTGAGTGCGGCCACCTCCGTCTTTGTCTGAATCGCCGCCGAAAGGTCTGTCTGCAGCTGCTCTACTTCCTTCTCGAGCCTCTCGATTTGCTCTGTCTTTGCTGTCGCATCCTGCTGAAGCTTCTCGATCTGCTGTGTCTTCACTGCCGACTCTGTCGTCTTCGCCGCAACCTCATCGCGCAGCTTCCCGATCTGCTCCGTCTGCTCGGCCGCCTGCAGCCGTGGCAGCTCGCTGTCGGCTGAGAAGAACTCCTCGCTGCCGTCCTCTGGCTTCTTGACGTGCTTCCTCGCCTCCGCCACCTCGGCCTCCGCCTCGTCCAGCTTCTTCCGCAGCCCGTCGCGCTCGCCTGACACTCGCTTTAGCTCCTCTAGCACCATGTCGCTCTTGAGACTCAGCTGTCCGAGGTACTCCACCAACGCCTCTGGGTCACGGATCGACCCCAATGGCGTGTTCTCGCGCAACACCCTCTCAAACGGTTCGATCGACGTCGCCCTCCCGTGCGCCACCCGGTACGACCGCAGCAGCTCCGGATATGTCGCCTCCAGCTTCTCCAGCTTGCGCAGCCGCGCCCGGATCTCTGGGGGCAGCTCCGTTTTGTCTGGCCGCGTCGTCATCGTCTTTGCCGTCCTGTCGGCTGTCTCGCCAGCCTCGTCCTTGTTTCTGCCGTCGGTGCCATCTTGTCTGGCTAGCGATACCTCGTCTCTCGTCTCTTTCTCCTCGCTCCCTCTCGCACCCTCCTTCTCCTCGCTGCCGTTCCCAGCTTCTGCCGGCATCGGTGTCGACGTCCGCGACGGCTCCTCGCTGTCGTCGATCACAAAGGCCGCCTCGAATACAGACGGGTCCGTGTTCGCCGTACCCTCGCTGCCCTTGTTGCCGTTGTCCTGGCTCGGTCGCGTTGATCGCGCCCGTCGTCCGGCTGCCGTACCCTCGCCCTTGACGCTTCCTGTTCGTGACACCGATGTCGACGATCTTCTGCTCGGCGACGATCCGCCCGATGATCCGGCGTGCTCGCCTGTCCTCTGCTGACGTGCCTGCTCTTCGGCAATCGTCCGATCTATCGCGCCTCTGATTCTCTGTACACTAGTTAGCATCATCATTGGCAGCTGCTCGAAGCACAAAAAGAGATGCAAGCAAGAGAGCACCCGAAATGAATCTCAAAACTCACTTGAAACATAGCACCTCTTCTAGGTCACTCGCCAATTTGTAACTGACAGCTTCTGTTGCTTCCTTCTTCTTCGGCGCCTGATACAGCTCCGCCCGTCCTGTCAGTCTATCGCAGGCTCTCGTTGTCTGGGAAATGCTCCTCTTGTTCAAACCTGTCGTTGTTCTTGTTTTGGACAGCTTGGCGCTAAGTTTCAGGGCGTCATTTGAGCACAGGCTTTTGGCGCCACTATCTGTGGCTTAGTCAGTGTTGTATGGTGCTTTTTGGGTCTACTGTGTAAGATCGTAAAGATGTATCTTAGGATTAGTCAGAGAACCGACTGCACAGGGAGATCCTACAGAGGAATGGGGAAAGTACCGTGTCGAGGCCCGACGTCGATTCTTCACATCGTCGAGCAAAAGCAGAAGGGCCTCGAGAACGAGACAGCAGCGTCAATGGAGAACAAAATGGTATTAAAAGAGAGAGCTCTCAAGACGAAGGCGAGACACAGATAGACCGAATGTGTATCCGAAATTTGCTTCCTTATACTGAAAAGCTTCAACTAATCGCTCCTGGACGTCAATTTCATCCACATATTTTTTTACAACCGGCCTGCGCTCATTTGGCTTCTGTCTTTGATAATTCGTCCAGTCCATGGCACTGTCGATGACTGGAGCGGACATGGATCTCGGCAGCGATGCCAGCCTGCTTAGTCTCGCAGACTACCTCCCAGACAAGTTCCTCCAGCCTCGTCCGTTTTTGAGCCTGCCGGCTCTCCTTGAACTGTGCTGGTGGTCTTCATTTGCTTCAACGTTGGATCGGCTGGCTGCCCTGCGTGGTGGCGCCTGTCGCTCAGGCCCAGAGGCGCTATGTGATAGATCGCTAAGGTGCCAAAGATGACGATGGCACTCTCTTGCGCCCAGAAACCAAGACCGCCAAACTCCATATTGCCCACATCCCGCCGCACGTTCGCCGAGTTCTTTGGAAACAAGTTCCCGGTCACCCGTGCACTCTATTGGCGAGATCCTGCGAGACTTGAAGACACCGCCGTGTAGACGGCTCGACCGAGAGTCGGAGAGAGACGAACATTGTCGCTGTTATGCATCCATACCTTATTGCCTAAAAAGGCGAAATTGGCAGCCCACTGCCAAGGTCGTATTCGCATTCGCGTTGCCCACGAATTGACGTAGCTGTGATCGGCGCCCGCGCTTAGTCAGCCAAGCTTGCATCGGCCACCATAAGCTTGTACGATACTCGCAGCATATGTCTCTATTTCTTCACGATAACGTGGCCGACAGCAGCCCAACGCCTGGACAAGGTCATCCGCCGTGTCCATCCGCTCCTTTCCTTCTTCTTCTAGTCTCTCTCTGTCCCCCGTCCTTTTTTTCTCATTGCCCCCCGCCTTTTCGCTTCGCTTCGCTCCCTGTCGCATCGTTTCCCAATTTTCGGGCTGCTGCTGTTCTATTGCTGCCAACGGTCGAGTCCGAACAGAGCCCGGTTTTGTCCTTATCCCGCTGCCACCGATGGTCCTCTTCTGGCCATGGAAGGTACGTGATGTGCACACGCCAGCCTGCGGGCATCGTGCTGCCCCCATGTGCCTGACGGTCGCTGACCAGTCGTCAGGGGGTCGATGCCTCGCCGGCGTCGTTTGAGAAGGCGCTCGCAGGACTGGCCGCCAAGATCTCCGACACCCAGGCCAAGCTCGACCACACCCGGTCAGCCGCGAGACGGGTCCGTGTGCTCGCGACGCTGTACCTCTCGTTTGCCTACGTGGTGTACGCCATCGTACTCGTCCTGGTCGTCGGCTATCGAAACTTGGGCGCGCTGGAGTGGTCGGGCATCGCTGGAGGTCCGCTCGCGTGAGTGTGCTGCCCTACTGCCCCTGTGCTCTGTCTGCTGCTAACCGGATCTCTGTCGACAGCATTTACACCGTCCGCACGGTCCTCGACGCCTACTTCAACTTCCGCATCGATATGCTCACTGCTCGACTCAAGGACTTCAAGGCCGAGCGCGAAAAGACGATCCTGAAGCTCAAGGCTGCCACCAAGTACGACTCCACCCTCGAGCTGTTGGAGAAGTACGGCGGCGTCGAGACCAAGCAGGGCGACCACAAGAACAAGGGCAGGCCGCGGCTGGCCCATGTCGACGACAGCCATGCCCACCCGTCTTCGTCGATCCGCACCGGCTTAAAGCCCCCAGCAACTGCCAACATCGCCCGCGGCACACCGCCGCCGCCGCCAGTCATCTCCATCCGTCCGAGTCCCGATGCTCCCGATGCAGCTTCTGGTTCCGATCTGGACGTGTCGGCTGAATTTGCGCCCAACGCCTTTGGGCCCGATACCGAAGACCATATGCTGCTGCTGCAGCAGCTGGGGTCCCGTCCGGCCTCGGCCATTTCCAGGCCGGCTACTGCCAACACCAGGCCGGGCACGGCCACGTCGGTTGCCACCACCGCTCTCGCGCCGCCTGCCACCATGACCGTTGCCGCCGCCGCCCATCCGCACTGGTATGACCGGCTGCTGGACCTCCTGATGGGCGAGGACGAGATGGCCGCCAAGAACCGTATCGTGCTCGTCTGTGGCCGCTGCCGGCTGGTCAACGGACAGGCGCCGCCGGGCACGCGCAGCCTGGCTGAACTGGGCAAGTGGCGGTGCATGGGCTGCGGCGCTGCAAATGGCGAGGTGGCCGAGACGAAGCCGTCTCTCGGCGACGTATTGGAAAAGCGACAGCGCCTCCGACCCCAGCGGGCGTCCAGCAGGCCACCGGAACTCTCGGACTGTGGAAGCGAGCTGGAACCAGACGAGGCCGAGGACACCGACTCCGAGGCCGACAGAAAAACGCATTCATAAGCCATTTGCCATACCACATGGTCACGTGACTGTGCACGAGCGGTCCTCGAGGCTGTGGTTTCTCATTCGCAATGGACCACAAAGGCAGGTGCGTCTGAAGGAGAAGAAGCAGACCTGGGCAAAGTTCTTTCGTGGACGATCGAGCAGCTCTGCTGAACACTGTGTTGGGCACTCTGCCGTTGTAGTGACCAGGCATGCACTTTATATTTTCTAGCGTCATTTAGATGTTTTTGCGATATCTGTCTGCTGCACGTCGTGGTGATGAATGGGCCTCGCTCTTTCGACTTGTCCGTGAAAGGCCTTTCAAGTCGTTCAGAGATTGTGTCCAGAACGCGGCCATGTTCAAGAACAATGCAGCCAGCCTTTGTAGACAGCCGGCTGGCCACGAACAAAGCGAACAACATCTTTGTCCCAACAGACGGACGGTCTGTATAAAACAGCAGCCGCCATCGTGTCCCAAAGTGCCTGCCCTCTTCTTCTCACCATCCACAACAGCAATCACAGCTCTTTCTACTCGCCAAACACTCTCAAGCCAATTTTTCAACAGACTCATCATCATGTGGGTTTACTGCGAGAAGTGCCGTCGTGCTTGTCCCCGCGAATGCATGAACAGCCACCAGCACCAGTTTCTGTGCCACTTTCGAGGCTGTCCGCAGAACCGCCGGCGGTATGCTGTCATTCCCGTGGCTGTCCAGGTTGACGAGAACGGGGAGCCGCCGGCCGGGTTTTATGCGCCGGGCAATTATCCGGCACCGGAGGGTATGTATTTTTCTGCAAGCCCGCCCCGAAGTCGGCCGCTGAATCGCCCAGGCCCGTTCCATCCGATGCCTGGTCCGATGCCTGGCCCAGCTGGCCCAATTCCCGACCATATGCCGAGGCCAATGCCCGGACCAATGCCGAGGCCAATGCCTCCGAACTTCAACGGCTTCGCTAACACGGCCCCAGGTCCCAGACCAGGATCGGGCCCTCGTCCGACTCCTCACAACCACAACGGCTCTCGCAACCGTAACGGTCCTCGAAACTTCAACGGTTCCCGTGAAAACATCCCCCGTCCGCACTCGTCCTCTCGCTCGTCCGCACCGCCACCCCTACCGCGTAGCCCGATCTCGCGGGCTCGCCCAACCCCTTGGCGCCCCCCACACGGGTACGCAGAGACGATTGTGTCTCAGGAGAACGTTGCCGGTGAAAGCCGTCCCCTCTCTCCCCGTCTGTCTGATCCGTCTGATCCGTTTGATCCGTCTGGCAACCAGGGAAACCCCTGCCGCGACATTATACGGGCCCGCGACATCGTCCGGGCATCCGGGCCAGACGACGACGACGACGATGATGATGATGGCAGCGAGACCGAAGAGGAGCTCTATGTCCAGGACAAGAACGGTAAGTGGGTGCTCGAGAACGACCGCCCGCGCGAGTGTGGGCGTGCAGGCAGACATGAATGCGGACAGACATTTGAGATGCCCATCCGCGGCGGTGTTCATCACGAGGTCCCGCCGCCGGCCCCGTCGCCACCGCTCGATAATCCTTGGGAGGGGCATCGTTCTCGGGGAAATCGTCCTCGGGGAAATCGTCCTCGGGAGGATAAAAGTCCTCGGGAGGAATATCGTCCTCGGGAGAATCACCCTCGGGAAGAGTATCGCCCTCAGGAGCATCGTTCTCGGGGTTATCGTCCTCGAGAGGAGCGTCCTCGGGAGGAATACCGTTCTCGGGAACACCGACCCCGAGAGTGTGTGAGTGAGACCGAGCCGCGATGGACAGCCCGGTATCCTCCCAACAGCAGCCGCAACGCCACCGTCGATTTTGAGAGCCGCCCGGCAGCACCTCGTCCACGAGAGCGCCGTCCCAGCGAGCCCCGCGAGGAGAGTCGTCGCAGTGAAGATCGTCGTGGGCCGCATATCGAGCGACAAAGCGAAGGCCGTCGTCGGCGCAGCGTCAGCCGTCCTCCAAGTGAGTACAATCCCCCCGGCACTCCCCGTGACGATGTCGAGAGCGGCTACAGCCATGTTGACAGCGGCTTCCGCCATGTCGACAGCGGCTTCCAGCAGCATCGCCGCTCGAGCCGTTCGGACTCCCAGCCTCCACCGCCGCCGGCGCCATCGCCTCCGCCCACGTACACGACCCCTTGCCACCCACACAGCCACTCGTCGTATGGCCGTGGCTATGGCACGTATCGACGCTGATTGCACCACTCTGGTGCACGGCACTGAGGCAACAGAAGCGGCCGCCCAGAGCCCAGACCGCCGACGAGCAGGCTTGTTGAATTGCGGTCGGACGACAAACGAACGACGGGCCGAACAGGTGAAACGACAAACAGGGTGACTCATTACGACAACAACAGGTGAGCAAAAATCGGGGATCGGCTGAGAAGAGTAGGTGAGCAACAGGAGTCGCGCAGTTATGACAGGACCCGAGCAAAACATTCGAGTCGCAACAGCTGCTTGTCCCGGGTAAATTCAAAAGCGAATGTGCAAGATGCAGGAAAACGTAGGCTGGAGCTCGGAGCACCTGGGGACTCAGAGTGCCCGACTCAAGCAGTAAAACAGCAAACAATAAACACACAAAAACACTTGAAAACTCAAACACATTGATCAGACACTTCACGTATAAGTAAATAAACGAGGCTGGCTGGACAAATCCAATGCCACATCCTCTATGAATATTATGTGTGACTGGAGATGGGGGCCAAAATAGAGCCCAAAGCCATCGGAACAGGCGCCATTCGCCAATCCGTTTAATGGCCAAGACACGGCCAGCTATGAACGCCAGTTTTCCCTTCCAAAATGCAGGCCTGAGAACGGACAGACCGCTCAAGGGCGGGCTCCGCCTGTAGCCCATGACCCAAGAATATCCAAAATAGTGTAAGAATGTGTACAGGTAGAAGAGAAGATGAGGCGAAGGCAGAAGGGAAGACAGAAGAGGCAGAAGAGAGAAAATGACAACAGCTACATGCGCCGGCTCATGACAAACATCTCGTAGTCGCCGACCTTGCCGCGCAGGCTCTCGTTCTCGCGCGCCAGCATCTCGTTGCGCCGCTCCAGATGGGCAATGTACTCGGTAGCCTTGCCCAGAATGGTGGCCTTGTTGAGCTTGTGGGCCGGGGCCAGGCCGCCAAGGTCCTCGCCAATGACTGCGCCAGAGATGCCGGAATACCGCGCCAGCTGCTGCTGATGCTGCTGCTCCTCGTCGTCATCCTCGGACCCGGCATCGGCCTGACGAGCAACCACGCGCAGAGCCGGCACGGCGTCACGCAGTGCCAGGATCTTGTCGTTGAGGTTGGTGCGGTAGCGCTTCTCAATCAGGTTGTGAGCCGTCTTCTTAGGCGGCTCGTACGTCGACACGCTCGACTGTTGTTGCTGCTGCTGCTGCTGCATCGACGAGGCCGACGACGGCGACAGCGGCGCGGCCGGGCCGCTAATAGACTTGCGCTTCAGTGACGCACTGCTGCTACTGCTGCCCGAAGAGCCCTTGCGCTGGGCGCCGGCTGACGATGACTTGCGCACCGAATAGCTGCGGCGTTCACGTGGCGACGGCATGGCGGCGTGATTGCTGCGGGTGTTGGTGAGACTGCGGCTGTGTGCGTGTGTGTGACTGCTGCTGCTGCTTCTGGGCGCGGCTGCAATGGCAAAGAGATCCTCGTCCGGGCTGCCCGAAAGCTGGATCGGGTCAATGGCCGAGGGAAAGGCAGCAAAGGTCAGCGGGCTGTCGGCAGGTTCAGGCTTGATGAAGGCCAGGTCGTCGATGTCAGGCTGCTCGAGAGCGGCCCAGGTGTTGTCAAAGCCGAGCACGGTCGTGTTGGGGTTGATGCAGCTGGTTGTGGGAGAGACAGGAGAACCAAGCGACAGCGGGGAGTCGGCACTGAAGTCGGTGTTGTAGCTGTTGTTGGCAAAGTTGGTGTATTCCTCGAGAGAATAGCTGTAGAGAGAGTCGGGGGAGAGGCTGCTAAAGGACTCCTCCAGCGGCAGCTTGAGCGAGATGTCAAAGGGCGGGACGGTGGGGTGATCGATCTCCATAATCAGATGGTGGATGGGGGTCGAAAGGAAGGATGAGGCTTGAGGGGGGGTTCAGGTTGAGATGGTGGTCAGAGAAGCTCCAGAGCTAACGTGGCGAGAATACGGTGGCCAGGGATGTCTGGGGAGAGAGACGGGGAGGGGAGAAGAGGTTGTGTTAAAAACGGACGTCGTCGGCGGCGTTGTGGGCGATGATGGCTGATGATGGCTGATGATACTCAGGGGCAGATGTTATTGCTTGAAGCTGATTCAGTTGGGCTCGATGATGGTGGTGAGCCTTCTCTGCGGGTGGAACGACTTGCGACCGGACCTGTCTGTATATAAGTAGCTTCCCTCCTCCGCGGTCTGAGCCCCTTGGTCCCATGGCCGGCCGGCACGGCCATCGAGATGCACCGTCGACTTTTGCCGGCTTCGTTTGTCGATGTTCGCGATGCACAACTAAACGGAAGCCCCGCCCATGGGAAAGAATGGCCCTATGTCCAGAAACCGAACCACTGCTGTCGGCCGTCTTACGACCATAGGTCGGACGAGTGTCTAGAGCGGTACAAAGCTGCAGGTATCCTATAGCAGCGGCCCACCTGTTCTGGGCCGCCTGCTGCTACTGAAATACGCGCATACGTGTACTGCGGCGGGGCCCGGGCTTGGCCCATGGGCTGCTTTGTGGGCGGCTCGGGGCCTGGAGCCACCGACTGGGAAAGTGGGATGGAAAGCCACATCATGGGTTCTTGCCTCTTTCTCGTGCACGGTGAGGGCATTTCCGACGCCTGCTACGAGATGATGCTGTACGAGTACGAATCTCCCGTCAATAGCCTTTGTGGCACCTTCCCGACCGCTTCCTCTCTGCTCCTTCCCTCCGCGACATTTTCCGTAGCCCTTCCTTCGTCTGCATGAAGCAGGCCCTTGCAGGTGCCAAACAGTCATACAGTAGGGGCCAACGCACATCGCATGTACGAGTACGAGAACGAGGACTATGCCATGTCCCGCGAAATCGTATCGCAGTCCGTCCTCCGTATGGATAGATATCTGATGAGATTGCCGTCACTGAAGCATGCCGAATTTCTTCCATCAATCCGGACCCCAGCCGCAGCCAATCAGAGTATGGCTGAGCCAAAATGGCCTGATCGCCTGTCGTCCTCCTCTCTTTCCCGAATGGGCCGTTTCATCGGGAGCGTCCGGCTCAGACGCGCCATATGTGTGCTGGGAAGCAGGCGCGACGGTTATACTTTCCGTTCGCAGTGGGCGAATTTCCGATATGGGCCGGATGAAACATTCACGTGCAGCAAAAATTGCTGCTCATCGAGATCGCGAGTTATTACGTACTTTTCGCGATTTCCCGGAACCCCTTCTGCACTGTAGCACCAGCCACCATTCCCAGAACGCATACGTCGTTAATACCTCAATGAAGCCACACCTAAGCCACAAGAGGTCTCGGGCGTGGCTAAATTGCTGTGGATGGACGACAAACTGCCTCAACCCTCACTCACCCTTTCGAAGTATCACGAAACACGTCAGTTACGTCGTTGCCAACATCGTCTACCTCAAAAGCCGTTATTAGCCGTACATTTACGGAGTACCAGCACAAACTTGAAATACATGCTCGTTCTCACTCCCTCATAATCATCGCCAGAAGTCTCTCAAGCATTGTTGGCTGCATCGTCGGCATTGAGACGTCATAGCATATCTTCGTCTAGTGAAGCTGTTCAAACAAAGTGACGAGTTTGCCTACATGCCGCATCTACCACGCATAAGGTCCTCCAACCAGTGTGTCCTAAGCGCCTTCCACACCGATGAGGCTGAACAGGCCTGCAGAAATGTGCCCAATGTTAAAGCCGCGGACTTCTCTACTTCTGACAGCTCTCCTCGTCTCCGGTTGACGATCCTCTTTTGGCCTGGCTCACAAGGGCTTGCTGGCAAGCGGCAATACCAGCCACTAGCCACCAGCTAGAAATAGCATGACAGCAAGAAATGGCATTGATCAATACAAGTAGCTGCCGCGACTGGAAACTACCGCTAATAAAGGAGGTAGGGTGACAGCTTAGCAAGTGCTTCTCCTACAAGTAACTGTCCTTGTGCAGCATGAAATTCATCCCGCAATATGCCCAGTGTCATATCGTTAGGTCTCATGTTTTCTACCAGAAAGAGCGTAGGACAGAACCAGACTACGAGTACGAGTATGCGTTTGCATTCGATTCTACCCTCCTTCTGTCAAGCCCCGACAATGATAACCTCTTTTCAGGTGTGGTGATGTCGTCATCAGGACAACCCACGTTCCTTCTCCGCGTAGTTTTCCTGGCCCCTGGCAGTAATGTCGGGTGATGGACGCCATGGTTATACACAACCAGCAGCAGCTTCGGATGGGGTGGCACGCTGCACTCTCTGACCGATCGGACGCAACCCTGTCTGCATGAAGCATCACATTAGCTTGAATTACCCGCTAATAGCCGGTTCCGAGATCTGTTCTCACTAGTGTACCGTTCTAGCTTTGCTCGTTGCTCTTCTGTGGCTGGGCCGGTCAAGTAAGGGCTCGGCTTGTCTCCCAAAGTAGTCAGTACCGAGTACCTCACTTCGTCCATCCTTGTTTATGCTCCATATGCAGCCAGATATGGCTTAGGCTGTTCTAGGAAGATTCAGCGTCGTGCTTTTAGCTGGCCATATTAACAAGGCACACGAGGCACACATACCAGCCCAATGGGTGACAATTTCAGTCATCTTTTCATGGACGTCTCATTATGCAGGCGTCCGGTCGCCACGCAGTCGTGCGCCCTTCCGCTCCGTATCAGCTTGGAGAACAAGGGTGAAGAAGGTGGAATTTGGTAAAAGCCCAGACGACGAGACATATGCCAGTAAGAGAACCGCGATGTTACCGCCGAAGCCGTGTCCCCGGCATACATCGTCTTCTGCATGATTCCGCCAACTTAGTCGGCAATCGCTACAAGCAGCTGTTCTCGGCCAATAGCTGCAGCTGAGAGAACACCCACAGCTGTAACATCCTTGCTGTCGGTGGTGCCGTACGTCTGTAGATGAGCTGGAACCGGTACCCTTGACAACGTATCATAGTAAGCACCGAGGTTCAGGATGAGGTCTGCACGACGCCAAGGGAAACCAGCCCCCATCTATAGGAAGATTAGTCACGGTCACGAACCCCTCATTGATAATGGCGAAATTAGGAAGTATGAGACTGGCGGTGATAAGCTTTCACTAGAGTTCAGGTTCTTCCAACAAGACTCAGAAACAAGCGGTTGATGACAATGGTTCAGGCCTAGTAGAGTCTCAGAAGAAGAAACTATCACAATTAGAAACCAGAGATAAAAAAGCGTGTAAGCAGCACTTACACGGCAGCAAGGCGAACTTTGATGTAGTATTTAATTCAACTCGTATTTTCGCTCTCTGTACGTCTTTCTGCTCCATTATTTCCTTGTCATAGCTCATTCCATAGACCGCAATTCTCGCCATCCATTTACGGTAGTCAGCAATATCTGAATCACTAGGCATGAGAGAATTGTAGGATTGTCAACAAAAGAACGGATAGAGCTGAAGTCCTTGTCTCGGTAACTGTGAGTGAAGTTGTGGTCCATGCTTGGCTTGAGAGTAAAATTTTGGCAATCACTGCGCCAGGAAGTGAGAAGCCTCAACTCACTCATTTGCACTCCCTCCTCCCTTGCCACAACGCAAACAGCATCATCGGTCTTAACTCTTTAGCGTTTGTTTGTAGGCACGGCTGGTTATCTTACTGCTGGTCGATAATTCTTCTCAGCTTTTGTCGTGAGGCATCACAGCTGGGAAAAAATCTCCTGTCGTGTGAAGAAGTTGCCTCAACGGGCGCATACGATGTACTCCGTGCATCGTTAAGCCCCGGGCCCGGAAACACATTTCCGTCCAATTCCGGGTACCGAGAGCTCTGCAATGGCTAAGCGTTCCTTCTGGAAGCTCTCCTTCTAAAAGCTCGACCGGCTTGTGCAGATTAAGATCCCCCCCGGGGTGATTGCACCTCATCTCCGGGGGTAGGAAGACTTCGAATAGCATTTGCGGGGTGCAAAGAGAATGTTACATTTCTTTGGGACAGACACAGCCACGGCACTGGGTCTTCGCAGTGGATTGGTCAATTTGCGAGGAGAGCCAGAAAAAGGGGGAGAATAGGAGAAGGGGGAATTCCACAAAGTCAGTCTAAGATCCCAGCTCGGCGCAGAAGAATTGGCCAAAGTCAAACAAGTGCAAGCGAGATCGGCTCGCTTCCGAGAACTGTCTACGAAACGGAGTCTCGTATACGACGCAATATATCTTGCATGGTGCGCCGGCAGTAAGCGAAATGATAAATGGCCGGAGTCGGTTTGTGATTGCGAAGCAGTCGCTTAATGCCATGCTGTTTGTCTTGGCCGTAAGCGTATTCTCAATGCGCTTCTTAAAGCATAGCCAAAATGGTATTACGGAGAATATTTTACAGAGCCTCTTTCAAGTAAAATGATTATAGAGAGTATCGCTGTCTGCTCTTCTTGCACCTCGTGCCGGCTCAGCCTTCGCCTTAAAATGCAACAAAACGGTGCGCCCACACTCGTTCACTGTGGGGTGTCAGCGGCTCGGCACGGCTAGGCTAAAGACGAATTGGAGTCCCGCTTAATCGCATAGGGACGTTTCACTGTCATTTTTGCACGGTCCAAGGCGTAAGCCTTGTCTGCGACAGCCCTGTGTCGCCTCTAGACGACTGCTGTCGTCGAGGTCTCCCATACTTGTGCATGGGGCGCAACGAAGAGATGCACCAATATGAACTCAGATAAGCAGTTTCTTCTGGCAGCATAAAATACTTTACAACGTACGAGATGCAGATCGCCAGAACTTCCCTACGATGTAAAGGTCTGTACTCCGTAGAATACGGAGGATTCACATGCGCTTCAAGCACAGCCACCGACTGAGCTCATTGTGCCCCCACACAGTCATCCAAGTCCGGCTTTGCCCATCGACGATCTGATACGGAGTAAACATTTCAACTTCATCAGGGCAGGGCGGTCATGTGTGGCAAGAAGGGCGGCACGTGGAAGCAAGCGCAGCATACGACAGATAAGCCAGTACATAGTAATGGGCTGGCAGGTCTCTGCTAGTGGTGTCTCAGGCCTCTGGCCAAGGATGGTGGTCAACATCTGTCATGCCAGAAGTGCACAAAGGACGAGAAGAGAGGAAGAATGAGCTATATACAGGCGTTGAAGTTTCGTTCCTTGCATTGGTGTTTGGCTGCTTCACGGCTGTACTCTGTACAAAGAGTCACAATCACCTGCAGCTTGCCCCAGTGTGGTCTGGGCCTGGTTCGCGCCCAGAAGGCGGTAGCGGCAAATGCGGCTGTGATCTGCAGCGATTGGGCGACTGAGGGGAAAAGGGGCAGCTAGTTCTGGATCCGTCGAGCACACCGACTTCAATTGGGAGGGGGGAGTTGCAGCCCATTGGGTCTGCTCGTATCCATTGGCAGTCACGAAACGGGCGAAACGGGCGGAAATCAGCAAAACCAGCAGAAACAGCAAAATCAGGTTCGTTGTTAGAACTGTTGTCTCAGAAGACACACCGACGAGCAACCGGCAGCGCCGGACGATAGCAGATAAGGGTCATGCGTCGCAATGGATGATACGAGGTAAAGGTGGTGTGGTGTTCCAATCTGCCCATGGGATTGGGAGGGAGGGGGGTGTCCAATTGGGAGGGCTCGAGAAGAGGGATTAATAGAGAACGCGCAGGACGTCATTGCAGGGGGGAGGGAGACGCATTGGAAGACGTTGTGGGATGGAAAGGATTAAATTGGATTTCCAACCAGAACAGGGCGATGGAATAATTGATAGCGCTCGTAATAATGGGCAGCTCTTTGTCCGGAAAAGCCGATGAGAGGCAAATGAAGGGCAAATGAAGGCCAGGGGTGATCGGAAGCGGAAAGCCGAACCTGGGCTCTGGGTCCGGCAGCGCAGGTGGAAATGGGAGTGTATTCAAGTCCGGACGCGGTGAGTGCTGGAGTTTGCATTGCCTTTGCATCGTCTTTTCCAGCTGGCAGGCAGCATGGAGATTACAGACCGGAGTCCGACGGGAGAGTTCTCCCATGATTTATAAGTAGACCCGCCGCTATCGATAAAAAAAGAGCGGAGAGATCCAGGCTAGGCCGCAAGGAGCGGTGGCTTTCGATTTTATATTAATAGCCAAATGACAGGCTTGGAAGGTGGTCGAGTCTGGAAGCTGCTGAAAATTGTACTCAGGACCTTCTAGGAACAGGCTATGCACCTGTCAGGAACTGCTAGGAGAGCGCTGGCCGGCCTTATGAGTCACCCTGCTCATCGCGCCATCGCAGTTCGACCCAGACAGCGCATTGGGCAGGCGGGTGCTGATTGGCCAATTGGGCGGCAGCGCTGACAAGTGGCAAGCAGGGAAGGAGTGATGGAGGGACGGAGAGGGAAAAGGGAGGGCAGCCCCTCTGGTCAATTGACGTGTTCACGGAGGGTCTCTTGTTCGACGTGGCCGTCCAGAGCGACAACAGAGACGGCCACGTTTCTGGCTGCTGCAGCACGATCTCCATTTCCCGCCTCGTTCCAGTGACTCAAATGGCCGTATGTTCTCCGTTTTGGCCCCACAGCGCGAGTTATCTTGCACTTTGCAGCCTTGTCAGTGCGCTGGTCCCGGCATCGGTGTCTTTTGCGCGCGCTCGTATGTGCTAGAGATACGAGTACGGAATTGCATGTCCATCAGGATCTTGCCGTGATATATCTTAAGATGTTGGCTCGGATGTGACAGCAGGCCGTGCGTCCGTTTTCGTGTTGTTGTGTCGTGTTGTTTGGTGATATTCGGATATTTGGTGATGTTTAGTGTTGTTTGGAGTCCGTAGTTGTGCAGCTGTGCAGCTGTGCAGCATGTGCATGTGCAATGTGCCGTTCTTCTTCTGCTGTTGCTGCCGATGCTTACTCGCAATGCCTGTTTGCCGTTGTTCACCTCTTCGGTTGTGTTGTGATGCCTGTCCCCACCGTTTGCATTGACCGTTGCACTAGCCACTAACACCGCCTCCGTTCCAGCATTGTTGTTGGGCGGAAGGGCTGACCACGCCGGATGACCCAGTCAGACGCCGAGCTACGATATGGTGTGAGACTAGTGCCACCTCAATTCCACACCCCCCCTTTTTCGTCTCAGAGAAGCCAATGTCGTCTGCTACAGAAGGCCACAGAAGACCACTCCCGTACGAGGCCACGCCGGACATACTGCGACATCCAGTTGCATGTCCCTCTGTTGGGCTCCTTACGCAGTAACCGTTGCCACGCGTACTTTACATCCTTACGGGATATCTTATCTTGTCTGTCTGATGTGTCTTATACTACACACGTATGGCGTCAGAAACTCCAGCCCCTCACTGGGAGGCTAAAGGCATTGGGCCAACCTGCCTGCAAACCTGGCATGAGGGGTGTGTCTCTATAACCGGCATATCTTCCGTCCTGTCTAGTCGCCGAACGCGAACGAAACATGGCCAGAACTGCTCCCACCACTCACTTCCCGGATCAGCCTCAGAAGCCTGCCTTGCCTCCTCTCTGCCTTCTCCCCTTTCACTCCCTTGCCTTTCTCATTCCATTTCCAGGGACATTCCTCTTTCTATCTCCTCCTTCCTCCACCTCTCCATCCGTCTCACTTCTCTTTCTTCGCACCTCCTTCCTCGCCCGTGCTTTCCCTGTCGTATCTTACCCGTACTCGTATGCTCCTGTCCGCTAGTGCCCCATAACCCATATTACGTACACCCCCTTTCTATTTATTCCACCGCCCACCGACAACTGCCCCCCCTGGGTCTCCAGCCGCGCCAAACCCCGCGCTAGTAGGAACGTTCTCTCCCGTCAACTCTATTATCAATATAGAACAGGCAACAACCGCTACTCTGTCATGCGACGCCCTGTTTATTAGCAATTGCCCAACATCAGCACTTTGACTATTCAATTCTCACAATTCTGCGATACATTCACTCCCAATCTTATTCTCGCATCCTGTTCTCTCCCTGCCGTCTTCGCACCTATAAAATCTACTCGCACCCAATTCTTGCCGCCTAGTGCCATCTCGTTCTTTCCTCTTCTGCAACCCCACACACTTTGCCACGCTCCGCAACCTGCCTTCCCAACTCGGCAATTTTGCCTCCTGCAGTCAAATCGCACCTGCCAGTCCGCACGTCCCAATCGACATCTGCCAGATCCTGCCAGAATAGGAGAAGGCAGAAAATCACCAGCTTCACCGTCTGCATCCCGTTACAGACAGAGCCAATTCGACTTGGCCTGCTGCAATTGCCTCCCGTGTTAACGACGGCGCTGCTGCTTCTTAGTGTTATCACCGCATTCGGCTTTACTGCCTCTCTGGTTGCGCAGACACTGCCTTCGCCTTTGCCAACAAATCCGCCTTCCGTCGTGCTGCTGCTGCCTGGCGCTTCGCCACGCTTTGCTGGCAGTCAATTCTGGTGACGAGCCATCCGTCGCCTTTCCAGCTGTTCACCCATAGGCATTGCCCCCCTCACCTTTTCCGCTCAGAAACAATTCACATCACCTCGCCTTAGCGCCCTTCTACCGATGGCTCAGTCGCCCTTCATCATGCCCTTTCCACCCAATCACGGCAGTGTTCCAATGGAGCCTTCAGTCTCTTCATCATCCATTTCTTCCTCCGTTTCTTCCTCTCTCACTTCTGTTTCGTCTTCTATTTCTACCGCCCTCTCACCGCTTGCTCCGTTTTCATCCTACCACCCGACGACACCCAAGCGCCACCTGCAACTAGACGACATTAATCGCACGACAGAATCCGCAAAAGACGCATCCGTTTTCTTAATGGCATCGGCTTTTAAAAAGCCGCTGGATATCAGCAACCTCATGTCACCACCGGAGCCCGACCAGCTCGACAGCTTCAGCGTCAATGATGAGTGCAGCCGCAGTTGCAGCCCGGTAGTAACTCACACACAGGTTCCCGCGAACAAGAGCACTGCCCTTCCTGGGAATGGCCCATTGTCTCCCCCGATCTCGCCGCGGGACAAGAAGACAGACTCTCCCTCGCCTCCTGATGTTACGTCGTCTGCTTCTGCTTCCGCCTCCCAGGCGACTGCTTGCGACCCCATTCTGTACCCTGCCACGAACGAAGCTCCATCAGCAGCTCTGTCGCGGCCCCTTTTTGCCTCCACTGTTCCGTCTACAACTGTCAGCAACGCTGCTTCAGACGTGGTGAACGAACATGTTGCAGCCCGTTCGCCGGCATTATTCTATCACACGGCACCCCCCAAAGGCGAAGACTATGAATTAGCGCTTTACATGAGGGTGGAGATGATGAACACCATCGAGAAAAATCGCAATTCATGGCTGAAGAAGGAGCGTGAGCAGTTGGTGGCTGACCGCACGGCTGCAGCCGACCGGAGCAGGCGTCTGCATCACATCCTACCTGCTGCAAAGTCGACGCCGCCTGCACCACGGGCCTCTACACCACGTCTCATGAGGCTCCAGTTCTCCGCGCAACAGGCGCAGCAGGCACAACAGGCACAGCAGTCGCACCCGTCACACCAGTTGCCGCAGGCATCCCAGCCACAGCCACAGTATCAATTTCCACAGGGCCCGCAGACACGGCTAGTTTCCGAATCGCACATTATGCAACTTCAGCAACGGTCATCTGCGGCTCTGCATCCTGTGGTGGACGCAAACAATCGGGTCACAAAACGTTCGAGAGCTGCTCCGACACGCATTGCCCCTCAGGTGCACAACGCATTCCAGACGTCTGGCAGTGGTGGCAGCGGAAGCAACATGCGCGCGCCCGGGACGTCGCCGGAACCGCGCGTGCGCACAACTGCACCCAATCGCGAGGACAAGGATTTTGCTTCTCTGCCAGACTACTGTCCACCCCTCAGCACACTGCCTGAGCGGACTAACAACCTCAAGGTGGACTGGAAGGGCAACGCACTGGACCTCTCGCGGGATGCACACCTGCACCTGTTGCATCGCGATGAGGTCGGACTGGCGGCGAGCCTGCGGCTGGACTGTGCGACCTATCTCACGAGCAAGCGACGCATCTTTATGCGGCGGCTAGAGTGTGCCCGCATCGGCAAGGAGTTCCGCAAGACGGATGCTCAGCAGGCATGCAAGATTGACGTCAACAAAGCGTCGAAGCTGTGGACGGCTTACGAGAAGGTGGGCTGGCTGCGAATCGACCACATGAAGCGGTTCCTCTGAGCGCTTTCGCCTATCTGTCCCGGTGTCTTCTATTCCGCTCATCCTCTCGCACATGGCCACCCCAGGTTTCAGGCTGTCTACAGTTGGCGCACCGCATAGCTTGGTTTTGGCCGCTCTTTTTGTTGCTTTTTTGCTCCATCTTCTTCGAACTACCGCTGGCTTTTTCTCGACGGCTTTTAGCCTCTCTTCTTTTTCCTCTTTCTCTTCTTCAATACCATTCCCCATCTTCTCATTTCCTTTGTCTTTTACGAACACTCGACGGCTTCACATCAGGATGGATTAGGATTCACAACGGTGGCAGGCATCATATCACGGTCCTTGGGAAGACCGATGTTGGTCGACTGTTACTCGACGCATTACTAGGGATAGGAGGATGTTCATTTGATACCCCCGAGACTTCACACGATGGTTCACAACAGATCGATACCCCCCTCCAGTCAGATTTTGTGTATTGACTTGGCTTTTGTTTACTCTGTAATTGTTTGTTTAATTTGGCTTTTGCTATCTGCTTGTCTCTGTGACGCTGTACTTGGCTGCGTATTTTGGCACCGCGTGCTATGTTCTGCATCTCCTATCCAGGTTCTATTTTTTTATTTAACTTATATCAACAGATTGAAGCAACAGATTGAACCATGCTGATTATATCCTGGTCTTCTATTCTCGTCTAACAGGTGTCGCGACGGGAGCCTGCCTCGTATGTGAGGATGCTTGCGGTTCGAATTTCCTTTTGATTCAAGATGCCGGCTTGAATAACAGAAGCGAGCTGTGGTGGGACGGTGCAGAAGCGCAGAGGGTGTGCACTACAGGCAGCCGACAGCGGGTAGCTCTTATTCCATTGTGAAAAGCTGTCGGTTTAAGATGGTTGAGGCTTAAGCATGCAGCACGTGATATCGGCAGACCGTGCAGAATAGGAAGGAATAGAATATGCACCAGCCCCGATTGCAGAGGAGCGGTCACGTGAAATCATAAACCATGAGGCTCTCGCGGCCGCCACGTGACTCTTTGAGGACAATGACCATCTCGTCGTCGAAACCTACCCAGTTGCGGCGGTCATGCCAGTCGTAGGAAACGGCAGGGGGGCGGATGGCGACGCTGCGACCACGCTCGGCGGCAGGACGACCCTCGAGTTCCCAGACGCGCATCTCATCGCCACGGACGCTGACGCTGACGGCCTTTCCGCGGGCGGTGATCTCGGCGTCGCTGATGCCGGAGGTGTGGCCCCAGAGGCGGAAGCCGGGTGAGACGGCGAGTGAGGAGGCGCTGGAGGTGCAGAGGTGGAGGACGAGCGTGTTGTCGGGCAGGGTGGCGAGGAGGTAGGGGTGGGAGTAGCAGAGCCTAGTTGGGCCGTCGTCGATGGGTAACGAGGGGAGAGGGGAAGAGGTGGAGGGGACGGAGGATGTGGAGGGGTAGGAGGAGTGGAAGGCAGTCGGATTGGCTGACGGAGGAGAGGACCGGCGGCTGCCAGCGGTGGGGGAAGAAAAGGCCAGACGGGTGGTGACGACACGGGGAAGACTGTCGTGGCTGTTGCTATTGTAGCCGGCAGAGGCGTCAGGACTCTGGACGTGGAGGTCTTGGAGGCCGATGGCCCAGCCCTGGCGGGTGGAGAATGTGTAGGCGATAGAGGCGATGGTGACGGCGGGCAGGCGGCGGATAGAAAGGGCCAAAGGGGGGGTGGACGTGTGAGAGCGCAAGGAGTTGATGAGGGTGGGAGGAGGGAGGAGGCTGGAGGAAGAGGAGGTAGTTGCCGTAGAGGCAGGCCATGCGTATAGTGAGACCAGGACGGACTGCGTGGCCGTGAGGACGAGCGGGTGAGCGTAGGCGATAGCGACGAGGGACCCGCTGCTGGAGGCGGCATGGACGAAGCGACGATGGAGGGCGCGAACAGCCAGATTGAGGCGCCAGATGTCGAAGCCGCCGTCGAGACGGCCAACGGCGATGTCGAGGCCGCCAGGGGAAGCGTTGACGGAGAGAGCGGTGGGGGTTGGGGAGGAGGCGATGGGAGGAGTGCATGGAGGAGTAGCAGAAGCAGCAGAGTTCAAATCAGGGCCAAGACTGAAGCTGTCAGGACAGTCTGTGGCAATTCCGTCCAACAGCGCGGCCACGAGCAGACTCCTCGTCTTCAGCTCCCACACCTGCAATCCTCGTCGGCTGTCGGCTGTGACGGCAATGCCGTCAACCACTTTGACGAGCATCCTCGGCCGCTCCTCTTCATCGTCCTCGTCTGCGACCCTGCCCCCCATCTCGCTGCCTAGTTGCAGCTCCTCCACGGCACACTGTCCGCGATCCCAATTGTGACGTAGCTTGTACTGTCGCTTCCAGTCCGTCGGCCTTGGCTGTGGCCTTGTCTGTGGTCTTGCTTGCAGTCGGCCTATCGGGCCTGCAGTCGACTCCCGTCCACCACCCCGGACTCCCCGGACACGCAACGCTCGCGGCAGTACGAAGCGCACATAGTAGAGCGCCCTCCACAGCTGCGAGTCGTCGGCCAGCCGGAGAAACCGCCGCGACACCGGCGCCACTGCCAGCAGCCCCGACAGCGTCAGGTAGCCCAGGATGCGCACAAGCAGCTCGTCCGACAACCGCGAGAGACGGTCGCCCGAACCCCTTGTCCTCGTGCGCTTCGCTGGCCGCACATCCGTGTTGTTGTCGGCGTCGTCGTCGTCGGCCGTTGCGCCGTTGTCGGTCTCGTGTTTGCGCTTCATTCTGTGAGGCGGTCCCGTCTCTGAGACCAAAAAGAATAGGGAAAAAAGACAGGACGCGACCGTGCGATTGCTGCGCTCAACGGCGGCGACTTGTGCTCGTTACAAGCCACTGGGTCATGGCCTATTCTTTGGCTGGGCTGGTCGGCGGGGAAATTGGTAGTGGCTACTTTGGTCTGCTAGTAATTTGCCGCCCCAAACTGGTAGGTAAGCCCCAGGTACATATATTCTAGACGCGATACTACTAGATTGCGAATACAGCCAGACCATCTGTCCGAGCAAATCTGCTGAAGAACACCCACGCGAATCTGTCTGCTTCTATTCCTCTGTCTCTGCATCACTATCTCCTACTTCGCCTTTTCGCCCGCCAGCTCCCGCTCCGCCTGCTGGTAGTACTTGGCCGTGTCCACGCCGTGCTGTCCATGGTTGACAAAGTTAAACCACGGCACCACCTGGAAGAACAGCGCCGAGTAGCGTGACTGCCGCGCCGCCACGCCCTGCATGTGCGGCGTCAGTCGGCTCTCGCCGTAGAGCGTCTCGCCCGCCTTGACCTTGGCCACCATTTCGTTCATGTCCATCTCCACCTCGCGGGCGTTCTCCGACATGCCATAGAAGCGCACTGTATGTTAGCATCCAACCGTCTCGCTCCGTCTATCATTCCTTCTTCCGCTCCGCCTCCCCAAACTTACAGCATGATCGTTGGTAAAAGTAGAGGAAGCCGCCGGCCAGACCGAGGAAGCCGCCTAGCCGCATGGCCTGGGCAAAGCCGCCCTTGCCGACGTACGACGGTGCAAGCCGCTCCATCAGCAGGAGCGTTGTTGGGCCAGCCGCCGCTGCCACTGCGCCGTGCGCGTAGTCGGACGGCCGGGCATATCGGATCACCCGCTTGTAGTGTCTGGACAGCTGTCAGAAGGCGGAATACGCAAATCGGAGCCAGGAAGCTTGGGGAGGTCGCCGCGAGGGCTTTCCGCGGAAGTTCTCTCCGAATCGTGGTGTGCGCTTACGGGTCATTGTCGATGAGCTATATATAGGCAACATTGTCAGCTAAAACTTCGCTCCAAACAGGTGCACAGATGCAGGCGGCTCGTCCGGTCGGCCTGGTTGCCAATTGGCTGTGGCAAACTCACAGGATAGTCGGTCTGGACCACCCGGCTGGGGATGTACGTCGGTGCTGTGGGATTCGCCATGTTGTGTGCCCGAGGAAAGGAAAGCCGCTGGTGCAGAGTCGATCGACGCTGGTGTGTCGAGATCTTCCGAGGATGAAGAGCCGCGCTTCTGCCTCAGGCCGCCCTAGGAAAAAACCACCAATCGCAGCCCCAGCAAATGTCAGTGCTTTAATTGCTTAGTCATCATTTTAGTAACTACGGAGTACAGGCGCGTCAACGCGTCCCACTTCACAAGGCTGTTCTAGATCGTAGGTGCAAAGCGTCGCTTTCAGTCTCCAGCACTATCTACTACCAGCTCCCCCATGGCTTCTGACGTGCGTCGACCACAAGCCCCGCCGTCTGCGGGCGGCTTCGAGGACTACCTTCCTGACGACCTGGCCGACTATGGCAGCCTGTTTGGCGACGAGCAAGACGGGGCCGACAAGTCTGGCAAGTCCAAAAAGGCGGGCGGCGATGTAACTGCCGGCCTGGGCATCGACGAGGAGGTCGACGTAAAGAAGCGCGCCCGAGAACCGCGCGTGAAGCTGGACGAGACTCGGTGTGTATCTGCGGTAACTCTCGCCACCCTTGCGCCTTTATGCTGACGGCACAAGGATCCTTTCTGCCAAAGGCATCCCGGCTCTGCGACAGCGTGCGAGGAACCTCAAACTGAAGGGCAAGGGCCACGAGGTGGGTTTTTCTTCCCGACTACTCTGCGCCTATATCGGCTGACAAGCGGACCTGCAGTTCGCCGACGCCTCTCGACTGCTGTCCATGTACCAGCTGTGGTTGGACGACCTGTTTCCCAAGGCACGCTTTGGGGATGCCCTTGCCATGGTCGAAAAGGAAGGCCACAAAGCGAGCATGCACAAGATGAGAATGGAGTGGATAAACGAGTCGAAGCCGCGCGACCATGGTGACTCTGACGCGGAGGGGCAGCCTGGCGAGCACGAAGATGCGCAGCCAGCACAGCAGAGCGGACCACGGCCCAGTGTCCCAAGTCAGGGAGAGAAGGAACCGTTACAGCCACAAACACAAACACAAACACAACCACAACCACAGGCAGCACCACAGCCACAACCGCAACCACGACCACGGCAGACCGGTACAAGCAGCGGCGACCCAATGGAAGAAGATTTGCTAGACGAGGACCTATACGGAGCCTCTCCTGTGCGGCCTTCACGGAGGCATGAAGCAGACGAGGTGCCTGATGAGGACGAGCTGGACGCCCTCATGGCCGAGGCGGCTGAGGCGCACGAGCAACCACCTGCTCAGCCACCTGTACCCACCCAAACGGCCATGGACGACATGGGCGACATGGACGAGCTAGATGCCCTCATGGCGGAAGCAGAAGCAGCATCATGACATGTTGAACGTGGAATTGCAGGCAATGAAGGGCTACAGCACCGGTGTTTGTGTGTACAAGTAATTCGTCATAGAAAGCGTTTTGATTTATGCGATTATGCAGTTATCCAATATTTGGTGCCCAACCCCGCGAAGCAGGACCGAAGAGCTGTACTAGTTTCTTAGAAGCTGCTGCTGTGTAGGAAGGTACCACCCCAGAAAGGAAGCTGTCGTCCTGCCATCTTCTCGCATTCTCCTAATTTTCTTACGTCTGCTAGTCCAGACTGCTTCAACATGGAGGCAATACATGCGCGTGCCGAGGATGCCTCGTTCAGCAACATCGACTCGCTACTGTTTGCGCGCCGGCCACGGAAACGCAGGCCGCCGGCAGCAACAGAGGTGAAGGCGCGGCTGGAGAAGACACTGCTGCAACCACCGCAAGCGCTTCCGCTCAAGATTGTCGAGCGTGTTCAACAGTGCGTACTTTTGTGTTTTGAACCAGCGTCCGTGTTTTACGCATATGTACTGACCTTTGCAGGCGCTGGGATATTCAGGTGGACAAGACGCTTCTGTTTGAGATTGACCCGCCAGACATTGGCACGCAGACCATCTTCTATCGCGGAGGACGGAACTTCCAGATTGTCGACTATGAGGAAATAGCAGCACCTCGAGAAGTTGGCGGTGCAGACGCACAGATGGGCCTCGGAGGTGGTGACGGCAGCAGCATTGTGGCGTCTCTGCCCCTTTCCGGGGTAGGTAATGTGGCAGAGTCAGCAGCCGATGCAGAGGAGCAGTGGCTTCAGCAGACGGTTTTTGCGAGCGACGCAGCAGCAAAGGCCAAGGAGCGAGCGGCGGCAGCCAGCGCAGCCAATCTGCAGCGAGTGGTTCAGCCGGCGACCGGAGGACTGTTGGCGGCGGCGCCAGGGTTCGAGCGGGGGATCCAGTTTCAAAAGAAGAAGCGAGCTGGCAAAGAGGGCAAGAAGAAGACAGGATCACGGCTGTCAGGCGAGACGGGCGAGGAGGAGGACGCGGTGCAAGAAGAGGCCCGGAGAGTGCGAGAAGATCTGGCCGCAGATGAGGAGTCGGAAGCAGACAACGACGACGAGAAGGTGAAAGTCGGAGATGGGAACCGAGAGGAGGAGGAGGAGCGTACGGGCGAAGACGACGACGACGCAGACGAAGACGAAGACGAGCACGGTGACATGGCGGTGGACGAGCTGCTGCCAGTGGAATTTCCGTCGCTGCAGCCAAGCGGAGCAGCTCTCGGGCCCAAGAAGGAGCGGCGCGAATGGGCACACATGGTGGACCTGTCGAAAGGGTCGGTCAATTTTGCCAGCCTGGCCGGAGGTGCAGACATGGCGCGAACGTGGCCGTTTGAGCTGGACGCTTTCCAGAAGGAGGCAATCTACCACCTGGAGTGCGGAGACTCGGTGTTCGTGGCGGCACACACGTCGGCAGGCAAGACGGTAGTGGCCGAGTACGCGATCGCGCTGGCGCAGAAGCATCAGACAAAGGCAATCTACACGTCACCGATCAAGGCGCTGAGCAATCAGAAGTTCCGGGACTTCAAGCACGAGTTTGAGGACGTGGGGATCCTGACGGGCGACGTGCAAATCAACCCGGAGGCCAAGTGCCTGATCATGACGACAGAGATCCTGCGTAGCAAGCTGTACGGCCAGGCAGACTTGCTGCGCGAGGTAGAATTTGTGATTTTCGACGAGGTGCACTACGTCAGCGACACGGAGCGCGGCGTGGTGTGGGAAGAGGTGATCATCATGCTGCCGGAGCATGTGTCGCTGATCCTGTTGTCGGCGACGGTGCCCAACACGTATGAGTTTGCATCGTGGGTGGGCCGGACGAAGCGGCGGGATGTGTACGTGATTTCGACGCCGAAACGGCCGGTGCCGCTGGAGCACTTCCTGTGGAGCGGCAAGGGGGTGCAGAAGATTGTAAGCGCAGACCGCAAGTGGCAGGAGACGGGATACCGGGAGGCGGTGGTGGCGAGCAGTCCGAAGACGGTGGCGGCTAGCACAGGTGGTGGCAGAGGAGGAGTAGCCGTCCGGGGAGGTCCTGGAGGTCGAGGAGGGCCAGGTGGCCGGGGAGGACCGGGTGGCCGAGGAGGAGGAGCCGGTGGCCGAGGAGGCACAGGCCGTGGTGGCGGTGGCCGAGTTGGACCGCCCCGAGCTTCGCATATGCCCGGACACATGGGCCGGACTAGCGGAACAGCATCGCTGGCACAGGACAAGACGCTCTGGGCGGACGTGGTGCGGTACCTGCGCAAGGCAACGCTGCTGCCGGCGTGCATCTTTGTGTTCTCGCGGGCGCGATGCGAGGAGTTTGCACAGTCGCTGGGGACGCTGGACTTTTGCGACGCGGGCGAGAAGACACGGATCCACGCACTCTACTCACGCAGCATTGCGCGGCTGGCACGCGAGGATCAGGAGCTGCCGCAGATTGCACGGCTACGCGACCTGGCAACACGCGGCATCGCGGTACATCACGGCGGGCTGCTGCCGATCGCCAAGGAGATCGTGGAGCTGCTGTTTGCGCAGTCGCTGGTCAAGGTGCTCTTTGCGACGGAAACGTTTGCTGTGGGACTCAACCTGCCGACACGAACGGTTGTCTTTTCGGACCACCGGAAATTTGACGGGACGCGGCGGCGGGTGCTGTCGCCGGGTGAATACACGCAGATGGCCGGTCGGGCTGGCCGTCGCGGGCTCGACAGCGTGGGCACGGCGATCCTGGTGCCGGCCGGCGAAGCACGCGAGATTCCGCCGGCCGAGACGCTGCGCAGCCTGATCCTGGGGCAGCCCACACGGCTGACGTCACAGTTCCGGCTAACATACAACATGATCCTCAGTCTACACCGCGTCGAGACGCTGCGAGTCGAGGACATGATGAAGCGGTCCTTTTCCGAGAACGCAGTGCAGAGCCGGCGGCCAGAGCATGAAGAGCAGGTGCGGACTCTCGAGGCCGAGCTGGCCGGGCTGATACGGAAAAGGCCGGCATGCGACGTTTGTGACGGCAGCAGCAGCGACGGCAGCACGGCCAAGCGACCGATGACGACGTGTCACCAGGCGGCCCAGACGTTCCGGCAGGACTCAGCCCAGATGTACGACAAGCTGGCCCGGCTGTCTCACGGCAATCCCTCCGTCTTTGGCCGCGGCCGGTTGGTGGTCTTTTCGAATGAGACCGGTGTGCGGGCTGTTGGCGTGCTCGCCGAAGATCTGCGCATCCCGACCGACGCTGCGGCGGCTGCCACGCCCTCTGTGCGCATCGTCGAGCTGCGGCCTCCGCGAGCGACGCCCGACGGCAGCGACTCCCTCGCGTTTGTGCCAGCTCTGCGCTGCTTCCTACCGCCAGCACTTCCTACAGCAGCGCTTGTACGCATGGCCACAGTGCCGCTGGCCCGGATCGAGCATGTGGCCAACATGGTGCTACCGCTGGATGACGAGCCCGAGACAGCAGTGGCACGCCAGCTGGCAAGCGGCAAGGTCGACCTGTCGTGGGACTCGGATGTGTGGGACGACGTGAACCTGGACCGCGTCCGTGACGTGGATATTGTCTGGTACCTGGACGATCGAAGAGCCAAGGCGCAGATTGTGGCCGGCTCGGACGCGCTGGCATGTTCCGAGTTTGTAGAGCATGTGAGTGTGGTGCTGCTTGTTTGCTTGTGTGTCGTTCTGTCGGTAACGTCTCTAACATGTTCAGTACGCTCTCCGTCACGAGGAATGGACGGTACAGGACCACTTGGCAACGCTGCGCCGGTCGATGGACGACTCGACGCTGGCGCTGCTGCCGGAATACCAGAACCGACTGGCCGTGCTCAAGCACCTTGGCTTTGTCAACAGCAGCGCGGTAGTGCTGCTCAAGGGCCGGGTGGCATGCGAGGTGCGCACGGCAGACTCGCTGGTGCTGACCGAGACGATCCTCAACAACCTGCTGGCCGAGCTGGAGCCGGCGTCGATCGCAGCGCTACTGTCAGTATTTGTGTACCAGGGCAAGGACGACACGGACCTAGAGGCGGCGCCAGTGATCAGCGCGGAGCTGACACGCGGATTGACGGAGGTGTACCGGATTCGCAAAGAGGTGGTGCGGACACAGGAGCAGTTCCACGTGTTGTCGGCGGGCGACGAGGTCGAGTCGGCATCGCGGCTGCACTTTGGGCTGATGGAAGTGGTGTACGAGTGGGCCAGCGGCAGCCCGTTCAAGACGATTGCCGGCATGACGACGGAGCAGGAGGGCACGATTGTGCGAACGATTACCCGGCTAGAGGAGACGTGTCGGGAAGTGCGCAACATTGGGCGGATCATCGGCGACACGACGTTGGAGACAAAGATGAACGGGGTCAAGGAAGCGATCATGCGGAATATTACGACAGTACCAAGTTTGTATTTGTAGGGGGGGATCAGAACGAGCAGATGGGCGACAATGACAAGCAGGACAATGAACGGCAGACAAGCACAGATGGACAACAAAACCAGTCAACAGAACACCGCCCAATCAGCTCGAAATGATCTAACGAGGCACAAGAACACCATTCGCCAACGCCGTGACTTGAACACTCACCGCAGCACTGCAGCACTGCAACACGCCAATACTTCACGCCCTCAATGCCCTCAACCGCTGCTGCAAGGCATCCTCCTCCTCGGCCGTCGGCTCGGCAGCGGCCGGCTCGCGCACCGGCTCCGTCTTGCTGACCTGGGCTGAGTTGAGCTCCTGCGACAGCTCAACGCCGGCATCGTCGGCCAGCTTGCCCAGAAGCTCGTGGACGGCGTCGTCGGACACCTGGACAGACGTGTTCTGAGTCATGGCGTCGGTGTAGATGCTGTTGGACATGGCGTAGTCCTCGTTCTGCGTCCGGTACTGCTCCAAGGCCACCAACGTGCGCTCCGGGTTGACGCTGCGCTGCGCCCGGCTCATCGTGCGCGACGACTGCTGCATCATGGCCGTCATCCGGTTCATCGCGTTGTTGGCTTGGATCTGTGCCACCGATAACTCGGCCATGTCGGCCGCCTGGTCCATCTGCGTGGCGATGGCTTGCTTGGCTAGCAGCATCCGTGCCTTCTGGGCTGCCTGCTGGGTTTCCCCTTTTTTGAGGAGCTGGCACGTCAGCACAAACATGAAGCTATTTCGACTTTCAGCATGAGGCAGCCACCCAAGACACCCACATTCTGGATCTGTTTCCGCAGCTCGCCGTCCTGCTTGGCTGCCTTCTGTGACTCGCGACGGGCCTGCTTGGCGTGAAACTATATCCAGGTCAGTATTCGAGCTCTCTGGATAGAGTGCTCAGCTTGTCCAGCGTGATCCGATCAGCCTACCCGAGCCTGGAACTCCGTCTGCATGTCGCGGGCGAGCTGTTTTTGCGACATTGTGACGGCGAAATGAATGTCGTCCGCGTATCGATGGGAATCTCGCTCGCTCTCGCAGGTCGCTCTTCGGTCGCTCTTCCAAGTCGCTGGTCGCAAGTCCTACAATTCAAGATACAATCTGTCACTGGTCTCTGTCACTCGTCATACATAGCCCGAAGCCCCGCCTCGCCACCACCACGTGACTATCCCACGTGCTTCTGCCTCAGGCATTCCCGAGGCACTAATTCCCCCCTAAATTACTTGCCGCTCGTCGTCTCCTCTTTCCAGCCTCCTATCATTGACAGAGCGCGTCTGGCGCGCAAACATCCGCTTCTTCTCTGCTTCTTCTGCACGCCATCGCGACCGAGCCCGTCCCGCAGCCCATTTTGTCTGCTGATCTGGCGATGGGTGCTCCGGCCAAGGCCGCCCGGACGGGCGTTTCACCTGCTCAGAATCTCTCTTTTTCCCCCCCGTCGTCATCGTCGTCATCACCCAGCGTTTTCTCGCAGCCGAGCCGGTGGCTGCGGTCCTACGATGACTTCATTGCCCGCAATCTCGGCCAGGTGTCGCAGATCGAGTCGGCTTTGCGGTCGTTGACATATATTATTCCCGGCCGCTTTCGCGATGCCGAGATCGCGTCCGAGACCATCCACACGGGCGTCCAGCTTCTGTCGCTCTACCACGACATGTTGCTGCTGCGGACGCCGTCTAACAAAGCTGCCGTGTCGTCATCCACGGCAGCCTCGCAGCCTCCGGGTCCTTCGCCGCCGCCTCCCTCCCAGCACACGCGTTATACGCGCTACTGGATTGAGAAGAGCCCGTTTTACCGCCGTGTGGCAGTCGTGTTGCGCATTGTCCGCTACACCGAGCTGCTGTGCGAGATGGCCGCCAAGCGGCGCGGTGAGCGTCTGCGCTGGCGGGTCGTCGTGCTAATCGAGGCCATCAAGGCCATCTGCCGCCTGCTGCTGCTGCGTGTCACGCGAGGACGCACTCTGGTCCGGCCAACAATGCCGATGCGGCAGTTGCCAGCAGAAGTCGGAGAGGGAGAGCTGGGCGACGAAGAGCCTGACGAGCAGCTGGATGAAGAGGACAACCAGCTGAACGAGGTTTCGGCTTCGCCTCGGCTCACTGCTGTCCAGCCAATTCCCATCAGCCAGAAACAGCTCTCGCCACAGCCGCCGTTGTCGCCGCCACCGTCGCCATGTCCATCCAAGGCCACCACGGCCGTATTGCCACACACGACCCCGCTGACAGCCCCCCCTTCGCCACCGCCTTCGTCCTCGTCCTTCTCCGCAGCAGCCTCGCAGCAGGCCAAGGCCTGGACCATGCCCCGCACCAAAATGGCCCTGCCGCCGTTGCCGCAACCCGGCGATATCTCGGCCTATCTGCAGGGCCGTGTGTTGACTGCCGACGACATCAAGGCCGCTCCACGTCTACTCAACCGGCTCCGGGGCTCTGGCTATGCTGCCGAGGTGCTGCACATCCTGGCCCCCGTCGTCTTTGCGGCCGCGCTCGCCCACAGCAGAAGTAGCAGCTCAAGCAGCAGAAACAAGTTTGCTGCTTGGACGCCCTGGCTGGCCGGTCTCGCCATGGAGTGTGCTGCTCGCCAGCTGCGCGACCACGACAACAACGGGCTGCGCACCACAACGCTGGAGCACGACGAGTGGACCCGACGTGGCTGGTCCATGGGTTGGTGGTCTATGCGTGGCGCCTTTTACGAACACGCCATGAAAGGCGTCGTGGCCGGCGTGCGGGCACGCGTGCCCTCGTTCGTCGGCGGCATCCTCGAGGACTACGAGTACCTGTGGGAGAACTACTACTTCAGCACAAGCCCATGAGATGGCTGCTGGAGCCCTGTTACATTATCGCCTTTCGTTTCTTGTCCCATTAGGTTTTCATCTTTTGTCTTACATAGCACGTGACTACTGTTTTAATTGACGCATATGCTACAAGTATCGGTGAAGATGCATGATAGCAGACCGCCTCGAACCTGAGACAGGTGGATCTCCGATGTGTTGGCAAGACCCTCTCTCAACAGAGCGCATAACGTTGTATCGGCCTTGGAACGATGCTGCATGAGGTGCTGGCAGCTTGGCAGGTAACTACGTATGAAGTATGGAGTTTCGTAATCGTAACAGTATTCTACATGTATGGGACGGCCAAGTCACGTGACTCTTGGTTGTAAATGCATCTTCTCAACCGGATTACCACACTCTTTGATACAGTTATACAAATTGGGTTGTGCCAGAGGCGTAATAGTTTATAGTATAGTTATGGTCATTCATCTCTTCGGATCCCAAAGCAACCACAGACGCCACGGGACAAAGTCAGCCGACTTCCAATCCCACACCCAGTCCAGATCCCCTGCGCTTTTAATACACTGTAAAACACAACCGTTCTAGTTCAGCCGCCGGTGTTTGTCACCACCAAGCGCCCGGCTCTCTCCGCGTACATCTCTGCGTCGCTTCCATCCGGGCAATCCCTTTGTTAAAGGCTGCTTGCTCCAACACTCCTTGACTTGTCCGATTGTGGTGGTGGTAGTGGTACTCGCTCCCAGCGAAGTCCGAACGCCGCGCTTCTCGTAAACCCGCAGCGTCCAGAGCAACGTGATCAGTGCCTCCTTGGACGGAAGCGTGGCCCGGCCGCCCGGCCAAGGCCAGGCGCCGTCCGCCGCGCCGTCCGCCGACAGCTGCGCAAGCCGCATCCCAGCCGCGCCAGCCTCTCCACCAACCCGTACAACGTCAAGTGGCTTCTCAGAACACACCAACCGCAATACCCGCATCGTCGCATCCACTAGAGGACGCGCCAGCATGGGGTTGCTGGTCAGAATCTTCCGAAGCACCTTCAGTCTCAGGGTCGAAGAAAGACGGCTCGGCCGGGACAAGGCCGCAGCTGCCGACGAGGACGTCGTAGCCGGATGACTGCTGCGCCCCGTCCGCATTGAGGAAGTCGTTGATGTCGAAGCCTGCGCCGAGGAGTGGCGGTAGGGCCTCGTTGTCAACCAGATAATTGAATTCAGAACTGCCCGAGTCGGGGGAATCGAGAAACCCTGCTTCAAGGACAAAGCTATCAGGGTCAGAGGATGCCGGAAAGCCAAGAGAGTCATCGTAGAGAGAGAGGTCAGCATCAGCTGGCAGAGCAAGGCCGTGTGCGCCAGCGTCAACGGCTGCGGCATCGTCCAGCCCGGGGACACCTCCGCCGACAGACACTGCAGGTCTGGGCACAGCGTCGCAGCAGGACGTTGTGTCTTGTCGGGGGAGGGCCCAAGGAGGGACGACGCCAGAGCGGCGACGTCGGCTGCTGGCTGGGCCAGGTCTTGGAGCAGCTGCTGCTGGTGGATCGGTTGTGGCAGCGAGAGCGGCACCGGCTGCTGTTCCGTCGCCCCGTGGCCGTCGTTGTCGGTCGTATCGCGAACCGGGTTGAGCGGCGGCGAGAGCGAGACGGGGTCGATTGTGTTTGCGTCTTGTGGAGACATAAAACCGCCACCGAGAAGCGAGGCGTGGCCGTCCTGCGAGCTGAAGAGCTCCTGCGAGAGCGTGACGGGCGTGCTCCGGCTAGACGTCATCACGACCGACTTGCCCTCGGCCTGGGTCAGCCGCTGATACAGCATCAGGTTCTCCTTCTGGGCGTTGAGCAGGAGCGCCTCTAGCTCCTTGTTGCGCTCCTCGAGGGCCTCGACCTCAAGCCGCTTGCGCTCACGAGACGACTGGGCGGCACGGCGGTTCCGCAGAACCCGTTCCACACGCCGCTGCTCCTTTTCGTCTTCGGTCTTTGCACGTTTTCGTGGCGGCAGGTTGGTCTTGGGCTCGGGCAGTACCTGGCCCCATGACTTCCGCTTCTTTGTCTTCTTCTCTGTGACCGGAGAGTCTTCCGTCTTGGTCACTCCCGCGTCGTCCAGGTCAAACGAGACCGACTTCTCCCGGTGCTCATCCTCGTCGATGACAGACACGTCTGCGCCATCCAGACTGTGTGGGGTTGCGGGTGCTGATGGCGAGGCGGATGCTTGTGAGAAGAGGGACGAGTACACCTCACCGGGAGCAGATAGGAACGACTCCGCCGGCGACGCCTCCAGCTTGACAGACATGTCGAATATGAGACCAGCCAATCTAAGCGGTGTGCAAGTGGGAGTATGTAAAGTGGAAGGGGATGTTTTTTTGTGTTTGTGTTTTGATGTTGTTTGATACTCGTTGTTTCGGTTTGGAAATCAATCATTGGCTGTCCCTCAAGACGATGGTAAAGACATGCAAGACGGTTCTTCTTTAGGGAGCCGCTATATTGCTGCCTACGCCAACTAGGGGCGGGGATTCAGGCGGATGACTCTTACTCTTACTGGAGGTCGTTTCCAAACACAAGGCAGAAGGCGATCTTTATGTAGAGGACACGTTGGCAAAAGAGCCCTGGCTGCCTCAGGCAGCAGCAGGCACAGGAAATATGGGGCGTCTCAGGGGAGGCGTGAGAGAGAGCCCACGATTGGTGGGTGTGGGGTGAGTGGGGCACAGCACGCCACCATATTACGAGCAAATTGGCACGGCCTGGCAGAGAAGAGGGTGGGAGCAGTGACATGCAGCGAGGCAGCGGTGTCTGGAAAGGTACTTTGTTGGCCCAGGCAGGGATGAAACCAGCGAGCGAGAACGAAGCACGCACTGTGGGGCGGCTCCGCCGAAAAGGGCAGGCCAGCAGTGTTGGGGGCGAACGGGGCATTGGAGTGCTCCATCTCCCTGCGTTAGTGCGACGACCAGGCGAGGGAGAAGAAAGGGGGGCCTCAAGGGCGGAACGTGCTCACCTGCAGGTGTCGTGCTGGCCGCCGTTTGGCAGAGGAATATGAACGTGTTGGGACGAGAGCACGCTCGCATATGGAGTAAGAAACACGTCAGATACGCCCGCAAGAGGCCGACTCTGCCCGTCAGCTCTCGGACACATCTTCTACGAGTACGGCCACGCTACAGTGTTATTAGCTGTTGCACCCAGCTGACGATTTTGAGGCAGTGCGGCTATCTTTAGACATCGTACGAACACTGTGCGTGCACTGTTTGGTCGAGAATCTTCTACGGAGTACGAGATTGCTGGCAATCTACGGAGTAGGTCGTACTCCGTATATAAGATACGAACCCGGCCCCTGTACTCCGTATGTATGTAAGAATCTCACTCCAGGCCCGAGTGCTCCGCTGGCCCAGCCTCGATACGAGTACTGGTATCTTGCATTTGTACCCTGGTTTTATGCTACATGCTGTGCATACCGCATCTTATCATCTTCATCCACTTTGGGCAGAGTCACTGCCAAAAAGGCAGGTGTTTGGGGCGGTAGGATTCGTAGACCGCCACGAATGCTCCGTATCAATGCATTGGCCATTATGCATACTAAGATGCTCCGTACGAGTACGTGATTAGTATCTTATGTGTGTGTACTCGCACGGAGTACGACATGTGCTGCCACCGTCACGTGGTCGCTTCACTCCATGCAAATCTAGACCACTGCCCCCAGCCAATCAACACGTGTATTCACGCACGTGACTGGGTTGTGTTTATTCTTCTGCTTATTCATTTTATCTGCCTCTTATCACATGTATCTCCACAGCTCGCCACTGCGCTCGGCAAGATGGAAGAAGAGGACAGAGGTAGGGGAGGGGCTCCTGAAGGAATTGGCCGTCTGCCGAATACACGTCATGTCGCTGACCAGCCGCAGATTCGACTGCCCAGTCGGAGATCGACCAGGACGAGGTGATGGAGGATGTGGACGACGCAGAAAACGACCGCGAGGGAGAGGGGGACGAGGAGGACCAGCTGGACGAGGAGGCAGAGGCTGACGCTGAAGCGGACGCAGAAGCAGAAGCGGAAGCAGAAGCAGAAGCGGAAGCAGAAGCAGAAGCGGAAGCAGAAGCAGAAGCGGAAGCAGAAGCAGACGCCGATGCAGACGCCGAAATAGAAGCTGAAGCTGAAGGAGAAGGAGAAGCGGACAGAGAAGGCGAGACCGAGACAGGCGGCGGGTCGCCGGGCAAAGAGACTGCTCGCAGCACAGATGCAGCCGACGGAACGGCTGTAGACTCAGCCGAGACGATAGCAGCGACGCGGCAGCGAACGGGCAGCGCGTCACCGGCATCGATGCAACGGGTGTGGGCCAGAGCAGTGGCAGCACGGGTGTACGACATTGTGCCGACGATGGCGGCACCGCAAGCGACGAGTATCAACGCGCTGGCTGTCACGCCAGACCTGCGTTTCATCATGACCGGCGGATCGGACGGCTATATTCGCAAGTACGACGGGCCAGGCACCATAAACGGCAAGCAGCTGCTGACCGTGGCCCAGCGACACCCGTTTGTCGACAGCGTCGTCAAGGCCGGCATCCTGATGTCGTACTGGGAGAACGACGAGCCGCCGCCGGGTAGCAGCATTGGTGGTGGCGGGAGCGGCAGCAATGGCGGCGGCCCTGGCGGCGGGTCTGGGATGACGGCCACAACGGCAGCAGTAGCAGCTGCTGCAGCTCGCAGCGCGGCCGAGGATCACATCCTGTCGCCGGTCTACTCGCTGGCCGTGCACTCGCACGCTCTCTGGCTGCTGGCCGGCACAGAAGGCGGCGGGATCAACCTGCAGAGCGTGCGGCACGACGAGGGAAAACGTATCACCAGCCTGCTGGGCCATAGCAATGCCGTCAGCGTGTTGCAGCTGGCGCCCGACGAACGGAGCGTGCTGAGCGGCAGTTGGGACAAGAACATTTTCGACTGGGATCTCAACACAGGTCACGTGCGTCGCCATTTCGACGGCACCGGCGGCCAAGTTTCAGCCATTGAGCTGCGCCCGGCCAGCGGCGCGCCCATCCCGTCACAGGACGACCAGTCGGTGGCAGCAGCAGCGGCAGCAGCAGCGGCAGCAGCAGCGGCAGCAGCAGTGGGCGTCGATTCTACCTTTTCGTCGTCCAACAGTCAGCCGCTGACTAATGGCGTCTCCGTGCGCGATGGCCCGACCAGCGGGGAGATCAACGGAGAGACCGGCTTGGGCACGGCAGCCGGTGTAGGCGTAGGGCCATCAGCGAGCGGTGCATCAGCCACGATCAACGGCGACGACCCCATCCCCGATCACGAGTCGCTATTTGGCAGCCCGGTCGTACCGCTGTACGGCGGCATGGGCGAGAATTCGTTTGGCGACGACGACGGCGGCATGGTCACGGCTATCGACAGCTTTGAGCAGGACGTCGACATGGTGTTGGACAGCAGCAACAACAACGAAGCTGCAGCAACCGACGCCTTTGGCGACTCTTTTGGCGCAGATACGGCCGCTTCTGTTTCTGCTCTTTCAGCCTCTGCTGCAGCGCTACCCCTCGACGACGACCCGCCAGCTACAGATCCCATGGTTGACCAACCGTCCACGCCAGCTGCTCTTCAGCAGCAGCTGTCGGCCCAGACCCACGGCCCCGACTTTGCCGACGCCCCGCTGCTCTCGTCCTCGGCTGCTGAGCCGCCTGCATCGCAAACCGAGCCCAGCTCTCAGGCCACCCAGACCGCTGCCGACGCCACCCAGACGTCCCTGATCAAGTCCGAGGCCGCCCTGCCGTCTCAGCACGGCTCTCCACCTCCCGTCTCCTCCCCCTCGGCTCTTGTCTACTCGTCCCAACCGCCTCCGGCCGAGTTCGATCCCACCCAGATCTCCGAGACCACATTTTTCTCTGCCAGCATCGACGGCACCATCCGCATCTGGGATCGTCGACAGAGCCTGCCTATCGCCCGCATCGGCAACCGTCCTGGCGTGCCGCCCTGGTGCATGGGCGCCTGTTGGAGCCCCGATGGCAACCGCATCTACGCCGGACGTCGCAATGGCATCGTCGAGGAGTTCGACATCCATCGTGCCCGCAGCTCCTGGAAGCCTGAGCGCTCTCTTCGCTTTCCTGCTGGTAGCGGGCCTGTCAGTGCTGTTCGCGCCATGGTCAATGGCCGTCATCTTGTGTGGTGAGTGTGGTGTTTTTCTCTGTTTTTGTCTCTCTCTTCTTTCCTTCTTTCCCATTTTTCCTAACCCCAACAGTGCCTCCCACGATATCCTCCGCCTCTACGACCTCAACGATGCCGCCTCTAAGACCTCCAGCGTCCCCTTCCTCATCATCCCCGGACCTCCGCGCGCTGGCGTCATCTCCCACCTCTACATCGACCGCACTTCGCGCTACATGTTCTCCACCGCCGGTACTCGTGGCTGGGAGGGCACAAGCACCGAGGCCCTGATCGGCTACGAGATCAATTCCGTCGTCGGCTAGGAGCTACCGCGACAGACTCTGAAACCTACGAAAGCCAGAACCAGAACCAGAAAGGGCTTGCGAGCCTCATCTACGAAAAAGCTGACTCGGGGAGGTCGACTACGCTGGAAGGCGTAAACCTGAAGACCTGGGACAAAGCACGGCGTTCGTCCGTACATTTTCACTACGGTGCTGCCACATATCTTTAGGGCAGGAAATGCAGACTTACGTAATCAAAGTAGCCTAGCAGCGCGACAGCTTAGTGCAAAGGCTACCTACCTACTGCTTTATTTCCCTGGTCTATATTGAATGCCACAAGTCCATTCGCCCAGATGGGCCTCCGTGTCCGGCAGCCTCGCCTGCCCGAGCTGTCACAATGCATATGGTATTCCCCCATGCAGAAACAAGCGCAATAATCATAAGCAGCCGCCGCACCCAAAATACAGAAAAAGAAAAAAGAGCACGGAAACGCAAACAGCCAGATATGCAGCCAGAGGAAGAGGTGGAAGCATTGTTTGCACACCAAGAAATATGCTAAGAATGTAACTAGCTGGCGCTTTTCGTAGCCGAGCAGTATTATATATGCGCCGTTCAGCACATTTCAGAGACACCAATGCGTAGCAGGACCGAATCTGCCAGTGGGTTAGAGCAACCAAAGGTATCTCCGTCAACGTCCGCGGAGCAGCCGCTCGCGACAAACAGCGGCGTGTCAGCAGCCCTGCTGGATGCGGGGCTAGGATTCCACCCAAGAGACGCCTGGGAGTCGCTCTGGCCGGACCGACTACGACTGCGGCCGTTGCTGTGGCCGTGGCTGCGGCTGCGGCTGCGGCTGCTCGGAGACCCACAACCGTGGAGGGACAATCGGCCAGCGTCGGAAAGATCACCCGCTGCTGCATTGCTGCTGTTGACCTGTCGAGAATCCTACTTCGTCGCCCGGTCTGCGGGTGTCTTCCACAAGCCATAGTCGCCCTCGCAGTTCTTCCACATCTTGATCGTGCCGTCCTCCGACCCGGTGGCATACAGCTTTCCGTCCGGCGAGAAGGCGACCGACCAAACCGGTCCGTGATGGCCCTTGAGAACATCTGGCTGGTTAGAGCAAAACGAGAGAAGATAAGAACACAGGGCAAGAAAAAACGAACCAATCTCGTTGCCATCCTCCCAGGAATACACCCGCACCCAGGTGCCCGGCTCCTCGCCCACGATGAACTTGCGGCCCTTGAGATCGAGACCGACGCTAGCCACGCCATGCGACAGCTGGAAGTCCTTGATCTTGTTGTCAAATTGTTCGCCGTCCCAGAAGTATACCGACTTCCCGGCTGCCGCCGCCAGCACTGGCTTGCCGCCGCCAATATCTGACGGGCTGCTGTAGCCTTGCGCCAGCTCGACAATTTCGCAGGACTTGATCTCGCCGTCCAGCACCTCCTCGCGGACACAGCTCAGCGATGGGATGTCAAACCAGCGGAGCGTGTTTCCAGACGCCGTGATCAGGATTGTCGGCTTGTTTGTCCATACGATGAATTTGATTGAGTCCTTGTGCACGCCGGCTCCAATTTCAAAGGCCGCCCCGGTCTCGAGGGTGACCGACTCTATTGGCGCGGAAGCAGACGGCGAGCTCGGTCTCGGTCTGGTCTCGGCCAGGTCGAATATGCGCAGCTTCTTCTCGAAACCACCGGTAGCGATCATATCTGCATTGTGGGGAGGGTAGGCAATGGCGCGGACGATGTGGTTGTGCTGAAGCGTGTAGAGGAGCTCGCCCGTATGGGTGTCCCAGATCTTGCTGAGAGAACTGGTTAGGAGGTGACGCGTCGAGGTCGGTCTCGCCGGAGGTCGGCACCACTTACGCTGTGAAGTCGGCCGAGGCCGTGGCGGCCGTTGAGATGTCGTGGCTCAGCTTTGCCTGCCAGACGGCACCCTTGTGGCCGATGAAGGTACCAATCCTGTCTAGTTAGCAGCTGGCAGTTGTGAGATGGACGTAGACCCTCCGCTGCCACGTACCAATCGCCCGTACGGCCATCTCGGAGGATAGGATTTCCATCTGGAGCGGAGTCAGCCAGCAAAAAACAAAGGCGAGATCGGCGAGTCAAAAATCGGCCTCACCCTTGCAGGCCGAAATTAGGTAGTAGTTCTCGTCGCGAGCCAGAGATGAGAAGCCAATGTGCGGCACCGGGCGAGAATGGCCGTGGCAGGTGAGCGGCACATACTGCCGGCCATCAGGGGGCACGCTGGTCATTGGTATTGTCTGTGCGTCGTTTCGGGAGGGAGGACGTCGTGGTGCTCGACAATGAATGTCGAAGATAGAGGCTGGCGGGAGAGAGGCAGAGAAAGGAGACGAAAGTCTGATCTCAGCAGCAAAGGACTGTCGGTGAAGAGATGTTGAGCAGGGAAAGAGCGTGTAGGTCCAGGGATGCAAGGCACAGAAGGCGCAACCGTCTGAGAAGAGGCCAGCAAGAGCTGCAAAAGAAGGAGCGTTCCAGTCGTATGAAGTCGTGACGTAATAGCAGTTTTCCCAGACCGTGTCCAAAGAGCGAGAAATACAGAGGGCGAGGGCACAAAAGAAGAACGAGAAGCAGACCAGCGCAGGCAGACCCAACTGCAGAAAAGGGAAGCAAGTGGGCGAGGAAGATTGTGTCTATTTTATTTCGGGGGGTTTCATCGATTTGGGGCGCCACAAGCGCCACAACTCTATCACGACAGCGGGGTAGGCACTATCCACTGCAGCAGTGACGAAGAGCTTCGCCCGTTGGCTGATTAGTCAACCTACATTACAAACAACATCTCCTCTAGGCCGCCCAGCCTCTTTTCCCAATCTCGAGAGCAACGACGAACCCGACTGTGCTCGCGTATCAGAATCAGAGACTGCAATACCCAAGAACCAGGCTGCGATGGCGGACAACAACGGCGACTTCCAGCTTTCGGCCAGCCTGGCTGGCCACGACAAGGATGTGAGTTTAGAGAAGCCGATGGAAGGAGTCGAGATGATTCGTTGAAGCGCTGCGACGTTGAAGCTGTCAGACCTCTTGCTCACACCACAGGTTCGTGCTGTCTGCTTTCCTGCCCCGGGCAGCGTCTTCACGGCCTCCCGCGACTGCACCGTCCAGGCCTGGCACGAGTCCGTGGCGAGTCCGCCCACATACTCGGCAACGCTGCTGGCACAGGCACCTTACTCGTTCAACTCGTTGGCTTACCTCCCGCCGTCTGAAGCGCGGCCCCAGCACCCACACGGGCTCGTTCTCGCCGGCAGCCAGGGCCACACGATCGAGGTGCGGCAACCCGAGTCGAACGTGTCGGAGCCCCGCGTGGCCCTGCTTTCAGGCCACGGCAGCAACGTGTCGACTATTGACGTATCTCCGAGCGGTGACTTTGTCGTCTCGGGCGACTGGGACGGCAGGGTGAAGCTGTGGAGCACAGAAACATGGGAGCTGCAGCTGGACCTGCCCGGACCGGACCTCAGCGACAAACAGAGGGCGATCTGGGCCGTGCTCGCGTACAGCGACAATATTGTGGTCACAGGCTCGGCCGACCACGTCATCCGCGGATACACGCTGCAGGGGTCGCACAACGGCGGCGAGCTCAGGGCCGGGGTGGTGATCCGCACGCCCGACGTGGTGCGAGCGCTGAGCCGCGTGCGCAAGCATGCCGGCGGCGCCAAGATTGCGAGTGCCGGCAACGACTTCTTGATTCGGCTGTGGCAGTTCAACGGCACCGAGGTCGGCGTGCTGCACGGCCACGACAGCTTCATCTACGCGCTGGACAGCCTGCCGACCGGCGAGCTGGTCAGCTCCAGCGAGGACCGCACCGTACGCATCTGGAGAGACACGTCCTGCATCCAGACCATCACGCATCCGGCGCTGTCTATCTGGTCGGTGTCGGTGTGCCAGCAGACGGGCGACTTTGCCACCGGTGCCAGCGACAGCGTGGCTCGCATCTTCACGCGGAGCCGTGACCGCATCGCCGCTCCGGTCGTGCTGCAGGAGTTCCGGGAAGCTGTCCAGCACTCCGCCATTCCGCAGCAGCAGGTCGGCGACGTCAATGCGAGCACACTGCCTGGACCGGACTTTATCGAGACCAAGTCCGGCACGAAGGAGGGTCAAACGGTCATGATCAACTCGGGAGGCGGCAACATCAGCGTGTACCAGTGGTCTGTAGGCACGTATTATTCCTCTCGTCGTCTCGTCATCTCGGCTCGCTCGCCTCGCACATGCTAACATCTTGTTGCAGGCCAGAATCAATGGCTCCTTGTCGGCACCGTGGTGGACTCGTCCGCTACAGAGGCAGAAAGTGCAGCAGACAACACCTTCACGCTGGACATGGCACCACCCGCCGGCGAAACGCCGCCAAAGCCGAGCATCAGCCATCCGCTAGGCACGCAAGCAGTGTTTGCCACTCTGCTTCAGAGCAATTTTGCCCGTGAGCAGGCCGGGGGGACAGATGAGAAGGAACGACTGCTGACACTCTCGCAGCCGTTCTCAAGCGAATCAACACGGTGAACAGCACTCTCAGCGACGGATCTACGCTGGATGCCGACCAGCTGGCGAAGCTAGACCATTTGGTGCAGACTCTGAGCAAGGAAGTGCCCCAGATACCCGCAGCAGTGCCAGCAACGGCGCGACCGACGACGAAGACCTTTGACCTCGACGCCGACTCGGTGACGCTGGTTCTCCGACTGGCCACGACATGGCCGTATAAGGACCGGCTGCCTAGCCTCGATCTGCTGCGGTGCATGGCCGCATCGCCGTCCGTGGCCGAATTCAGCGACGGCGAGGGTCACAGCGTGCTGGATGCGCTACTGCCGAGCATCCTCGCCTTCCCGGCCGATGCCAAGACGGGCCTACCACAGGATGCAAAGGCGGCTGAAAATAACAGCATGATGGTGCTACGGCTGCTGACTAATCTCTTCGTCACCGCTGCTGGCCAGCAGCTGGTGGCCAAGAACGCCGAACGCGCCGTGGGCTTCCTCTCGGACGTGCTCGACTGCAGCGGGCACAAGAACCGCAACCTGATGGTAGCGCTGGCCTCGGCAGCAAGCAACATGGCGGCGTTTGCGCTGCGGGAACACGAGGCGACGAGTCAGTCAGCCTTTGGCGGAGACACGCTGGCCAGGCTGATCAAAGTGCTGGCAGTACCGGTCTTGGATCTGGCCGACGGTGAGGTGGTGTACCGGTCGCTGGTGGCGCTGGGCAACCTGGCCAGCATACCGGGCGGCGACTACGCGCATCGCCTGCGCACGGCTGGGGCGAAGTCGTGGATCAGCGCGGCGACGGACAAGATCAAAGAAGAGAGAATAGGGTCGATCGGAGAGACCATTCTCCAGCTGCTGTGATACTCGTGCAAAAAGGGGTCATAAATTATAGCATGCCGACAGCCAGGGTATGATAGCAATGAAAGAGTGCGCGCAGAAACAGCGCCAAATATAAATACAAGATCGTGGACCCCAGCCTGGTCCTTTCGTTGCCCCAAACGCCAGTCTATATATGTACACAGGACAGTGTCAGCGCCTACAGCAGTAGCCACAGGCCGGCAACGAGGAGCGGCAGCCAGCTGACGGCGAGCGAGCCACGGGCGGTGGACGGGGCTCCCGCGCTGGACGTGATGTTGGTTGCGACCTTGGTGGCAATGGTGTAGAGGGTGGAGAAGCCAATGTCCGTGCTGTTGAAGCAGTTGGTCTCGTTGACGGGATTGAGGCGCGGGTCGTCGTTGTCAACAAGGGTGATGTCGACGCACTATTCCGGTTAGGACAGGACGGAAACGGACAAACGGACAAACAGAGAGAGACACGGCAGCTTACCGAAAACAGAGAGGCGCCATGCACGGCCAGCTCGACGACCTGGATGGTGGCATTGTCGCCCACCTTGGCATTTGCGTTGGCCGGCAGCGGAACCTGTGGCAGACAGATGGTGCCGGGGTATGGGTTCTTGGACGGGCCGGTGATGCCAAACTGCGAGACCATGACGTTGGACATGTTGCCGGGACCGCCGTCAGGGCCATCGGTGCCGAAGCCCATGTTGATAAAGAGCTGGGCAGTGGCATGGCCCTGGAACCAGCCGGGTTGAAACGACACGGCGCCACCGCCGATGGGCCAGAAAGTGCGGTTGGTCGTGAGCTTCATGCCACCACACGGGTACATCCACTGCATGCCGTAGGGAAAGGTCGCGTTCGTGACGAGGTTGTCGCCTCGCCAACCGGGATAGACGATGATGGTGTGTGCCGAGACCAGGGCAGCGCCGAGGACGGCAACGAGGAGCGAGAGCGTGGTGGACGTCATGGTGGCGGTTGGTGCTGCGAGGGGAGAGCTTGGAGTTGACAGAAAGACCGCAAACAGAGGCCGAGAAGTGCAGGAAACAGGTCGATGCCGAGAAGGATTGGCGACAGAGTGCGGGTGGTCTTGGCCATATCTACTCGCTCGGAGCAGCAGCGCCCTGTTGCCGGAGAGTGTGACGGCACATGCATAGGCAGAGTTGGCTGGCCAGAGCGAAAGTGATTCCCCCGCTCTGCTCTCCAGTCCGCCAATCACATCGTCGTGCTCCTGCAACTCTGCCTGCTCGGGCCGCCCGGCTTGGGAGGGAGAGCAGTCTGGCGGGCGGCTCTCTGGCCTGCAGGCCAATCAGACTGCCATTCAGCCATCCTGATCCCTGCTGGGGCCACTTTTCGTCATCACAGCACCAGCCAATGGCAGGCGGAGCGGCACCAACGAGCGGGCGACTCGCCCAGACATGCGCCAATGGGCACAGAAGACGTCTGTCGCACGCGATGGAGCAGGATCGTGTCCGTACGATCATCAGGCGGCCGTGCGATCCCAATCTGTCTGGAGAGCCTCCCGATGGCTTGCTCGACACGAGCAGAACGCGACGCAGGTGAGACTGCTAACGCAGGGCGGCTTGGCCACCGCACTTGTAAGCGCCGGCATCAGTCCACGCTGCATGAAGCCAGTCTCAACGGAGTACTCCGTAATTTTAGGTTGGTATCCTTTTCTTTAGTGCAACGGTCTTCTGTTTGTTGCATATGAGAGTTGTACTCCGCCCCTTTTCATGCATGTGTCTATTTGTTGCATGTGTGCAGTTAGTCGCTTAACTTTCTTCAGCTTCAACTAAGATACCTGAACAGCTCAACTCATCACTGCGACTTGCAGCACCATGTCTGCATCGCCACCCGCCATTCCCGACGGTGACAGCGCCGACTCTCCGTCTCCGTGGACCGTCGTCAAGGTCAAGGGAAGCCGCCACAGGGGCCATGGCCGCCGCAGACGTAGTGCTGCCGCCCTGGACTTCCACCAACCAGAGCCCATCCGGTCATCAGCCAAGGGCCCGGCCTCTGCAGCCGATATCGAACATGTCCAGCGCGAACACACGCGTGTAGCAGCAGAGTTTTGCGCACAGCCGTCGTGGCGCCACGTCACAGCCTGGGTTGCCGCCAATGCTTCCGGCCATGCAGCCGTGTCTCGAGCCGTCTGTCTCGGTGCCGGGTCCTTTGGCAGTCCTCTTGACGGCGGAGAGGCCATTCGCCGTGCTCACGTCCAGACTGCCGTGTTCCTGGCGATTATCGAGATTCTGGGTGTGTGCTGTCGGCCTTGGTCTTCCTGTCATCTCCTCTTGCTGACCTTCAGCCCCTGCCGGCATCCCGTGCTTCTTTCAAGAGCCGCTGTACGGCGATGCCGATCGCAAGTTTCTCGAAAGCCTAGGCCACTCCGTCGTCGAGACGCCTGCTGCCACGGCCATGATCAATGCTGACACGCTGGTGTTCGCAATCCACCTGCCCACTCGCGCATATCTGGACTGTCTCGCAGGCGACCAGCCGGCCTTGCTGATCGGCTCTGGCTACGAGTGTTATGAGCGGTAAGTAAGCAGTGTGGGTGACAGTGATGGTGAGAGCAGATCGCATAGACAGCATCTGACATGTCGACCGTCCAGACTGCCCCAGTTTGCCACAGCCAAGACATCCCAGCAGCTGCAACGTCTGCAGGAGATCCACAACACGTTTGCACGATTTGCTTTTCCGCAGGAGAAGCATGACTACTGCTTCTCAGACACCTATCTTTACTGGCGGCCCATCCAGAATGGCAGCCGAGACTGATGGCCACCAGTTGGCTGTTCTTCATCGTTGGCCGTGCCTTAGCCTTGCCTTGGCCTCTGCTGCAAATCAAGCCAAAGGTCTCTTGTTGCTGTTGCTGTCGCCATCATATCTCATATCCCGTCGTCGAAGCCATGAAAGCACTTGATCGCAGCATATACTGCCTCTGTCGTGCTTCTTCAAGAAGGAAGACGAGGTCGTTGAATGTAAAGGCCCAGAGAACAGTGCTGGCAGCCGTCCAGACAATGACGCCTTCAAGAAGCATGTCGGCAGGCTGCACCGACAACTTTGTTCCCAGCATTGTCAGGGCGGCGCCAAACGTCTGCGGCACAAAGTTGACGTGCGTCTCCGGTCTCCTTTCACCCTGCTTCTGCTTCTCACTCCTGCTGACTGCTCAGCTGCACAAACGTCGACAAGCTCACCCGCATCACTGCCTAGGTCCGCCGGCCAGACTTCCAAAAGGTACACCCGCGCAGCTTCGGCCAGCAGCCCTTGGAGGTTATTGGCGGCCTCACCGACTGACACCTTCGCATGGTCGCTGGTGTCGCTCGCCTGTTGTGGTTATTGTGCTTATCATGCCTGTTCCCAACTGACATGTCAGATTCCTGGCATGAATAGGCTGCTCCACTGGCGTGCCTATGAGCGACGGACAGGCCTCGGCAGTCTTCGCCCACCCATTTTCAAGGCAGCTGCTAGAACTGGAACAGACTCTGACTTCGGCTCCGTGACCGATGATCGGCACTAGTACCAGCAGTTAGCAAATTAGAGCACCATCTACCGTCCGCTGTTCCCACTCACTCACTGATAAGACTGATGAAGTGCCCCATCTCCCGTCCCGTCAAGCTTTCCGCGACTTCTTCCACTTGACGGCTGTCCGTCTAGCTGCCGCCTTCATGGAGTCGTTGACTCTAGACCGTGCCGTTGTGCCCCTTGCTGTCGCCCCAACTGGCCGCTTCTATAAATCCCGCAAGTCGCGGCCCTGTGATGCTTGCCGCCGGCGTAAAATCGCCTGTGACATGCCTGCCGGGCCGCCCTGCCATCGTTGTCTGTGCAAGACGCAGTCGTGCACCTTTGAACACGGCCCCGGCCAGCGAAAACGGCCAACTCACGTCCGGCCAGCAGCTACGACAGTTCAGTCTCCGTTCCCATCTGCCAATCACAGGTCAGCTGTTACCATTGCCCCTTCTTTCATGTCCTCCTTGCCATCAGACCGGAAACTGACACCAGCCATGTGCAGCGATATCTGGTTGGACGATCCGACCTTCTTTTCTGGGCAGCTCGGAGGAGCCCTGGACTTGCCCGGCTCTTATGCAGACCCACCTGTCGGCCATCACAACGTCCTCGGGCCTGCACATGCTGCTCCCGGCCTAGACACGGCTTCCCAGCCGTCTGAGGAGCCCTCTGCCTCCGAAGGATCGCTCGAGTTTCTGCCCGGCGCCTTCAGCTTCTATGTCGGTCCTACAGGTGTTGCCGACGTGCACCTTCTCAACCGCGGTCCGTTTGGCCCGGGCGGTCTCGCACGTCCCGGCGTCAAGGGCCTTCAATACCGGCGCATGCAGCATCAACGTCAGCAGCATCGGCACACCCAGCGCTGTTCGTCGTCGTCGTCGTCGTCGCTGCCATCTCACAACACTGCAGCTCCAGCCAATCTTCGGACTGACGGACCACGCGCTGTTGGACAGAGCCGAGCCCAAGCCGGAAGCCGAGGCCACAGAGAGCGCATGGATGGCGCTGTGGAATATCCTGGACCCGCCCTCGGCCTGGAGCCTCATCCAGTTATACACACGCTTTGTCGACCCGTACTTCCCCATCTTATCGCGCCACCGGATGCCGCCAGGCCCGGATACGCTCAGTAACATGCCCCTGGCGCTGCTGACGGCCGTGTGTGCCACCGCGCTGCCGCTTGTCGTGTATGACCGCTCGTTGCTTGCACTGCTGCTGCGGCCACCGTCCAGCGAGCAGCTGTATCGGCTGTGCTGGATGAGAATCGAGCAGGAGCTTCACGCACCGTCACTCGGCACGCTGCAAGCCTGCCTGCTACTGCAGCAACGCCTTCCCACCAACCTGTACCTGAACGACACGGCCTTTACGTGGTCACTGATGGCTACGGCCGTGTCGGTTAAAAAGGGCCGCACAGCGCGTGAACAGCTGTATGCCTGGCGGGACCACCTGCCGGCTTCGCTGTGGTTTCGCCCGCGGCAGCAGGCCTGGCCACAGGCGCAAGTGACAATTCGCAGCACGCCTGCTGACGGAGCCATAAACAGCTTCGAAGGACGCTCTGCGTCTGGCGACGGCCGAGACCTGGACGGCTTAGAGGGTAGAAACCACAATAGCCGTGGACAGTCTGGCGGCTTTTCTCGGGTCGACAACAGCCAGCGGCTGGATGGAAACGCCTCGCTGTACCTGTCGTACATTGTGACGTACATGACACTATTCCGCGCCATGCTGCAGCCGCTAAATAGAGTTGAAGATGCAGATGCAGAGAGTCGTTCCAAAAACCAGTCTCAGGACCACCAAGAGCCCAGCACGCAGACTGTAATGCACGGGGCCCTGCAGTGCGTGCGTGAGTTTGTCGAGTTTGTCGAAACCCTGACGCCGACGCAGTGGAACGCCTTCTGGCACGGCTGGAGCCGAGCTAACTTTTCCATGGCCGGATCATTCACAACTCTGCCCGGCCCAGACGTTGCTGGAACAGTAGATTCGACAGGTTCTGCAGAGGCTATGGAAAACGCCGGTCGGCAAAGAACGAGCGCAAGGACCAAAGGCAGTATTGGTTCCGCTGCCAAGATGGATGTCACAACGACAGCACGCCCCGGCTTCGAGGCTGAATACTCCCAGCTGCTGGGCTGGGTCAAACGTTGGCGATGGGCATCCCGTGTGTCGGCCAACGGAGCAGGTGCAAAAGGACTGCCCAATCTGGGACTGCTGCGCGTAGAGCCATTTCTCGGCCAGTTTGGAGAGCTCGAGGAGATAATATGATGCTTTCTTTCTGGGCATCCGATCACACGGAAGGCAGGTGCGCGTAACTACACGCGTTGATAGCAGGAATGGGAAAGAGCTTCCGTCACATGATATTTCGTATGGATACACCGAGCATATAATCATCAACCCTGTAGTCCTTGGCCTGCTACCTCGTCGAATTGATATCTTTCAATACAACCTGCTTGCCCAACTTGCACAGCCATCCCGTGCCGCATTGTCACACATCGGAGAAGGCAATCGCGGACGAATATGGACGAATCTCGAGCCTGAAATCACGCTTGCGGCCAACTGGGCGATACTTGGGGATGTCCGTAGTGTTGGTTTGGATAGGATCGATTTAGCCAAGTACGTGTCGGTATCCCTTACAAGCTGCTCTTACGGTGACGTCCAATAAACTCACAGCTCCCAATCGGTACTTCAGCGACAGATCTCACTCTCCGCTCACATTCATCCCAGCGACCTTCAACCCACAGCTGTTATCTAATCTTTCACACCTCCGACTCACAGCTTGATCGTCACCATTTGTGTCATCTCAACCATGCCCGCACCATTCGTCGCAGTTGCAGGCGCCTCTGGCGGACTGGGCAAGCTTGTCACAGGTGCGTTGATACGACGAGGCGTGGCCGTCAAGGCCCTCGTGCGTCCTGGCACCGCCTCTTCGCGAACAGATGGCCTTCGCCAGGCCGGAGCGGCTGTTGTTCCTGTCAGCCTCACAGATGTGCCGAGTCTCACGCGGGAACTCGCAGGAGCAATATGCGTGGTGTCGACGCTCCAGGGGCTGAAAGAAGTCATTCACACCGTGCAGGGAAAGCTCCTCGACGCCTCGGTGGCCGCTGAGGTGCCGCGCTTCATCCCGTCGGATTTCTCACTGGACTTTACGAAGACGAGGCCGGGATCGAACCGGAACCTGGATTTGCGCCGCGAGTTCCACCAGACGCTGAACCAGTCGGGCATCAGCTGGACCAGCATTCTGAACGGCGGGTTCATGGACCTGATGGCGGGCGACTCTCCCATGATCGACCACAAGAAGCATAGGGTGCCGTACGTCGGCAGGCCGACGCAATTGCTTGATTTCACCACGATGGTGGACACAGCCGCCTACACTGCCGCTGTGGCCGCGGATGCGAACCCTGCTCCGAGCTTTCTCCGCATTGCCGGCGTCTCTGTCAGCGCACAGGACATTGCTGATGCGCAGACAGCGGTGCAGGGCGTGAAGTACAAGCCCTTTTGGATGGGTACGGTGGGGACCACGGCGTTTATGATCCGGGCCATGCGTCTGTTCGCCGTCGGGGGTGGCGGGAAGGATGTCTTTCCCGCATGGCAAGGCATGCAATACATGGTGAACATGATGTCCGGGGCTGGAAAACTCGAGCCGCTAGACAACGGCAGATACGCGGACCTGACATGGACCAGGTTGGAGGATTTTTTTGCTGCGGAGCGAAACAAGTGATAAGCGAGAAGTGGTCTTGTATTGCAGTACTTCTTATTGCACGGCAACTCAGCACAAGTTCAGCATGACGCGTTCCTCGTCGCGGCCGCACTCGCCGTCGTCCTCCTCGATTTTGCTCGGGATGGGCACGTTGGCCAACGGGGTCAGCCGGAAGGCATGGCGACGTTCGCCGGACTCGTAGTCCAGTGGTCCCAGACGACAATCGTGCCGGGCTCGTAGCGTACGCGGCAGGCAAAGTCCTGATCGCGGTTGATATGGTCGAAGAGAAAGCGTAGCAGCATGTCGGACTCCTCTTCGTCCCATCCTGTGATGCGTTGGGTGTAGGACGAGTTGACGAAAAGGGCCTTGCGGCCGGTGACGGGATGGACCGTAACGACGGGGTGGACGGCCTTGGTGATGGGGCGACGCAGGACGGCCAGGTCACCGTTGTCGCGGATCTCGCGCAAGATCGGGTTGGCCGTCGTGTGCAAAGCCGTGAGGCCCTCGAGGCGCTTGCGGAAGGACGGGGAGAGTTGGTCGTAGGCACGGTTCATCTGGGCTGTTAGCATCGGTGCAATAGCAGGACAGGGCCATGGGCATGAAAAGAATACACTGGAGATGATAGTGTCACCACCGGCTCCAGGAGGCGATTCGAGCATGCAGAAAAAGGTCAGACCAGGCGGCTGGGCCTCGGGTGACTTGCTGAGTCAGCAAACTGAGGCGGGCAGAGCAAACAGGTGCAGGTCGGACTCACCTGGTCGACGTGGAACTGGATTGGGCTCTTGCGGGCCCAAGACTTGCGCACACGAAGATCTCTGGTCGTATTGTCAGCGCATATTTCGAGAGGCTGAACGGGCAGGGAGATGCGCCCTCACTCGCGCGAGTCGTAGACGATGACGAACTCGACGGGGCCGTTTTTGGGATGCGGCATCCAGCCGTGCTTGTGGAGGGGGCCTGTGGACGTCAGGATCGAGAAGACGGCGAGACGTCGTGCGAGTCAACCAAAATAACACACCAAAGTATCTACTAATTAGCCGGACAGCACGCCGAGACAGGGCCGACACCTACGAGGCAATTTTCTTCTGGGCCTCAAAGCCGATATTGACAAAGTCCTGATTGCGGAAGACGAGACAGCCTCTCTCGGCACAGAGATATGCCATCTCGTCGAGGCCGGCATCAGTCAACTCGGACTGAAGGTCAGTAATGGCCTCAGTCTAGCCACGTCTATCATGCTCACGATCTGCACGCCCTGGATTTCGGTCCTGGAGAGGGAGTGCCCGAGAAGCAATCCACTCACGAAGGTAGTCGGGATACAAAGGAGCATTTGTCCTGGGCGATTCGGGGGCTTTTGCGATCATTTTGGAAGCTGCTGGCAACGGAGGACTGCTTCCCGGTCCCGTCACATACTGCCCAGCTTCATCATCGGCCCTCTCTGTTCCGATCTCCGACCCTCAACCGAACACTCGCCATGGGCTCTCCAGAGGTCATTGAGATCGCCAGAACACCCGATGGCACGCCCTTCGAGAAGGCCGTTAAGGCCGTCAAGACTGGCCACGCAGACGAGGTCGACTTTGCCGCCCAGATTATCGCAGACTACGCCGACCAGATCGGCGACAGCAGTTGGACGTCTGAGGAGGAGAAGGCGCTGATGCGCAAGGTCGATCTTCGCATCATCCCCATTGTGCGTCCATGTCCTTCACCATCGGCCGCCCTACCTCACTCACACATCTAGCTCTTCGCCTGTGCCACGCTCTCTGGTCTCGACAAAACGGCCATCTCGGCTGCCGCCATCTACAACATTAAGCGCGACCTCCATCTCGCCGGCGACCAGTACGCCTGGATTGGCTCGGCCCCCTTCTTCGGTGGCCTCCTCTTCATGGGCCCATCGGCCTACTGCCTGCAGCGGATGCCGGCCGTGATGTTTTTCTGTGCGATCCCCTCGCCCTTCAGATCCATCGTGTTGCTTTCCTCGTCCTCCTCTGACATCTACAGCGTTCAACGTCTTCTTCTGGGGCGTCACCGAGATGTGCATGGCTGCTTGCACCAGTTTCAGTAGCCCCTTTGTCTGCCGCTTCCTCCTCGGCGGCTTCGAGGCCCTCCTCATCCCAGCCGTCACCCTGATTGTCGGCATGTGGTACAATACCACCGAGGCTCCTCGCCGCAACAGCACCATACTCAACGTCATCGCCCCCATCATCAACGGTTTTCTCGACTGGGTGGTGGGCTATCATCATGGCTCCTTTCCTACCTGGAAGATCATCTTCTTGCTGGTCAGTGCCTTTACGGCCATTTGGGCTGCCGTCGTCTTCTTCCTGCTGCCGAACAATCCGCTCGACGCCTGCGGCTTCACTCTCCGCGAGAAGTACATCGTCATCAGGCGCAAGGCTGCCGATAACACCGGCATCGAGACCAAGAAGATCAAGAAGGAGCAGATCTGGGAGGCCATCATGGACCCCAAGACCTGGCTGATATGGATTGCCGTCGTCGCTCTGCAAGTCCCAAACGGCGGCCTGACCACCTTCAACACTCTCATCATAGAAGGACTTGGCTTCGATTCTCTGCAGACCTCGCTGCTGGCCATGCCACCCGGTGCCATGAGCACCCTGTCTGGCCTCGCCCTGTCCTTCATGGCCGCCTCCACCCGCCGGCGCAGTGCCGAGGTGCAGGACAACACGGCCGCCGACCAAGACTGGCTGGATCTGACGGATCTGCAGAACAAGTCGTTCAAGTATACCACGTAGACGGGCAACAACGACACTGATTCAAGTAGGTACACCGAAAAATAGATCATGTTTAACTGTAGTAGCAGCGCATCCAAGTGTGACAGAAGCTGTCAGTGAATCACGGTCACAGCGCAGCGTTCCTCTTGACAAACTCGGCCCACGTAACGGGTTTCGCATACAGCAGCGTCAGGCTAGGCTTGAGCCGAGGTAGTAGCCCGGAACCTCGATGGGAATATGGATGTCTTTAAACTCCCGACCCTTGGTGTCGTTAGTGAAGTAGCACAGCGATGAGAATATGATGTGAGACACGCCAACGTTCTTGGTCACATCGCGCATATTTTTGCCCTGTGAGTATTCCGTTTCATCATTGAGAGTCTCCCGGAAGTTAACGAGGGAAACGGCTTAGGTTCCGGCTGAGTTCGTGGCCAGAGGCTCGACTAAATTCAGGACGGCCCATCACTTACTTGTCTAGTGGTGTCTTAATGCCATCCAGGACAAGAAACATACGTGCACAGCTCGAACACCCTTCTTAGGAAGTTCTACAACGGGGTTTTTCTCTTACTGTCGCAGGTTATGCCGCGAATCTTATAAATCCTTGGAAATCACGGCACCCTTAAGGATGCTCTTGACGACAGAGCCGCCCCGGATTCCGGTCTTCAAAGATGGCAGTTTTAAGAATTATAGGGTAAGTTTACAATATAGTAGGTGTATAACTTGGCACAAGTCAAAACCATTCTAAGTTCGCTGAAAGGCCGTCCAAATAAGCTGTAGTTTAGATTTGCTATAGTATTCCTGGTTTTGATATATACTGCTTGGAAGATTTAAAGTGGCGACAAGAAGCGCCTTATATGATTACAACAGAGGAGAGTATCTAAATTCATTTTTTTTCTTTATATTGATATACTGCCCCCTTTTCTCCTCTCCGTTTTATGTTTATATTTATCTTACGTTTCAACTAAGTTTCTTTACCTAACTATAACTTCTCTATTTTGCTAAAGTAACTAGAAACCAGGCATACGTCATACTATTGCAAGACTAATAGCAGAAACATTTAATAAATGAAACGCTGAATATGAGTAATATTACATTAAGCACTGCTATCTTTTTTTATTTAACTTCGGCGTAGGCAAACTATACAATACGGCGCCTGCATGCTGCGGACTTGTAAGCTTTATACAGCTGCTTTTGTTGCCCTTTATCTGTTCTCTGTGTGCCGAATAAACCGTCTTCGGCCCAGCTTCCGGCCAAGTAAAAATCATTTGTTCCAACGAGGCACAGCTAGCTTAGAAGCTCTTGCTAAAGAGTCAGGTCATTCTCTCATTCTTCTCCGTGCCTGCCGCGCTCAAGCAATGCTGCCGCCGGTCCACTCCGTATCAATAAGTGCGATTTGGGGCGATGGAACGGCTTCTTGAGGTGGTGTTTGAGGGGAGGGGGGGTTTCGCTGCTTTAATAGATTATAAATCATACTCTGTTACGTGCTGATGGAAAGAGACAGAAGACAGACATACCATTTCTTTCCCTTCTTCGTCGACTAGTTCTTGCCCAAGACTTTTTGATCGGCAGTTTTGCATACGTTGTGGTGGTTGAGACGGGAGTGGCCGAGAAAATGATGAGTGACGATGTGATTATGAATATAGCAGGTAAGAGTGTTGTTACGTTTTGTCACACAGTCCATTTGACGATCGCTGTATTGTAAGATGTATGTGTAGATTCCCCATTTCAGTATTCACCATTAGATCTATCATTCCAATGCTACATCTAAATAGTTCCGCGAGAGTCGCTCAAGGCCATGCTGCGAAATAAGCAAAAGGTCATTGAAGATTTAGCCGAGTATCACGTAGAGACTGGCTATTAACACCCCCAGTCCGGCCAGGCCTACCCCTGTGTAGCTTGCGGCCCGGTAACCCTTCAGCACGTCTTCTCCGTGATTTCCCACGTAAGCTTCCACGGTCCCGGCAATGCCCAGGCCGATGGAGACGGAATAGTTCACCACTGTATTGACCACGGATGCTGCTATTCCTTGGTGCTCTCGTGGCATAGAGTTGCTGAGGATCAACGTGCCTGACGGGAAGGACATATCCCTGATTGCATTAGAAAGACATAGATACGATGCTTTGAACGGCTGAGTGTACTCACATTCCCCACGGCGTGATGATACTGATGACAAATGCCTGTGCCCAGTAGTTCTGGCCGATCGGCAGGGTGGCTAGCAGTATTTGGCCCACAACAAAGGCGGTCATGGCACCCAGCATGATCAATGATGGACGGATGCGGGCCATAAGGAAGCCGGTGGCCAGAGATGCTAATGCACCAGACACAGTAGAGCCAGACCATTTGGCCGACACGAGCAGCGGAGAGTTGTGTTTAATGACCTCCATGATCTGGAAATAGTAGAACACCACGACGCCAAAGCTCGACCAGCCCGCCCCGATGCAGCCCAGCACCCAGCCAAGCTCCCTGGTGAAGAGTGCAGGCGGCAGCAGTGGCCGCGCGGCACGGCGCTCGATAAAGCCAAACAGGCCCAGGGGCAGGAAGCCGACGATGAGCAGCACGTAGATGTAGGGCACGTCCCAGCCGACGACGGGGCCCTGGTTCCAGGAGAAGTTGATCAAGATCAAGCCGGTAATGATGGCAGCCGAGCCGGCAAGGTCGAGCCGGCTGGCCCAGTGCAGTGAGCGGTCGATCTTAGGAGCCGGGCTCTTGGGGATGACGACGGTCCCCAGCACGGCCAGGCCGAAACAGACGATGCCCATGATCCAGTAAGCCCAAGGCCACCACAGGCGCTCGGCCAGCAGCGACGACATGGCGGCACCCACGGAGTAGCCAGTCGGCGCGGCGGCCCCGAACAAACTAAATACCATGCTCTTTCGCGGGCCCGGTGCATACATGCGGCCGAGGAGGGCGACAGCATTGGGCATCAGCATGGCCGGACCGATACCCTGGAAGGCACGACAGCAGTCGAAGAAGATCTGGTTCGACCAGACGGAGAAGCCGGCCAGCAGCGACCAGAGCCCGAACCAGGCAAAACCCACGATGAAGAGCCGCCGGTGGCCAAAGTCGTCGCCCAGCCGCCCAGCAATCAGGATGAAGGTGCCGACAGTGAGGCTGTATGCAGAGGCGTACCAGCTCAGCTCGCCGGCCGTAGACACGTTGAAGCTTGCGCCGATGATGTGTAGAGGTTCAATGGCCATTGCGAGTGCGGCCTGCGTCATGAGCTGGGCCATGCAGATCGTGACGATCAGCAGGATCTCTCGGCCCAGCGGCTTTGGGTACGAGGACCCGGGAGGAGCTTCGGTCGAGTCGCTGGAGCCGCCAGAGTCGTCGGCCGGGGCCTTGTCCATTGTCGGCATCTTTGCAGGCTACTCTCGTCGATGGGGGCCGTTGGACAATCACGGAAGCTAAATCGACGCGCCGGCACGCCGCTTTAATCACGGACTTCATATCCGTATTTCCGACTTTCTAACCCGCCCCGACCCGATCTTTACGAGCTCAGTCAGCAGCCAACCCCCGTCGACAGTTGCCTTTTTCCACATAGATTCGTGTTCGGGATGACATCCGCTCAACAAACCGAAGCTCCTCTGGACTCTAGCTTGCCCGCCACAGGGACGCCGTTAAGCTACCCGTACCCAAGGCGTGGCCCGACCTCGCCGTCTTGGAAAAGGCGTTTAGACATTAAGTTTGTCCGGCGGCTGGCATCCAGCGAAACGGATGCAGACAACTCGAGATCGACAAGAATGTGGAAAAGATAACAACATTTAGATAAAACCAAACAGAGAGCCATTGATAGGCGCAAAATCTCGCATCATCTCAATGCTAGTTTCTCCACTGTCACAGAAGCTCGTCTCGATGCTTGCCAGTATCTTGTCGATCTATCTTTACGTCTCTAACACTGTGCGACCACTATCGTAAGGCTAAAGGAGGCTGTTACTAATCAACGTATCAAAAGTTATTCCATATCATTCGTATACAGTCGCACCATTGTTGCCAAAGGGTAAAAAACGTCAGACTTAAAAGTCCAAGATCGTTGCGTAGCGGCCAACGACGCTTACGTCTCCACCGTTCAAATTGCATTGCGGATGCTTAGCGGTGTCGAAAAGGCTAGACCAAAAGTGCGTGTGAATTTGTCGGGTCACGTGTGTGATCCGAGGAGGCCTGTTTCTAATCCCTTGCTAGTTGCAGAGGTCCCTCCCAAAAGAAAGGGCTCACCGCTTTTGAGGTGGGTATAGTACGCTTGAATTATTAACACTGTAATATTTACTACCGGGAATTGATAGAGCGGCGGACCCACGTGCCTTTTTTGGCGGTTACAGGCGGCAGAATACTGAAATCTACGTAATAGGCAAGCTGAATTTCCCGCAAAGCACTACTGTAAGGGTTGGTGTGCAATGTGTGGTCACGAAGGCTTTAAACGTGTTGGTACTGTTGTATTAAGACTTCAACTTAACGAACTATAGGAGACGGGTAGGCGAAGGCCTGCCAGCTAATTTATACGTGGCTGGAAGATGCAGTGTAGCGCAACCCCAGTGGGGCGTGGCACAGCTAAGTGGCTGTGCTTGTCCCGTGCAACGTGTCAAGATAGTTCGTTAAGTCCGTCGCTTAGTAAGCGACTGGTTGCCGAACCAGTGCGTAGGGACGCGTGTGTGGAATACCCTTACACTATCCTACCACACCTTACGTTTTAGGCTCTACAGTGCTTTTATTCAAAACTGGGGTACAATTGGTAGAACTCTTTGTCCTCATGAAGAGTTAATGAAAAGAAATGCTGGGTCTCTGTTGATTGGCGGTCTTCGAACTGTAGCTTACTGACTGGTAAGTGCAGTGTGTCCCTGAAACGTCCGATCTCACACATCTTAGCATGTACCTAGCATGCTATTCACTTGGGATACGGAATACTGTAACGAGTCTATATGCTCTCTATACCGCACCTTCAGTGAGTGCCTTAAGGAACACGAGAAGAGAAGAATCGTATAGCCTCAGAATATAGTTGCTAGGGCTTCAGACACGACCACCACCTGCACAGGCCTTCCTCGACACTCACACTAAAAGAGTAGGCTAGGATAACGACTTCCGACCCGTGTTGAGGACCCGGCTAAGGATCCTTCTAAGCTAATGCTTCCCTAAATCTTACTCTTAGGGCCTGCCTTACTTGTCGAAGAGAGCTACCTCCAGGACGGCGCGGTATATCATATTACAACATTCTCATTTAGGAGTCGAAGTCTTTGCTAGCCCGTTTTTCGCTAGGACAGCCCTCCTGTTAACGTGGCCTCTTTGCTTACACCAAGGATTAAATGGCCGTTTGCATCCCACGTATAAGAACCTTTTCTCTACCCTTTTATAGAAAACTTACTGTGTTTTTTTTACCATTTTTTTTTTTTAATCCTACTTGGCGGTAATATAGAGGGTAACAATTCTTTTATTTTTAACATCCGTTTGTTAATCAATTACTTTCAGAAAAAATTCAAAGCTAAACCGTTCCAAATTATATGATGATCTTTATGTTGTTAGGTTTCCACACGAATAAACAATTAAGGGGGGTTAGCGTTCTTTTTCAAAAAATCTAGGGAACCGGCTGTAAAAGGCTCTTATCTATACTGTTCTAACCCCAAGGGTATGGGCGGGTGCCTTTTTTTCCCAATAGCCCCTTTTAGAGACTTATTCTCGAATTTACCGAGTTACAACAAGTATATATAAAGAGTTGGTGCGTTTGAGGGAGAAAGCCCTTATACACCAATTAACGCCTATAACCTGCTTTAATATAACTGCCCTCCATAATAAAAAAAAACTCTATTATTCCATTGCCTATTTCAATGATGAATTCGTTTATCATTATGAACTATATTTTTTTTTTCTTAAAATTGTTTTTTAATTTTTCTTTTTATGTCTGGTTTATTAAACGTGATTTTTATTCACGAGAAAGTTACTTCATAAAAATAATATTATATTTTATATTTTTGACACCTCAC